CACACCCTGTCCCCACCCTGCTGTGGGGCAGAGCAGGGTCCATCCCTGCCCAGCAGGGGCTTGGAGCCATCCTGGGGTGGATGGAAACCCCTCCCCAGGGAAAGGGGGACCATACTGACCACAGGTGGCTCCTCGGGCAGCGTCCCCCCATTTTCCAGGAATTTGGAGAAGGTCTCCACGTCTCGGGTGCTCCTATACTCGATCATCTGGAGTCACGGAACAGAAGGAAGATAAGGAGTGATGCCCAGGCCCAGCCCCCCTTCCCCAGGTGCCCCACGCATGCCTTGTACCCTACCTTCCTGCCCGGCCCAGCAGGGAAATAGTGCAGTGTGGGGTAACCCCTGATGGTGAGGTTCTCCAGCTCGTTGGCCGTGGCATCCATCTCAGCAATGACAATGTCCTCGTGGTCCTTGTAGCGCTCACCCAGCTCCTCCCAAGCAGCCGCCATCTCCTTGCAGTGGGAGCACCACGGCGCATCTGCGCGAGAGGCACAGTGCCGGGAGGACACCCTGGCTGAGCTGGGGGCCAGGATTTGGGGCTGCCAGGTTCCTCAGGTGAGGGCCTGGCGTGGGAAGGGGGCTCAGCCCTCAGCCCCATGATGGAGCTCGGGAAGGGTCACGGGGAGCCACAGCACTTACAGAATTTCACAAAGACGTTCTTGGTCTCATCAAATGCCACCTGCTCAAAGGTCTTCCCCACGAGGACTTTAACAGGCCGTGTGTCCCAGTCCTCAGGGGGCGTCTGGCTCAGCAGATGGGGCTGTGGGGACAACCAGGATGGCCACAGCCTGTGGTGAGCAGTGCTAGGACACAGGCGTCAGGGGCCAAGGTTTGCCAGGAACATCCCCCCACCACCACCTGCAGACCCCTCAGATCCAGGCACACCGGGACCAGCTGCCAGACGCCATCCCCCCCACCCCAGTGTGGTACCCAGCCCTGTTCAGCATTCCTGTGCTGACTTCTGGACCATCTCTTCCCTGCTCCCCCTCTACTTTCATCCCATCATGTGTGGCTCAGTATTGATGATCTCCTGCCTCATTTCCCATAAAGTTCTTTTTCCTTGCACTGTCAGTTGCAGGACAAGCAAGTGACATCAGCTACTGGGACTTGTGCAAAGCATTTGACACTGTCCCCCATGATATCCTTGTCTCTAAATTGGAGAGACGTGGATTGATGGATCCATGAGAGATCCATGAGAGACATTGTGGATGGACCTCTCAGTGGGTAAGGAATCGGTTGGATGGTCACACTCAAAGAGTTGCGGTCAACAGCTCAGTGTCACGGTGGAAATCAGTAACGAGCAGTGTTCCTCAGGGGTTAGTACTGGGACCGGCGCTGTTTAACGGCTTTACTAGTGACATGGGCAGCGGGATTGATGACAAAAGACACCAAGCTGTGTGGTGAGAGACCTGGACAAGCCTGAGAGGTGGGACAGGGCAATCCTCCAGAAGTTCAACAAGGCCAAGAGCAAGGTCCTGCACCTGGGCTGGGGCAATCCCAAGCACAAATCCAGGCTGGGTGGAGAATGGATCGAGAGCAGCCCTGAGGAGAAGGACCTGGGGGTGTGGGTGGATGAGAAGCTCAACACAAACCAGAAATGGGTACTGGCAGCTTGGAAAGCCAACTGTATCCTGGGCTGCACCAACAGCAGCATGGCCAGCAGGGCGAGGGAGGGGATTGTCCCCTTCCACTCCACTCCCATGAGACCCCACCTAGAGCCCTGCGCTCAGCTCTGGGCCCCCCAACACAAGGACAATGATGTATTAGAGCGAGTCCAGAGGAGACTGCAAAGATGATCAAGTGGCTGGACCACATCTCCTACAAAGACAGGCTGAGGGAGCTGGGGTTGTTCAGCCTGGAGAGGACAAGGCTGCAGGGACACCTTACAGTGGCTTTCCAGTACCTAAAGGGGGCTGCAGGAAAGGTGGGGAGGGACTCTGTGTCAGGGGGTGTAGTGATAGGACAAGGGGGAATGGCTTTAAACTAAAAGAGGGGAGGTTTGGGTTAGCTATTCAGAAGAAATTCTTTACTGTGAGGGCGGTGAGGCACTGGCACAGGTTGCACAGAGAAGCTGTGGATGCCCCATCCCTGGAAGTGTTGGAAGGCTGGATGGGGCTTTGGGCAGCCTGGTCTGGTGGGAGTGGCAGGAGGGTTGGAATCAGATGGTCAGTAAGGTCCCTTCCAACCCAAACCATTCTATGACTATATAACCCCCAAATCCTCAGCTCTGGCTGCACAAGTATCAGTGAGCAGCCACGGTTCTCTCACCTTGACCTTGCCGTCCAGCACCGCCTGCACAAAGTCCCGCACGGCTGTGGCTGTGAAGGCGTCCTCAGCCATCTGGTACTTGCGGTTGTTCTCCATCTTAATGAAGCGCAAGGTGGGGGCATCCGCAGGGGTCATGCCGAAGAAGGACAGGACAGTGGCTCCGTACCCATCCACGTCCACCACTACAAACAGCACCTGGGCGGGGGGACAGGCAGCACTGAGGCCAGGGCGCCTCGGGGGTCCTTGCTGTGCCCACCCCCACCCCCAGGCCGCCTCACCTTTCCCCGAAAATTGCTGGCAGCCTTGCGGAAATCATCCCGCAGCGCCAGCTGCTCCTCCACGGTCTTGTTGAGAAAGAGCAGCATGTGGTGGGGGATATTGGCACCGAAGATGCGGCTGGAGGTCTGCGGGGAGCAGGAGGATGGTGAGGGCTGGGGTACCCTGTGGCTGGTGCTGGGGACAGGGTGGGACGGGGCCGTACCTCGTTGGAGAACTCCATCACCAGCTCCAGGCTGTGCACGCGGAGCAGCCGGGTGAGCTCGGCCGCGTTCAGCCCCTGTGCTGGGTCCACAGGGAAGTCTGTCCGTCCCTCGTCAAACTGCCAGGACGCGGGCCAGTGAGCGCCAGGGGTCCCCACCATGGACCCCCCCACACCCTCCCCAGCCCTGCTCACCTTCTTGAAGAGGCAGACCTGTGTCGACTGACAGCCCATACGCCTCAAAGAGCTCGTCCGCCTTGGTCACACCGAACACCACGTCCACCACCTCGCCAGCTGCCTCGTAGAACGCCTGGGCCGCCTCGACCCTGCAGGTCCTGCACGGCCCCACCATGAGCCCTGCCCTGGCCCTGGCCCAGCCCCGGCCTGGTCCCTGGCCCACCTTGAAGAAGCCCACGACCACGATGTCCTGGGCGTTGATGAAGGCGGCCGCGGTGTCGGTGTCCTGCAGCAGCGTGGCGCTGGGGCCGGCCCGACGCTGCATCCAGCGCACGATGCCCTCGGCGTCCATGCGGCCTGCAGCGGGGCTGCCACCGTCACCACAGACACCCACCCGCCAGTCACCAGGCTGCCAACCCCCAGCCCAGGCCACCACCACCACCACCAGGCTGCCGGCTGTCACCTCCTTCACCATCGCTGCCACCCACTCGCCGTCACCACACTGCCACCCCTTCACCACCCCACTGCCCCTCCCACTGCCCCCCCGCTGTGGACGCCGCGGCCTTCACGCGGTGCCGTGGCCCTACCGCTGTAGGCGAGGGGATGAGTGCGGTTGCCATCACGGAAGAGCTTGAGCGTGGGGTAGGCGTGGATGCCAAACTCATTGCTCAGGGCTGTCTGCGCTGTGGCGTCCACCTTGCCCAGCCGCACCGCCTCCGACCCGTTCCTCAGCCTGGCGGCTGCCTGGGCAAACTCAGGGAGCCAGCCTCTGGCAGTGCCCACACCACGGTGCATCTGCGTGGAGGCCCAGTGTCACCCACAGAGAGCCCAGCACGTGTGGGGGTGTCCCTGGTCCCCAGGGTGGGGCTCAGTGGGTGGCCAAGGACATGTCACACGAGCCTGGCACGCTCCAGCACACGCCCACACTCTTTTGTGTCCCTGCCCCATATCCCATGCCCCTGCCCTGTGGCCCTGCCTCACACCGTGTGCCCTTGCACCAAACCCTATGCCTCCATGTTGTCACGCTACGTTCCCATGTCCCCTGCCCCTCTTACCCATACCCATAGCCCTGTTGTCCCCATGCCCCTGTCCCACACCTCTGCCCCCTGCCCTGCACTCATGGCTCTGCCCTGTACCCCTGCTGTCCCCAGCCCCTGCCCACACCCGGGACACTTACAGAACTCCACCAGCAGCAGGCTGAACTCGCTCAAGGCACGGGCAAAGTTGTGCTCATGAAGCACCAGGACACTGTCCTCCTCCACGAGCTCATCTGAGATCACATCATCATCTTCATCCTCCTCCTCCTCCTCTGCCACCACCTCCCCATCATCATCCTTGTCCTCGAGCCCCTCGCTGTCCCCCCAGGCCGGGCCCAGCCAGGCCAGCGAGAGCACCAAGAGCCAAAGCAGCCGGGCCCCAGAGCCTCGCATGGTGCCACCGCTGCCAGCCGCCACCGCCAAAGCTGGCGCGTGGGGGAGAGGGGCCAGATAAGGGCCCCGGGGCGGGTGGTGCCGGTCCCCAGGAGCTCGTGGCCCTCCGCTACTGGCTGCCCAGCACCACAGATAAGGCAGCGGGACCAGGTGGCTGTTTTCCAGCCACCCCGTCTCCGCAGCGGGACCTGGCCCAGGGACAAGGAACAGCCGCGGGATGGGCGGGCAAAGGCAAGGGGCGCGTGGACACAGCAGTAAGAGACAAGTCTGTACGGTTTAATGGCGATGGAAGAGCACAGCCTGCCACCGGGCAGTCGGACAGGGCCGGCAGCTCGGCACCGCGCGGTGGTCCCGTCCCACGCGGCCGGGCAGGCCCCGCTCAGCGCTACAGCAGGTTCACAGCCACAGACCCAGCGATGGAGATGCCGCAAGGACGAGTCGGGCGTCAGTATTAAAAAAAAACAGCAATTAAAAATAACTTTGGTTGCGAAGACCACGACCGTGGGTGCCCGCTTGCTAAGGGACCCCCCCACACCTTAACATGAATGGGGCGAGTCGCGGCAGCGCCGGCGGGCAGCAAGGGGTCCCCGGGGCCGCGGGAGCCGCGTCCCCGAGCTGGCGGAAGGCGGGGGTGCGGGGCTGGGGGGGTCAGTCCTCCCAGGCCTTCTTTATGCACAGGCCCCACTCCCAGGAGAGGTGCTCCGTCTTGTCATCGTCGGTGACCAGGGAGCGGACGCGGTAGGAGCCGCGCACCAGCCGGCCCCGGGGCACCTCCTCAGCTGGCGTCACCACCTCATACTCCTCGGCCCGCGGCGCGTAGCTGCCCACCATGAAGACATCGCGGTCCACTGGGTGAGAAGGCAAGAGGGGGACGAGTGAGCGGGGCCGGGGCGGTGGAGCCCCCATCCCTGGCCCCGGCCCCCACTCACCCGGCCGGCCGCGGCGATACGTGAGGTGCAGGCACTTCAGCCCGCAGACGATCTCCCTGTTCACCTGCAAGGCAGAGGGCAGGTGTGCTGTGGCATGGCATGGCGTGGTGTCCCCCCCCCTCATTCTGGGGTCCCCTGGGCTTTGGGGTGCCCCCCTCTCCCCCACCCCCAAAGCCCTGTCAGGCACTACACCAGGATCTGGCCTCTCGGTCAGGACTGGGCACTGAGCAGAAAAGGTGGCAGGGACTCAGGCTGGCAGTGGTGCTGGGGAGGAAGGATTGTCGGGGTGGGCAGGGACCCCCGGAGGGGCACAGAGCCAGAGCCTCCATGGCAGCAGGGACCCGTGGGTGGCAGAACGCACCCTGTGGGGCAGCAGCAGGGCCGTGCCCAGCTCAGCCGGCGGGCACAGGGCACCCCGCATCCACCTTACCTTGAAGGACACCTTCACCCTGTAGTCCACCCCCTCCTTCAGCACAAAGGGACGGCTCTGCAGCACCTCCAGGTCTCCTGCGGTGGGAGGCAGCCCCATCAGCCCGGAACCCCTTCCTCCTCCTCCCTCCCACCACGGGAGCCCCCCCACCAGCGCTCACCTGTAAGGTCCATGGTGATGGGCCCCGGCGCCTGCTCACACATCAGGGTGAGCTTCGTCACCTGCACGTTGGGCACGCTGGCATCTAGGGACAAAAGGCAGGGTGCAGGCCTTACCCAGCCCACACAGGGCTGGCACCTCCAGTACAGAGCAGCTGTGCTGTGTGCCCCCAGGGCCTTCCCTGCCCACGCACCCCTGCAGCATCCCAAAGGGCTGCGGTGCCCACAGTTCGGAGCCAGTGGACAGCAGACAGGGCTCAGGGACATCTCAGGCCAGCCCAAACCTCGGCATCAAACCCACCCATGTGCACCCCACTGGTCTGCACGCACCTCCCCAGCTCCCGTGCACCCCCTTGGCTGGGGCATCGGGGTGCTGGGATGTGCTGTGCCCCAGGCAGACATGGGGAGCAGCACGAGGCCGGGTGGGTGCTGTGGGGAGTGGGGTCACCGCCTGGCTGGGGGGCCCAGCGCCGACAGCCACGAGCCGTCAGCCCCCGCAGCCGCTCGCTCCATCTCTGTCATCCCAATGAATTCCCCGGTCCCTTGTACCCGTTCCTATGGAAACTGCGGCGGTGATCCTGTAACCAAGGCAACCGGGGTCCCCGGGCAGCCGTTCCCGTTGCAGCAGGGGAATGCCGGTGTCTCCGTGCAGCGGGGTGGGCGCAGGCAGACGGCACCCACAGGGATGCCCCCAGCTCCCTGCACCCGCCGAGGCTGCATCGCCTGGCACAAGGTGCCGGGGGTGCTCGGGGCACCCAGCCCCAGCCCACGGCCCCCGGCCTTACCCACGGCCGCGGGGATGGTGCCCAGTAGTGCCTGCTTGTACTTCCGCAGGCTCTCATCCCCCGGGTCCAGCTGCTGGATCTCCTGCAGGCTCTTCTTCGCCGGCGTCTTGTACGCCAGGGCCACGTCGGCATCGTCCTCCTCCTCCAGCGACAGCGTCACCCCCTCCTTGTCAGCCATGATGTCTGCGGGGGACAGGCAGTGGCAGTCCCGCCCTGGGGACACCCCAGGGGACCCCCCGCAAACCCCGGGGACACACAGGGGCTGCTGGGCTGGGGGGGGGGACTGAGCTCAGGTACCCCCCAAATGAATGTGGGCCATCATCTGCCCCCCTTCTGCAGCCACATTGTCTCCCTTGCCTCAGGACTGTGGGGACACCGCCAGGCTGCGTGTCCCCGGGGCTCGGTGGCACAGCTGAGCCCAGAGGCGTTGCCGCCAGCTGCGTTTCCGCACGGTCATGAAGCGAGAGGAGCCCTGCGTGGTGCACAGCTCGGGGCACGTTTGCAACCCGCCAGTGGCCTGCAGGCACCCCGCAGTGCCTGGGCACCCTGGGGGGTCCTCGGCACCACACCACAGCCCCTGCTCCAACCCTGCTGGGCAGCCACCAGCCCCGTCTCCTGCCCCAAATAACCAGCAGCTGCAGGTGCAGGGTGCAAAGAAAAAAATAAAAATTAAATTAAAAAAAAAAAAAAACGCAGGTCTGAGTCAAGCAGCGGCTCTGGTGGGTGCCAGCCAGCTGGGGGGGTGGCACACACACAAAGGCGGGTGATGCTCCTGCAGCCAGGGGGTTCGGGGCCCCTGCCCTGCCCTGCCCTGCCTGCCGCATCCCCCCCTGCCCTTCCCTGGAAGCCCCAGCCTGGGGGGCGAAGGGGCCGCCTGCGCTCAGCCCCCAGCCCCCGGGGTGAGCCGAGCGGGTCCCCGGGGCAGCAGCGGGGCCGGGCACAGCGCGGGGGCCCCGGCCGCATCCCCAGGCCCGGCCGCGCACAGATGCACCCCCCCGGGGGCTCGCCCAGCGCCGGGTGCCGCAGGCCGGGCTGCAACGGGGTGGGAGGGGGGGGGCGGCCCGAGGAGACCCCCGGCACCGTCCCCCGCTGCCGGTCCCGTTCCGATGCTCACCTGTTGGCTGCCGGGGGCGATGCTCGGCCCGGCCCCGGGGCGCTGCCCACCCCCGCGCCCCCCGGGCGCTGCCCACCCCCGAGCCCCCCGCTGCGGGGGCCGCGCTCCCCGGCCCCGCCGCCGCTCACCTCGGTAGCACAGCGCCAGCCACAGCAGCTCCAGGAGCTGCCCGCCGGCCTCGCACACATCCAGGCCGAGCATGGCCGGGGCCGGGCCGGGCCCAGCGCTCCCGGGGGCGTCGCGAAAGACCGGGGGGGGGGGAGCGCCCCGATGGGGGGGGGGTGATGCCCGCTGCTCTGCTCCCGGGGCGCGGCTCCGCCACTGCCCGCTGCTGTCCCCGGGGCCCGGGGACGGGGCCGCGCTCGTTGCCGGCGGTGCCCGGCGCTGCGCTCCCCCCGCTGCGCTCGGCGGTGCCCGGCGCGGCCCGGCGGGGCGGCGGCGGCGGCTCCCGCAGACGCGGCGGCTCCGCTGCCCGCCCCCGCCCGCCCCCGCCCCTCGGCGCCGGGCGGCTCCAGCCCCGCCGCTCATGGGCGGCGAGACTGCAGTGAGCTCATCCGCCGTGCGCGCCGGCACCGCGCCTGCCCGCCCCCGGGGCGCCCTGCCCGCACCCTGCCCGCATCCCCCCGCATCCCCCCGCACCCTGCCCGCGGCTCCAGCCCCTGCCCGCACCCGGGAGCGAGCCCCGAGCGCCCGCTGCCCGCAGTCCGTGTCCCCCCCCCCCCTCCCGCAGCCGCCCCGCCCGGTGCCGGTACTGCCCCGCCGGCAGCCGGGGGGATGCGGCCGGTTCCTCGGGACGCTCCCGGCCCCGGCGGCCGCCCCCGGCCCCGCTCGGCCACGGGAGGCGCTCCCCGAACGCCCTCGGCACCGCCCCGGGGGCGGCGGGGAAATGGGGTCGGAGTCGGGGCCGGGGTCGGGGCCGGGGTCGCCGCCGCGCCCCGGGATGCCCCGGCCGGGCACCGGGCTCGGACCGCGGCAGCCGCCAGGGGGAGCGCGGCGGGGGCGGGCGGGGGCCGGGCGGGGGCGGTGCCGGGGCCGGGACCGGGGCGGTGCCGGGGCTGGGACGGGGACCGGGAGCGGGGAAGCCGCGGCCCCGAGCGGAGCGGAGCGCACCCGCGATGACCGTCGGTGGTCCCCGCGGCGGGCACCCCCGCCTGCAGATGCCGTGCCTCAGCAAGGTGAGCCGGCACCGGCACCGCGGGGAACGGCCGGCGGGGCTCCGAGGGGACCGGGCACCGGCACCGGTCCCGCGGGACAGCGGGGAGCTGCCCCGGCCGCGCTGCTGCCAGCGCCGGAGGCACCGGGCAGCGCCCCACGCGGGGACACTTCGCGGGTGGGCACCGGAGCTCCGTGCCTGGCTCCCAGCCCCGGGAGTGCCGCAGCCCCCGCAGGGCTCGCTCCCCAAAAACGGGGCTCCCCGGTGACCTGGTGACACCCGGCGGCAGCGCTCCCCGCACCTCGGCTGGCTACAGGGTGTCCCACAGTGCGGAGGGTGCCAGGGTGCCTCCCGGCTGCCTGCCCTGCACCGGGCTGTCCCCGGACCCCCCTGCCACCAGCCGCAGGGCTGAGCGTGGCCGATGCTTGCCGGGCAGATGGAGCGGATGATCGTCAGCATGCAGGACCCGGACATGGGCATCAAGATGAGGAACCAGCGCTTGCTCATCACCGTCATCCCCCATGCCATGACAGGTGAGGTTGAGCTGGGGCTCCTTGCGAGGCCGCGCATGGCGGGGAGTCGAGCGATGCTGCCCGCCTGTGCCCAGCTCCGTGATGGGCTGTGCCCAGCACCCAGCCCTCTGGCACCCCAGCCCCAAGCCACTCGCCTCCCCACGTTCGTGTGCGCTCAGAAATGCAGCTGGGATCAATTACGCATTGGCAGAGCAGGGCGGGCGCTCGCCCGGGGCGGGCAGCTTGGCACGTCCTTGGCAGGGCACCCGTCACCCTGCTCGCCCCTTTGGCACCCGCTGCATGGGGGGGCCCTGTCACACCCTGCTAACGGCCCCCAGGGAACGACATCGTGGAGTGGCTCATCCAGAAGTACGGCATCTCGGAGGAGGGTGAGTGTCGGTGCCGCAGGGCAGCCGGGGCTGCTGAGCCGCTCGGCAGCCCCCACTCCCGCTCCCCCAGAGTCTCTGCACCTCGGCAACCTCATCGTGAAGCACGGCTACATCTACCCCCTCAAAGACCCCCGCAGCCTCACGCTGCGGGCAGACGAGTCGCCCTACCGCTTCCAGGTACGTGCCCTGCTGCGGGCAGAGCGGGCGCTGCAGCGGCCTCGGTGCCGCAGCTCAGCCTGGCCCCTCTCTGCCGCCCCAGACCCCGTATTTCTGGACCAGCACCAAGTGGCCGGCCACCGAGCTGGACTATGGTAGGTGCCGACCTGCTGCAGCCACTGCCGCCACGGGCTGCGGCCCCTTCCCGGCCCCGCTGAGGTGGCTGCACTCCCTTCGCAGCCATTTACCTGGCGAAGAAAAACATCCGCAAGCAGGGTGACCTGATTGAGCACGAGAAGGTGAGAGGTGCCCTCCTGCCTGGTCTGTGGCAGGGTTCATGTGTGTGATGTGCTGGGGGGGGCTCAGCTCACCCAGGAGGGGCCAGTGCTCGCCGCTGCACCCGGTGCAGTGGTCCCCATGCTGCGGGCCCCAGGGCCGGGGGAGGGCAGGGCACGGTTGTGATGCCGTGGCCACCTGGCCGCTGCTCCCCAGGACAACTACAACCTCCTGCACAAGAGGATCAACCACACGTGGGACTTCGTGGTCATGCAGGCGCGGGAGCAGCTCCGGTGAGTGCAGGGCGCTCACGGCACCGGGATGGGGACAGGGCTGGGGCTGGGCAGAAGCTGGTGCCACTGCTGCCCGGGGGAAGCGGTGGGGACGGGGCACAGGCGCTGCCTTTGCCATGGACAGGGCGGCCAAGCAGCGGCGGAAGGGCGACCGCATCGTCATCGACTGCCAGGAGCAGGCGTACTGGCTCGTCAACCGGCCCCCGGTGAGGCCCCGGGCACTGGCACCACGCACAGCCCTGGGTGCAGGGGCTGGGGGGTGGTGGTGTTGGTGGGGGTTCCTCACGGTGGGGGGGGTCCCTCCAGCCCTGGCACTTTGCTCTCATTGCAGCCGGGAGCCCCCAGCGTGCTGGAGCAGGGCCCCGAGCGCAGGAATTGCCACACCAGCCGCGTGCAGCTGGTAGGTGCGGGATGGAGCTGCCCTGGGGGTGTCCCGGCTGTCCCAGCCCAGACTGTGCACACCTTTTTTGGGGGGGACAGTGAACCCCAGCTCTGCTAACATCTGTGTGTCCAGCTGTCCCCACTGCCCTTGCTAAGCTGGGGGGGGGCTGTGTTTGCCCGTGCACCCTCTGCCATCTGTGCCCTCTGCTAATCCCCCCCAGGGCTGCCTGTGCCCCCGGCACCCCCCTGGCAGCCGCCAGCCCCAACCCCAAGCTGTCTGGGGCCGGCCAGGCCCTTCCCTCGTGTGGTGGCCCCACTAACGCAGCCCCAGCACCCCCCATCTGTCCAGCTGGTCCTTACTAACCTCCAGGTTTTCTCTTCTCTTCTCCACGTGCCGTGTCGTCTGCCCACGTAAGTGTCACTAACCCACGCGTCGCACCGGGGCGGGGGGCAGGATGCCTGGGTCAGCAAGCTGTGCTGGGCAATTTGGGGGGGGGGACATCGATGGGGAGGGGCTGGAGGCTGCGTGGGGCTGGGGATGCACATGGGGGTGCTTCCCCTGGGTGGTGCCGGGCAGGGCTGGTGGGCACGAGGTCCTGGCCCCCCTCCCAGGCCCTCACCCGGCTCCGTGCGTCTCTTGCAGGCCAAGAACATGGACTACTACAAGCGGGAGGTGAGCAGGGTGAAGGAGGTGGGAGAGGGGGTGGGAGAGGGGGCGCAGGGCCTTGACGTGCCCCGTGGGCCGGCCCCAGATCGAGTACTGCAGGAAGGCCATGGCCAGGACCCGGGTGAAGTCGTCCATCTGCCTCGAGGGGTGAGTGGCAGCGGCCGTGGCTGGTGGCAGAGCCGAGGGCACCGCGGAGCCCAAGGACGTGTCCTGGCCCCGAAGCCGGCCCTGCAGCATCCCCCGAGGCGGCCGGGAGCAGGGCAGGCAGGTAGCGGGGCTGGGGACACGGCGGCCCTGGTCACCTCCAGCCCCCTGCTCCCGGCAGGTACATCAAGTTCAACGAGCAGTACGTGCCCCACGACCCCATCATGTCCGGCTGCCTGCCCAGCAACCCCTGGATCACCGACGACACCACGTACTGGGCCATGAACGCCCCCACGTAAGCACCCCCAGGTCCCCTCCCCACCCTCCTCGCCCTGACACCGACCCCTGGACGGGGCGCAGGGAGGGGACGTGGCTGCGCGTGCAGCCCCCCCGCCTCTCACCCCCTGCCCCGGTGTCACTGACAGGGTGCTGACCCCCACGAAGCTGCGGGTGGAGCGCTGGGGCTTCGACTTCAGTGAGCTCCTCACCGACCCGCTGGGCCGCGCACAGCTCCTCGAGTTCCTCAAGAAGGAGTTCAGCTGGTCAGTGGGCCCAGTCCGGACCCCCCCCCCAGGACCTGCTGCCCACCTCACACCAGCTGCCCCCCACCCAGAGGGGTTTAGTCCTTGCTGTGGGACCAGCTGGGATGGCCTGGGGAGGGTGGTGTCCAGTGCCGTGTCCCCCTCCCCAGCACCGTGTCCCCCTCCCCAACACCCTGTCCCCCTCCCCAGCTGAGAACCTGAGCTTCTGGGAGGCATGCGAGGAGCTGCGCTACGGGGAGCAGTCCCGCATCGCCGAGATCGTGGACTCCATCTACCAGTGAGCACTGGAGGGGCAGCAGGGGACAGCTGTGGGGACCAGGCCATGGCAGTGCCACGTCCTAGTACTGGGGCTGGCCCCGGGGTGGGCGTTCGTCACCGGGTGCAACCCCCAGGCAGTTCCTGGCTCCCGGGGCCACGCGCTGGGTGAACATCGACAGCAAGACCATGGAGCGGACGCTGGAGGGCATCAAGACGCCCCACCGCTACGTGATGGACGACGCCCAGATGCACATCTACATGCTGATGAAGAAGGTGGGCGAGGGCTGGGCAGGGCTGGGACGGTGCTGGGGGGGCCGGGGCCTGATGGCTCTGCTCCCTGCAGGACTCCTACCCGCGCTTCCTCAAGTCGGAGCTCTACAGGAACCTCCTGGCCGAGGCCGTCATCCCCCCGGAGACCAAGAAGCGGTGAGGCAGGGACCAGGCTCTGTAGGGCGCTGGGGGTGGTCCCGTAGCGCTCACCCTGTCTCTGCCCCCAGGGTGTTCCCCTTCATGCGCAAGCAGCGGCACTCCAGCCCCAGCCCGGCCCTGCTCCTGCCCGCTGGTGACGCCGAGGACAAGATCAAAGGCCCCACGGCTGTGCCCGAGGAGGAGAGCTAGGAGAGGAGACCACGCATGGTCCCAGCCCACGGCGGGAGTGGAGGGGCCCCCAGCCTCTGCCCCAGTCACAGGACCCCGCCTGCAGTAGCACTGAAGGAGAGAAGCCATACGCCCCACGGCCAGCCTGGCCACACTGTGCCCCCTGCTCACCTCCCCCAGCCCCATCCTCATCCCAAAGGAGCCCCCCCGGGGCTCAACACAACACGTGCAGAAAATAAAGGACCCCGTGGGGAAAGCGCTGCGGTGAGCGTCACGGTCGGGGAGGGGTGACCAGAGGGGCTGCAGTGGGGTGGGGAAGGTCCACGAGGGGGTGGCTGCCCCTCACCCAGCTAGATGTGCCCCCAGTGGGCTGGCAGCAGTGGGGAAGCAGCCCCCCAGGCACGCACAGATGCCCCCATCCCACCCCAGTGGCTCCCACATGCAGCCCCCACCCCCAGGCATGGCTGAGCAGGCACGTAGGGTGCTGGGCCCCCCCTGCAGCCCCCTGTGTACCCGTGGGCAGCACAGGGAGGCCCAAATGAATGGCCTTGGAGCCGGGCCAGGGGTGCAGCAAAATGCTGCCAGGCAGCGAACGGGGGCTGTAAAGGCCCCAGGGCTGGCAGCTGAGCTGCTCTCCCTGCCCTCAGCCCGTTAATCCAAGCAGAGGCCAAGGATCTCACGCAGGATTATTCTCTTTCCCGGAGCCAAGCCCCAGCTGTGGGGGATTAATAGTGGCCATTATATAAACAGGAGGGGGGCTCACGGCCCCTGGCGCTCAGCCTTGGTGCCAAGTCCAGCCCGCACGCACTCGGGGCCCACACAGCGGGGCCGGGTGGGGATGTCCCCAGCCCACCAAGGGCCACACGGTGCCAGACCGCGCTGCGGCCAACGAGAGACCCTGCAAATGCTTGGGATCACGGCATCCCTTCCTGCCGCAGATCTCAGGAGCCCCAGAACAGAGGGGCTGGCTGTAGCTCAGCTCAGTGCTGGGGCGTAGAGAGCAGCCCTGGGGCGAGGTGCTGGGGAAGGTGCAGGAGCTTCAGTGCCAGGATGGAGCTTGGGACCTCGGCGCTGGCAGCCACGGGGCAGTGACAGATGGTCCCACGCTCCAGGAGACACCAGCGTGCCACGCGGCTCCCTTTGGCTTGATCCAAATCCAAGCCCTGGAGTGAGATTTTCATGCTGATGGACTGCAGCAGGAATCTGGGGTGTAAAACCAGGTCACCGAGCCCCAGGCAGGGGGAAGGGACGTGCTGGCCCAGCCCTGTTATCTAACTCCAGCCTCCCACAGGTCAGGCACCCGAGGGGCTGTGCAGCCCACTGCCCACACAGCAATGCCCCTCCAGAGGGGCTCACTGCAGCGGCAGACAGAGACAAGTTTGCACAAATCCCTCCACAGAGCAGCCGTAGGGGCCAAGCACCCTTTTTTCTAGCAGCGCGGTGCCCAGCCTCTTCCAGAAGGGACACTGAGCTGCTTCCCGTTACCTTCACTATCGCTGAACGCTCCTGGCCCAGCACCAGCTCAGCTGGCAGGTCTGTCACATTCCAGTTGCTTCCCGGAGTTTGAGCCTTGTCCAGGGCGAGCCTGACCACCGTAACGAAGGGAGAGGTGGGCACCTACTGCCAAAGAGCCAAAGACAAGCTGCAAGCATCACCAGGACACTTGGGTCCCTTCCAAAAAGTTTTTTTCTGCCCTTGGGAAGCTGCACAAAGGGCTGCCAAAATTCTGAATTCTTGTATAACTTCAGCTGTTTGTTAGCAGCCACAAAAAAAGCATGGCACCATTTACAAACAATGCAAAAGAGGATTTATTGAAACCATTACAGTTAGACCAAGTCCTATACAGCACAATTTGCAATAAGTTAAAGAACCAATTCAAACAGTCGTAGTGTTAAAAAACACACTAACGCATAACACAGTGATATAATGCCATCATCACCCATCTGAGTTATTGAATCAAGGCACAAAGTCATTCATTAAATACTGCAAAAAAACAATTACACACGGAAAGAAGCTGCAAAAAGGACTTGTTTTGTTAAGAAGGTGCTGGTTTGGCACTGATGCGTTTAGTTGAGCTGCCACAGGGAATTCTGGATCTCCGAAGTATTTGGAAACATGAACAGATAACTTAAAGCCAGAAAAGCCCCCCAAGAGCTGAAAACCCAGCACTATTGAAGGAGAACATTCAGTGTGCCTACCACGAAGGTCAGGCCTGCGCAGGGAGCTGAGGAGGAAGGGAGCCAGTGTGGTTATGGCAAGAATAAAGCCTGGGCGTGCTCGCTGCCCCGGGAACCTCAGAGGGATGCAATCTGTGGCAACCACACAGATCCAGGCCACCGGGCACCCATCCTGCACAGCTCTGACTGGCAGAGGGTGCAAGCACACCCGATCAGCAGCTACGGGGCCGCGGGGCAGCAGTGGGTGGGTGTGTGGCCGGACTATGGGTGCCACAGCTCATTTTGCTGCAAGGCTGGGGGAGCTGCAGCCACACGCACAGTTCTGCGTGACCCCAGCTGCCCACGCTCAGAGCCGCTCCTGCAGCACGGGAAATGTCAGTGGCTGCCCCGAGAGAACTCATTCCTGCACCTACACAAGCTCTCAAGTTCTGTCTCAGGTTGCTCACCCTGCAGTACGCCTGCAGGTGCCCCAGGCTGAGACTGCACGAGGGAGGAAGGCCCTGGCTAACCCCACGAAACCTGGGAGGTTTTTTAGGATGCAAACTCCACCGTGTTCAGCTGTGTTTTCTGTCCACCTCCCTCTCACCAGCCAAAGGGACGCCCAGCAGCGTGCGAACAGCAGCTGTCTCAGTGCAGCTGGTGTGGGGACAGCAGCTTTCAGGACCCAGCAGCCTATGCAAACTGGTTTCCAGGCTTTTTGCACATTTTTCCTACAGCCTGCACCGGTGCCCACCAGGAACAGGGCAGAGCAGACACAGCACACTAAAGACATCTCCAAGGGAGACATCACCTTCACACAGCAGCCCGTCCAGCCAGCAAGACCCACTCCCTCGGGCCGCCAGGCTGCACCTTCAGAGAGAACAACACCTGGAGATCCTCCCCCAGCATCACTTCAATCCGAGGGGCCGGGAGGCAGCACAGAGCTCTCCTTGGAGCAGTGCTGCACATACAGCCTGCGTTGTCTCTTAGTGGCTTACATCTGTCTTGCAGCTTGCCCGCCCCCTGGCAGAGGGGACAGAACTTGGAAAAGACTCCTCAGTAGCTGCAAGGCCAAATTAGTATTTTCAGGACAGCTGGCATTGCCACTGGAGTACAGAGAGCTCCCGGGAGCAGCAGGCCAAGCTCCCAGGAAAGGTTAAAGTGCAATTCTACTCTAGTAAGTGTCCTAGATCCCCTGGCACCTCGAAACCAAGAGGAGAGGTGGTGTCCACACCTGAAGGGACCAGCAAGCCTCATGTTATTGTATCAACTACAATCACAAGGGGGCTGGGATGTGGACGTATGGGTCAGGTGGGAGACCAGCTCCCTGTCAGTGTCACCAGTGCTGTACAGCCTGGCAGGAAAGGAAGCAGCACAGAAGACATGGGTAGGCTTGTGACTGCCCGGTGGGGTACACGGGGCTATTCTCAGGTGAAAAGGTCATTTTCTGAGTAGAATGAAACTTTAATCTGTGCCCTGCTGGCACAGGTAGGACCTAGCCAAGTCATCAGCCATGGCTGGGGTCTAGCACTACACACCCATTATTGAAGGGGGGATCAAGTTCAGGAGAGGACGATTGCAAAAGGCTCTGCAGTCAAGCACCTCTCCTGCAGCCAGGAGAGCTGACTCAGAAAGGAAATCTAACACCACACACCAAAGCTCCACTTCTCATGCAAGCACCCAGGAAATAATCAGCTCAGGCATCCCCACGAGCATGTTTTCCTCCAGATAGAGGCTGAGTCAGCACAGTTCTGCGGGCGCAGAAGGACCAAGGGGAAAGACCTCATCCCTGAGCTCACGACACCTCAGTGGCGGCCAAGCACTGAAGTCCCATCAGCTCTGACAGTGGATGCGCCGGCAGCTGCTCCCACAGCCTGGGCATACCCAGGCACTGGGGGAGCTTCCCTGCCAGCCACACTTTGGTTTGCAGATCGAGAAAGGCAGCTTCCCATTGGAATCCGTGATCGGGGTTTGCTAAGTGCAGTGCTGCAGAGGAGAGGGGCCAGAGCAGCCTCTCCTGCTCTCCCAGTGAACTCACACTCGGCTGTGGAATCGCATCCTGTAGAGGCGGTCCCGGATGTACTGCTCACTGTCCACAGCCACCTGGCTCAGCCAGATCACCTTGCTCTCCGAGACATCCTCCTTCAGCTTGCGCTTCATCAGAGATACCAACCCCGGCTCCTCGCCGGGTTGAGGCCCCAGTCAACAGCACATAGCAGGCGTGACGGCTCCGCTCAAACAGCGCGGCTGTAACACAGAGCAGAGGGAACAGCCCGGCCTCAGGTCTCCATTCAGGCCGTCCACAAGCCCACCACCACGCCCCCAGGCAGCCCAGGAGGTACCAGGAGTCGGTGTCCTCCTGCAGCTCCCTGCTGGAGGGCTGCGAGGCCGGGACTTACCACTGAACGCAATGATCTGGTCTGTGTTATTGCGGAGCTCCAACAGGACGTTAGTGTAGGAAGGATGGAACAGATACAGCTTCTGCTGAGGCGCTGTGGATCCCTGTAACCAACAGGACTCTATCAGAACAGTCACACACCTTATCCCACAGACCAGGCTCAGCTATTACTTCATGCCCGACAGAGTACATCCAGCCAAATACTTGTCTACGTCTAGCCAATTCATCCTGCTTGATGCCACCAGCACCAGGGATAGGATTTTACTCACTGGTTGGTGCCCTCCTCCCCAGCCCAACCTTCCTGCAAAGAGCAGGCCTGTCTGCTACGTGCAGGAGACAGATTTTGCCCTCGAGCTAGTAGACTTAGTAAGGAGAGCACAGAAAACTCAGCTGGCGTTCAGGCACCCTCCAACACAAAGCGACACTGACACTGCCAGCCACTGCTCCATAGCCGAGCTGTGTATCAGGGCTGCTGCAGCCTGCCCTGGAGCACAGAGAGGATGCTCACGTGGCCACAGATCACAGTGTGCAGTACCACTGCAGAAGGTGCAGACCAACCAGCAGCAGTCTCAGGGGTACCAAGCCAGCAGCCTCTCAACTCACCTGCAGTACCACACCAAGGCAAGGCTCTGGGCAATCCAGTTACTTTGCTCATACAGCCACTAAGTTCCTTTTCTCTACCTAGCCAGGCTGAGGATGACAAAAGTTGCTGGTGCCACCACCAGCTGCAAGCAGGGACAATGCTACGGCCATGGCAAGGACCTACTACAGACCAGACCACAGGCAGAGGTCTGCATACTGCAAGCAGACAGGGCTGGTCAGAGACACGTGGATACCCCACACCCTGTGCAGAATGCTGCAGTGTTCGTAGAACCTACAGATCTGAATGTCAATGCTGGGTAAAGGGGGTGGCTCCAGACAATTTTGACCCAAAGTTTAGAAAACAGCAGCCATGCAGCAGCACTACCCACCGTTTCATTTCCTGCAACGTTGTATTCACCCCAGATGAGGAAGGTGGACCGGTGATCAGCAGTAGAAAGTGTGGCAAGCCCCGGGCTCTCTGCTCTCGAGTTCAGCTTCAGGTCCCACTGGACTGCTCCAGATCCACCCTCAACAATCATAACCTAGCAGGAAAGAAAGAAAAGGAACTCGGATCACAGAGCGCCATGAGCAACGAGGAAGAGGCCAAGTCAGCTGTCTCTACCTCACACTGTCTATGGGAGCAAGTATCTGACACATAGGAAGATGAGGAAACACTTGAAGCTGAGCTTCCACTTGATCACAGAGCTGTGAGACCTTGGGTGGACCATGTAAGAGTGAAGTCTCAACTTTTTCAAGCTATTTCATGGAGTTCAAAGCTCTGTCATCAAAGTCACTTGCTGAGAAGAGAAAGTGCCTGGGCTGGCTTCAGCAGCTTCTTAAAAGAGATCCTTTTCCAGCTAAAAGCCTTCTAAAATCAGCTGGAGGCAGCACATTGTACCAGCTGCCCTCAGCTCAATGCCTGCTTGAGCTGAGACATGCAGAGAAAAGGGAAGTTAAAAGGAAGAGCTTTCAAACCTTCTTCCTGTTGGGCCCGATCTCACTCTCAAGGACAACACCAAGAACATCAGGTTTGTAGTAACCAAGCCGTGGCTCACTGAGAACGGAAAAGAATGGACAGATTACAATACAGCCTGACTGGCTTGTGCATGCCCTGGTCTTTCAGAGCAGCCTCCCAGCAACTCCCCTGTATGAGACTCAGCTGCTGGAAACCTGAAAATGCTACACACGATCTGTGCAGGCAGCATTACCTCATAACACGGGACACATTGAGGGTCCACAAAGTCTGAAGATTCTGTGGATTGATCAGCGTAGCCATCTCCGAGTTCACAACCAGGACGTTGTCCCGTGATGCCCCAGGAATTTTTGCCAGGTAATGAATGTCTCCAGAGCTAAACAAGAACAGAGAGTTGATTATGCTTTCTAGATTGGGGATTGTGGTGTAAATGCCTGAAGTAACTAGGAAAATAAAACTAACATTCACACTTTTAAGGAAAAGGTACAGCATTGAAGAGGCTTTCAGGGTAGGGCATAACTGCATTATCTGAGCATTCCCTAGGCTCCCAACCATAGATGCTATCGCGCTGGGGAAACTTGGTGTGCTAGCTCTAAGGAACACCACGGAGCGTAGAGTGGAGTGGAGACACCACGGCTAGGCTCTGTAATCAGGTGGGGCCTCGATTGTTCTTGTGCACAAAGCTGCACTTTTTGCCACCCTAAGCCAAAGACCTGTCATGTTTTGACAAATGCTGTACCCTAGTGTACTTTTTGCTCATTATAATATCATTATAATACCAAAACACACCTCCATCCCAAAAGCTACCCGCCTCCAAGGTGCGACCACCCCTCACTGAGCATGCGCCCTGAATTTCTCGGAGCCTATTACTTTAAACGGAGATGGGAAAACTTTACACCAATCATAACTAAGATATGCTTGACTAGAGCCACTCAAGCTCCACCTAAAAGATAGAAAATAATATAAATTGGCCCAAGAGAGAGGGGATGTTAGGGAAGATACCATCGTCAGGGGAGATACCATCCTGAGGACATACAACATCCTTAGGACCTCCTGACTCCTGGGATCAGTCGACGGGCTGAGCCTCTCTTCCCCCCCCCATTGGGACGCCTTTGGGTGAGATCTGAATATTTGCTTATAAATCTCTATAGAGTCTTTGATCCTTTTAACGCGTTTATTTCTAGGCTGCGCACCTAGAACACCTAGAACACCTAGAACACCTAGAACACCTAGAACACCTAGAACACCTAGAACACCTAGAACCCACACCTAGAACCCACACCTAGAACCCACACCTAGAACCCACACCTAGAACCCACACCTAGAACCCACACCTAGAACCCACACCTAGAACCCACACCTAGAACCCACACCTAGAACCCACACCTAGAACCCACACCTAGAACCCACACCTAGAACCCACACCTAGAACCCACACCTAGAACCCACACCTAGAACCCACACCTAGAACCCACACCTAGAACCCACACCTAGAACCCACACCTAGAACCCACACCTAGAACCCACACCTAGAACCCACACCTAGAACCCACACCTAGAACCCACACCTAGAACCCCTGTAACACCTGTGTATTTCATGCATACTAGCTTGCTTTTGCAGATAGTCACTATCACCGGCAATCCAAAAGAACCTGATTATCTGTTGCTGTAATAAACCATACGTGATTGCATTGTGATAGCTCTCATTAATGCAACTAGGGTGAGGGTGGTTATCCGTGATAGTTCAGTGTTCTGAATCTAACCAGACCCCCAGACGGTTAATGCATTGTTGGTGAATGTCTGAACGGACCCCCAGGTGGTTAATACGTTTTTGGTGAATGTCTGAGCGGACCCCCAGTTTTGGTGAATGTCCGACTGGTTCAGTACTCTGAATCCAACCGGGCCCGTAACGGTTAATCAGCTACACCCCTTTAACGCGACAGGGATTTTTTTTTTCCCCTGCATAATAAAAAGTCAGAGGCTCATCCTAACAGGCAGGGAAGACCAGCAGGGCTGGGAGGTGAAGCACCAGGCTCTGCAGTTGCCACCCACTGAATTAGTTGTCTGAGGTGCTCCACTTGCATGCAAATACAAAATTACAATCTGCTTTCCCTCCTTAACTGGGAAACCCTGACAAGACTATCAATGCCAGCTCTCTCCCCAAGGTCTGGATGTGCTCTTAGGCCAAATTGCATAGCCAGGAAAGAACAACGGCAGAGCAATCCGTCCTGTCAGGAACATCAGTGCCCTCCAAACCACCGGCAACCAAGATGTGACACCATGCCTGGGAAGGTAGAAGCGGTGTGTGGTTGGGTCAATGTTCCTTTCCCACAGAGGATCTTGCTCAAGGCTGGGAAGCGAATTTTCCATCCCAGTTGCTGCACTGTAGAGCTCTTTCAGGGAATATGCATAGACAGAGTTGCCTGTGCAAACAAAGCAAAAATGAGGTAAGTTATCCTGCACTTGCTCTGAACTCCACAGATTTCCAGATAATGTCTGAAATGAATCTGGCAGATGAATGATGAACTGTATTTTTAGCAATATTTTGAGACTCAAGCCTGCCTTTTTGAATGCTTTTAGCATCGTATCTGTTCATAATCCGAGTGTTTCACAATAATCACTTGCTATTTAAATGGCTGCTTAAAACTTACATTCTCAACATTTTTTCAAATCCGATTACTACAGTATGTACCAAACCTTAGTTTCAGCAAGGTCCCACCTTCTTTTGGCCTCAAATAGCTCCTTCACCAGGTGGAACCATGACATAGCTTTTGAGAATGCAAAACACTCTTTCCAACAACCGTTTAGTAACACTTATTTCACAGTTACAATCATTCTTTCCGACTGAAGTCCTGAACAGGACTGTACCTGTATAGAAAAGGAAGTAGGAGGAAGAGCCTACGTTCAGACTGATATAATGAGCCTTCCCACCCATGCTGTGACTTTCAGTGGAGCCGATCTCATTGCCATTTCTTCCCGAATGGATGAAGGTCTTAATCTACACAGCAACAGGATTAAAAAAAAAAAAAAAAAGTTAAAATTGCTTCACTCCAATTCAAGCGTTCTCATGTAGTGGCTTCACATAGTACCTGACATCACCTGCAGGAAGCACTGTGCTGGCAGAGCAGCTAGCACAGCTTTTTCTCTCCTTGCAGGCTTGACAAGGCCCAGGGAACACAGCTCTGCTAAATATAAATACTTGCAGTGCCCTAGCCTACCCCTCCCAAAGCTGACATTGAGTCCATAGGGATAAAAAAGATGCCAGGATTCTTTATGCTCTTAGTGCAGGTACCAGAGCAACAGAATCCACTCAAAATATTTCACCCAAGAGAATAAAGGATAAAGGCAGGATCGAATTCAATGACTGGGCAAGAGGCACGGTCTGGGGGGAGCAGAGCACGCTAGGACTGAGAGGCAGCATCCAGCAGGGACGCTGAGTCAGAGAAGAACAGAGACCTTCCTTCCTCCTCCTTGAGCGGGGCAAACAGGGAAGCAAAACAAAATCTGCTGCTCTTGACGTGGACCTGGAGAGCCTGGTAGGCAAATAGGGGATAGAGCTGGGGAGAATGAAGCAGGCAGCTGAGGGGGGAGTGCAACGCATCCACCAGCTGATCCCAGCCTCGCTCACCGGGAGGAGACGCACACCAGTGCTTGATGAACTGCTGCACCTTTACCCGCAAGCACGGGTGCAGCTGCCCCAGGGACAGAAACTGCCAGTGGCAGTCAGGTAGCCAGTGAGAACACACAGCACCTTACGCACTGCATTGCCTAATGCCTTACATGAGGTGCTACAGGCGATGTATCCTGAAAAATGGCTTGTTTTCCAGGATGTGTCTGTGCTGAAGCTTGCAGCAGGTAGGGGTCACTAAGACTCACAAAAAAAAGGCATCTAAACCCCCTGCTACACAAGCACACAGAACCTTCCCCGCAGACTGCTCAAAGCCCTGCCATTTCAGGAAACTGCAGCATAACGTCATGTTCAGCTGCAGCCCTTGTTAGCAACAAAGCTAATTTACTGAAGTTCTGAATCTCCCTTCCAAAGGGACTGCCTTTTTCCAGCTCCAGAGCTCCACTCAAGCTTCCCACCATTTCTGCGATTTCTCAAAACACAATGTACTTTTACTGAAGTTGACAGAGTACTTGCCAAGTCCACAGGGAGGGAGGGGTTTCATACCAAGACAGCTAGAGAGGTTAAATGGAAAACAAATCATACGGCAGTTTAGCAGAACAGAGACTACATTCAACCATTCCTTGACTGGCAAAGATTAAGAAAACAACAAAACCAAAAAAGACTTGAGATAACTGGAATAGCAAAAGCAGCAAGGAAAGAAAACAGAAGAGAAATGTAGGAGTCAGAGAGGGTAGAATTTCTGATGACTCTGGCACCAACAATGCCTCAGCCAGCAAAACCCAATCTGCTTATAGAGTGCTCTGGTATGAGGAGACAGGGCTCCCACTCCTCCCCTCAGACTTGGAGGGAACCAGAACTTCTGCATGGCTTAAACAGGACTGATTGTGCATACAGATGATGAGCATCACTCAGTCATGGATACAGATGAATTATGATACAAATATTTTTAGCTACATGACTTTTCCCCTCTAAGAAATGGGAAAATGCAATGTTGGAACAGGCATAAGGCAATTAGAACTATTTCGCTAAATGAACTTGTCAGAATTAACAAGGACACGGATACCTGGAAAAGAACTGTGCAAAGCAAGACCATAAGCACAGATTCATAAGGTACCAGAAAGACCACTGGCTGTACAAAAGCTCTGGCTGTCAGATGTACTTTGATCTAAGAGCCAAACCTGTCAGGGTTTGTTCACTTCCACTTCTCCGAGCATTGTCCCAGAAAACTGCAACCTCATCCTGCCTAGGCACGCTCCTCCACATACAGCCTAAGAAGATGGAGTGAAGAGCACAGACTGAAAAGGGAGAGGGGTTCCTGGCTGTTCTTTTGCTTTGTTTTGTTTTTGTGTTTTTGTTTTTTTTTTTTTTGAAGCCATAAAACGCTTGCATGGATTTGAGAGTACTTCTCTGCAGGGTGGGAAAAAACCTTCCCCAAACTCACAGGTATCAGAGGCCTCTGGGCACTTCCTCTGGGGCTACAAGACTGAAATAAATAGCATTCCTGCCATGCCCTGTGGTCTGGTCACAGGGTTTATCGTAGCTTTAGAGTGACATACCTTATCTCCTGTAGCAACAAAGATTATCAGGTCCTGAACTCCATCACTATCCACATCTGGAATCACTGACAAGGGAGTCAGCACAGTATAATTAGCTCCAAAGTCATTTGAGTGTCTCCACTGAACGTCCCCTAGAAGACAGAGTCATTGGGAAATGTTCACTAAAATGCACTTTCCATTGAGAGGCTTTAAAACACCATTGCTCCTCCTTGCAGCAAGCAACCATTTACAGCCCATCAGCACCACAAGGCAACCGCATTTATGCTCATCATGGGGTATTTTTGCATTTCTGCATTTCCAATGAGTGCCTGTATCCACGATTTCAGCTCATAGTGGAAAGTAACTCCAGCTGCCTGCACAAAGGCAGGCTAATGTCCTAGGCACAAGTCAATCAGCACTGCACAAAGAACAGCTGGCTTTTTTGTGTGTTACCTTAACAAGCTTTCCGGTACGTTCATGCTGTGGAGAACCCTTTCCTTTTAGCAAGCCAAAATCTTGTTGTTCTGTATTTAAATTTGTGCAGGCATTTTAAAATCATAAAGAGGCTGAATTCTGATCACAGCATTACAGCTACTCCCGACAACACATTTTCCTGCAACTTGACTCCTGCAAAAGTTTCAGGCCAACGTGACCCCTCACAACTCAGTTTACATCCCTCTGCTCTCCAGCATTTGAAGAAGGCCCACAGCACTTCAGACAATTTTGTCTCTCATTTGCTCGTAAATGTAGGTGTCAGAGCTTTGGCTTTACTCAGATACACTCTGCTGCTGGTGACTTTCCAGACACCACTGGGGGAATTTGCAGCACAATTTGCTGAGAGAGGAGACTGGTGTTTGTTTTTTTCTTTTTAAGGAAGACTTAAGTGTCTAACTAGGTGCTCAGAGGGGAAATGCTTACCCTCCCCTTTAAACAGTATCCTATATAGCCATCAGCAGTTCAGGAATGCAAAGTAATCATGTTCTTTGTCATGAATGCAGTTGTACTGGAAGACAAGGATTACTACCCTACTGCCTGCAACAATTTAAGGCAGGCTGTATTGCCGGTGTGATTCCGTCAAAGCTTTTACTGAAACACTGAAAAAAAAGGTACTTGGATTTGTTACTATGACAACAGATATGAAACAGAAGAATGCCCCTAGGAAATAATGTGAAGGCAAAGAATTTTACCCCTGAAAACAACAAGCAGACAAATTATGGAGAGAACTTAAGTTTTAAAAGACTATATCCTGGCTTCAGGGTAGTCCAAAGCTGCAACAGTAAAATCAGGCTGCTGAAATCCATATTGCAATGCATAACGCTTTATTATTTGCTGGCTAGATGGGGAAAATGATTTTAGAGGAAGGTCTCTTACTCTCTGGAAAAAAAAGAAGTCTGATTTAACAAACACATACAGGTAACTGAGACAGCTTTAATGCAAAGAACTTAAGAACCTTTCATGCTCTAACACAATTCCCAAAGGGCATGAACTGTGAATCCAGTCCCACCTTGCTCTATTAACAGGAGATCTGACTATTCTGGCAGCCATCTGGAGTGCTACGATACTTCCTCAGAGTCCAAGATCATTGCAAAAGCACAGCAACATAAACCAAGACAGAAATTAGACAAGAAATCCAATATGGGTGAAGGGTTTTGTTCTGTTTTGGGTCTGGAAGGAATAATAAAATTAGGACTTCAAAATGTCAGCGACTGAGTTCAGCTCTCACTCCAAGGAACCAAACTCCCTGCTGCCCCCGAGTGTAACAGTCTGCAGCTCACAGGCAACCGGAGCCAAAGGCAGGTGTCTTGTACTGAGCAGTGCTAAAACTCTTCTATGTCACTGCCCACATGTTTACTAAACACCTGTAAGCTTCTGGCCCTCAACATGTAGTGGATATGCAGAACTATTCCCTGCTGTTTTTTTGTTTGTTTCTTTTGTTTTTGTTTTGTTTTCTGAACCTGCTGCTGGATAAAAGAACCACTGAGCAAAGAACTGTGACATGAAAGAGCCATTCCCTGTTCTTTTACATGTCACTCATAATTTTATAGGCAGCTTTCTGCCTGTCACACATTGGCTGAAGACTTCTGGTTTATGTTGTGCTTTCTTGCACGGAAGAAATTTCAGACATCTGATCATAGCAGCCCCCTTTCTGCCACAGCCCTTTGGAGACCAGTGAGGACCAGAACTGCTCACAGGGTTCACAGTGCAAGCTACCAGAGGACAAGATAAAGACAGAAGTGGTCATCACACGCTCTTCCTCTGAGCGCTGCTTCTGGCCATGGCAGAGGCACAATACCCAGCTACACAGACCTCTGCTTTGACCTGAAAAAGCTAATCTTAAACTCCTGTGTCCCAGCTGGCTTGTTTATCTTCACGTGAAGGAATGTTAAATGTCCCACACAAACAGACACATGCGATACCTGTGCTTTCCTTCTTGTTTGCTCAAGTCACTTATTCTGGCAATGAAGAAAGCAAAATTTGATACAACTTGGTTTGACAGAAAAGCATTAATTTTATCTGCATCTTCAGATCAAACATCCTACAAGCAGAGACTAAAGGTAGAGGTCCCTGGAATCTCATCAGTCCTCCATGATGATGAATCATTAACAGCTAAATATTAATCTGGCTACTGCCATTAGTACAACATGATGAAAGTCAGACTTTGCCACTTTAAATAGGTTTAACCCGGTATTTTATTCTGATCTGCCCTCCTAACCCACAGTGAAAGTCTAGGAAACCCCTTTTAACCTACATAAAGCCACAGCAAAAATGTACCAAATATGTCAACCGCGGGGTTATTCAGCTTTCTGTCGGAATCAATTTTTCATCTGTTGCTTTTAATTTACCTGTGGAATGTTTTCCTACCACATTGTTCTTGTGACTTGTGGCTTAGCCTGGTTGTTTCTCTACGTGCTTGTGCTATTTCTTTGTGGTTGCCTTCAGTTACACGGCTTTGGCTCAGCTGTCACCTATCTACATTTTGACCTAAAAGCAACTACTTCATTAATGTCTATAAATATCCTGTGCTAAAGCCTGTTGAGGACGGAAATGGTGCTAAGATTGGTACAGAATCTTTCCAGCTGTGTGTGCGTTGTTCATTCCAGCTACAGTGGAAATTAAAAGCTGTTAATCTTTTCCTCAGATCCCTTTTTCCATTTTTTTCTCTTGCTATCTCTCTCTCCCTGTTTTTGGAAAACAGGGTGTAAGGGATGCACTACTGGATACAGAGGGGAGGATCCTTGGCATGTTTCCAAGAGAGAACATGCATTGTCTATAACCTTTGAAACAGTGACCCCCCAAATGGAAATGTATTTCAATCTTCCTCAGAGAGGAAGGTTCAAAGCATAACAGATGATCACTGCCCTGTTCCTAGAGAAGCACAGGCACTCTTTACCCTCACCCTTCCCCTTTTAGGCAAGGCAGTGAAGAACCCCCCATCTATAGGTGCAGAAATGAAGAAGGCTTTCCAGAGAAATCAGGCAAACCCCTGGACTACTGAAACAGACCCCTGAGTGCTTCTACATACTCCCCTTGATGACTTTAGATCTTAAATCCCTAAAACTCCCATGCTTCTTGCCATTGCAGGAACTCCTAGTGCTCACAAAAAGGACTGAGAAATATCAGGGGTTCATGCCCAGCTCCCAGGAGCAAAAAGTAACATTCACAGCTAGTGACTGCTTCTACTGTTTTCAAAAGTTGTTGAAAAGTTGTTCTTGTAATACAACAGCTGGCACAAAACACCACAGCAGAGCCCAGTCTCTGGAACAGACAGGCTGAGAGAACAGGCAGTTCTCAAAGGCCCAGCCAATGGCTCTGGCAAGGTTTTCAAGATGATAAATGCCCTGCACATCATCCACGTACTGTCTTGTCATGTCGTGCTGATGTTCCCTGTTCCCAAGGTCTGACAGCCACCAGGTGAGGGATGCCAGCACCGTCCCCTGTGCCCAGCACTGTCCCCCTTGCCACTCACCTGTCTGGTTGAGCGCGGTGAGCGACGCCGGCTTCCCCACGACGAGGCAACCCGGTTCCGAAGCCTCCCCGAGCTGCTCGATGCCGCACTGCATCCACTCGACCTCCTTGGCAGCCGGCTTCTCCCACAGCACTGTGCCATTTTTGCCAGACACGGCAGCAAGAAAGGCACATGGAGAAGGGAGACCTGAAGAGAAGAGGCATCAGAGGGACTCCTGCCCGTGCCTACTTCCACTGCCCTGCACCTCCTGGGTGCTGCGCCTTGCCCCGTTCCCTAGCCCTTCCCAGCTAACCCCGTTTTCTCTCCCAGGCCCTTATCTTCATTTCTCTTCTAACAGAACCACACGCCACTTCTAACTTCATGACACGGAGGAGAATCAACACGATGGGCACTACTCCAACACCAGCACCCCCCTCAGGACAGCTGCCACAGCAGCCTCACTAATTACAACTAAAAGAGAAGGAGCAGCCCTTACTACAAGGCCTTTTGTTTCAGAATCAGCTACCTTCATCCAAACAAGTATGGTTGAAGTTGCTGCTGCCGTTGCTAGCTCTGAAAGCGAAGATGACATCTTGCACTTTGTCCTTGTCCACATCTTCTATGGCAAGAAACTGGTAAGCCACTGTAAAAGAGATCACAAGCCAGGCACTAGTGAGGATTGCCTCAACCAACAGCACAGCTAGCTGGAGGAAAACACAAATTCCTAGAGTCCTACTCACTGCTTCCATCTCTGACAGCAAAACATTAGGACAAATTGGCTTTTGTATTAAAAAAAAGGCATCTACATGAGTACTGAGGACTGGAAGTTAGTGCCAAAGGAATTTTTTCTCCATCCCTCAGAGGATTTGTCTCTTTTTATAGCCAGGCATCCAGAATTTGAACTATGCTTAACAAAGAACAACTCTGGTCTTGGTGTGGGGTTGCTATTCCCAAAATAAAAAAAGACAAACAAACAAATCATGAAACCCAGCCCCAGCTATATCATCTTACTCACTCTCAGCTAAAAGCACCCTTCTTTAGCTCAAAGTAGCAGAACTTTAGATTTAGGCATTAAAGCACAAAGTCCAGTCCCTGTTGGTGAACACCACTTCTGTGCTTATAGCATAAACGGCATACAGCCACCACACACAAGGTTAAAGAAAAGCACTGACAGAAGCAAACACCCAGTCACCAAGGCACAGTACAAAGGTTGAAGAGCTAATTGAAACAATTATAAATTTGTGCAGTTAATAAAAAAGCAAGGTGCAATTATTCTACTCCCCTTCCTGTTAGGCATGGAGAAAAATTAGAAAGTCACACTGATAGGGAAAAGATGCTTAATGGTCCCCAAACCTAAGCACAACTTCAAGGGAACACTTCACAAAACCAACTGCAACAAAGATTTATTCCTAGATACCCTTCCCTATTTCTTTTATTCCAAACGAGAGCAGTCTGTGCCTTGTTAGTGCTTCAGAGCTGCATTTAATTTTTCAATTAGATCCCGTAAGCACCTCCTGGAAGGCCACTCCAATTATGACGGGCCTTTGCTTATCCAGGTCAGGTATTCACAGTTCTCGCTCCCAAGGGGAGCACCCCTGCAGGCCCAGCTCCAGATTGTGCTGAGGCAGAGAGCCGCAGTTCAAATCCACAACATGCAAGGGAACAGAACCATTGCTAAGTACTTATTCTGCTACAGTAAGCTCACCTGCATTTTCATAGTATTGGAACCATGTTCTTTCCGAAATAGGCCTCTCTGGGCAAGGAATGATAAACGAGAAAGCAAACACAATTATCAGACACAGAAATAATGAGATGAAGAAGGCAGCAGTGCGCCACCGGGACAGCCGAGACAGTTGTGATGACTGCTTGATGATAATTCTTCTCTCAACAAAGTTTTCATGGTTCTCTTGAGCTTTTACATCCTCTGTCTTCAGAGGGTGGATCTCAGCTTCTGCGTCTTTGTTATCCATCGCAGCTCACTCATTCAGACACTCTTCTCCTCCTTCACCTGCAGGGGGACAACAGAAAGAGCAGTTAAAATACATTTTGGAATATAGAAAAAAATGACAAAATATTCTCCTGCTACCTGATATTCACACTGGGAACATTTAACAGGAGGTGGCAAGTCAGTGCACTGTCACACAGCTGGATAAAGCACCTCTGGTACTCGAGGTCTCCTACCCAGAGCAACGGGGAGAGGCAGCAGGACCCCGAAATAGCAGCGTTCGGTCTCCAGAGCAGGAAATCAGCACCGCCAGACCCAGGGCAAGGACAAAAGCAGTGATGGCTTCTGTGCTGAGGACCGGCTGCCTAGTGAAAAACACGCCAAAAGCTCCTTTTGCTGAAAAGACTTCTCACCACCTCCCGCGTATTTCAGTCTGACTCCTGGCTGGATAGGTGAAAGGAAACACTCATGACCTTTATTTCCCAACATAAAGATGTTCCCGGGTGTAATGAGCACATGAGCTTCCCGGGGAGAGAAACAAACACCAACGTATTCTGCGTAGGAGCAAAACAAAGCTATTCAGCACCAGCCCTGATGAGAAGCCACTTGCTAAGTGTTGCAACCCAGCCCTACAGCAGGCAAGAGAACAATTACTTTCCTCTCTGGAGGATAACAAAAGCACAAATTCAGACTAGAATTGGGCAAATTTGATTTCATCGGAATGGAAGAGGAGCTAACAGCTGCTATTTTCATTTCTCCTGCTATAAATCATAATCTATAATTAATGGAACTGCACTTGGGGAAGACAGGTTCCCCTTGCCACAAATAATCAAACCACTTTTCCTCAGCTTGACTGAAAAGCTCTTTCTGCAGGATGGGGCCAGGCTCCTCCCTCCCACTCCAGAGGTGGAGCAAAGTGCAGGAACTGCAACCAGCAGGACCCTTCCCATCAACTTTCCACTGCAGGAGTCAGGAGTTCTGAATTCACAGCCCCGGACCATCCGCAGTCAGCCCAAATGCTCAAAAAAAAAAAAAAAAAAAGAGGTCACAGTAAATGAGAAATGGCAAATACGAGACTGAAGAGGACAGGCAAGGCGAACAACTTGGATCAACTTCTGGCACTCAAAGGAGCTCCTACATTCCAGAGGTAATCTCAAGGCAGCAAACTGTCAGCCTCTGGCAGGATACTTTGAGCTACAGCTACAGTACCACAGGGGTTTTTGCTGATTACCTTCTGAAAAGGAATAAAAGAAAACCTAGTCGGTTACAGAAGTCCGTAACATTACCCACGATAATAATAATAAAAACTAACTTTAAATGTAGTTTTCAGGCCTCTCTCTAATGTTTCTTTAAAAAAGTAGCAGGAGGAAAGGAATAAACAACTACACATTCCAGTAGCCTTGGAAAAAGCTGCAGGACAGTGTCATAAGAAGTTTTATCAGAGCAAATAAACACGACAAACCAAGCCAATTTTCCATTGCCCCACTGGTCACGTGCCCGGCTTGTCTGCCCGGGCGATTTACTTCCCCAGCAGAAAATAACTCCAGCTCCACGCCACCACAGGACACAGAGCGTTTGAGCCTTCACCCCGTGTAACGAGGGGCTCGTTAGGCTTCACGGCTGAAGGGGAACAAAACTACACCAAAGCAGAAGGCTGAGCACAACTGGTGAGCAGGACAGCCTGGCACACTGCTGGCAGCCACCTACTGGACGAGGCTGCAGCTCTGAAGCGCTTCAGCCTAAGCCCTCTGGCATTTGTTCTGAGACAGCACATCGAGTACAAGATCTCACTCCAGACAATTTAACTCAGGCTGCACGATCCCACGCAAATTCAATTAAATCAATAGTGCAGAAGCTGCATCTTCCAGAGACCTCACTCTACGGACCCCATCTGCCCTTCCCGTCAGTCGACCAGCAACACCTGAGACAACTCCACGGGGCCGACTGCTTCAGAACCCACTGCAGCACCTGGCAGGCACTCAGCAATGGTGGGAAGACTGCAAATGGAGAGAAGAAAAGAAAGAGCTGTTTATGCTGACTCCCCCGGGCCTGGCCACGGCGGCAGCGAGCTGAGCACTGCTTCCCTGGCACGGCGGGGAGCCAGCTCTGCCCCAGGAGGAGCGGCCAGCCCTCGAGAGCAGGGTCAAGGTACGAGGCCGCAGTCACATGCTGAGCAAATGATTTACAGGAGAGGAGCAACGACAGCCTCTGCCGGCCCGGTAATGGGGGAAGAAGGCAGGAATTGGTGCCGTGACCTCTCCCGTGGTGAGGCAGATGGCTTGTGCTGCACCAACATACCTGCTCTCACCAGCAGGGACAGGCGGCCCCTCTCCAACACCAGGGTGACGGCCGTGCTGGGGCCAGAGCGCAGCCCGAGCAGCCTGTCCAAACACAGCAGCCACGGGGAGGGAAGCCAGGGAACTTCTAGGACACAGTCGAGTGCTTCCAGCACCTGCAGCTCCTCCTGAAAACAGCGCACAGCGGAAACCGGGCTCCTCTCCCTAGGCCCCGATGGGCATCACCTTAACGCCGTGCTGACGGCGGGTTTCTGAGTCACTCTAAATGACACCACTGCCATTAGGCTGCGATGAGAACAATTTAAAAAAAAAAAAAGTGATAATTATACTGACAGCCCCAGCAATTCCCCTCCTTTGGCAGCACCAGCCCTAGGAGCCACGGGTTACAAACAGCCCTCCTTCCCTTCAAAGCAGCTCCTTTCTCTTTTCGTTCGGGGTTTGAACGCTGCCCTTCGCACCCCTGCCAGAGCATAGGGAGTGCTGGAACAACGGCCCCGAAGGTCAGCGGCAAAGACTCGGACAATGCAGGAAATCCCACTGCCCACAGCTGCCAAAGTACATGCTGGCAGCACATGAAACAGACTGATCTTTGAACAACAAAGAACTCCGGTAATCAGTTTAATTGGAGACAAGCAGAAAACGATCCTGGGCCTTTCGGGAGCGTCACCGCCCTCCCGCAGCCGACATTTTGTCTCCCTCTGGCAGAGGGAGATGTAACTCACTGCGACTTCCAAGGCACCCGAGCACCTTGCAATGAAATACGCTGCTACCTGACCTCGTGCTCCTGCATTATTTACACATGCTGCCCGTGCTACACCTCGTGGCTAGTACCAGCCCTCTGCTGGGGGACGGGACGCCTCACCACGAGAAACCATCAGAAAAACTCCCTAGAAAAGGGAATAATTAGGGGCTGCACACTGACCAATGTACCCAGAGGGCTCTGTACCTTGCATGACCTCCTTCGCTGGGGCACGCTTCCATCCCCAAGCTCTGAAGGCCATTCCCCCACAGCAGCACAGCAAACACCAGCTGGCCCTGCTCAGGACAGTCCCTGCTGTCCCCATTCTCGTCCCACGGCGCCGCCGCCACTCTCAGGACAAGCGCAGTCCCCCAGCGTAACTCACCTTCGTGGCGCACCGACCTTCCTCTTCTCCTGAAGCTACAGCTTGGAAGATCTGATCTGAACCAAACCTGTGAAACTCGTGCAGCAAGCGGTCAATGCCAAGCTGCACCTAAATCTAAGGGCAAACTGTCATTATCAGAGAGCTCGAGAAGCGCAGAGAACCACGTGAAGCCAGATGTACGATAACTGGCGACACAAATCATTTAAGTATGAGTGTGATGGAAGGTTTAACTCATTTTCCACCCATAAAATACCGAAACACATTCCTAACTACAGTAATCTCACAAGCTGCCAGTTCTTCCTGGAAATTCTCTAGCAATATATCAGACCTGGATCTGCTGTTCAACACGTTCCCATTTTTCACAGGGTGATTGAGTCAGATTAGGACTGGCCGTTTCAATACCCCAAACGCAGCACTTGTTTTTTTGTCTTTTTGTGGTGCTGTTCTTTACAACACCTTAGAGGTTCCTTTTGTGCCAGCAGGAACTGCTGAAACCCCGCACTGTAACCCACGACGACCGAACAGCTGCGTAAGATGCAACACTCTCCTCGGGGTTGTCTTCCAACGCTGGCTGCACCGCGCAGCACTGCAGTGAACTCACTGGGCAGTCACCTGCTGCAACAGCAAGAAATTAACGACAAAACGTGCCAATTTTTTCCCTTTTCTGCAGTCTTACTTACACCGGGATCCAGTCGAGAGGAAATACGTTAAGATTTCCTCAGATTGAGATTTTCCTCTCCAAACGCAGACTGCCCTCCATACACAAGCTTATCATTCTGCTGGGTCACCTGCAGCTCATAACTCTCTCTCGACACAAAGTCCCAGCCACCGGCTCACAGGGAGAGCTGCTGCAGGCAGATCATCCCCTTCCCACACCATGGGGCACCCCCAGCTCCTTCTGCCACCCCAGCAGCCTCTGTAAGGCCATGGTTTGAAGCTCAGACCTCAGGGCTCAGACACAGCTGCACTGCTGCTAGTTGTCCTCCCTCCCTTCCCACATTCCTGCTGGTTTCCTTCTGTTACCACCAGGTGCTTCTTAAGTGATACTTCACCCTCCACGACAGCCACAGCTAACTCCAGAGAGCAGTCACGGTAAGAGAATTGGAAACTTCTCCGGAGCACCACCAGATGTAGTCTCGGGGAGTGACACCCCTGTCATTTGTAGGAGAAAAGTCACGTTTTCCAGGGCAGTTTTCACTGCAGTCACGCGTTCAAGTGGAGAAACTTGATTAGTTTAGTCAAGAGCAAGGCCTGGGCCAGTGTTTTTCCAGGATGGCAACAGAGAAAGCATCATCCTGAGACACAGCACTACAGAACAGCACTAAAGCTGCAGAGCTACGTGGAACTGATTACAGGTTAGGCCACTAATAATAACCAAGCAACAAACACACGGGCAATTTATCACCCCAGAACGTGTAAGCGCCTCTGGTTCAAAGCCACTCGCCCTCACTGATTGCTGCAGACCCCTTGCGTCAGCCCCAAGCGTGCTAATTAGCGAGCTGTGCCAGCCTGCAGCGTCAGGCACATCCCCACCGCATCCACACGGCCTCCCCGCTGCCAGGGGCTGAGCAGGGGAGCTCCTTCGGGGGGATCACCGGGCATGAAAGCTCTTTGGGAGATGCTGCAGTGGTTTGATGTACATTTATTAAAAAGAACAAGAGGAATTATGTTTTTTAAGTCCAGAGCTTGTTCCACAGATCTCCCCGTACTGCGCAGGTCACAGCCCGGCCACAGCCAAGCGGGGTTTGGGGCAGCACCGAGCGATGGCCTTCTGCCACCTGCTGCTGTCACTGCCGGCCACCTCCGGGACAGACCCCTCTTTCCTCCCCCAGAAATTGCCGTTTGTTTGTTTTTTTCCCTTTTTTGCTCTCCCAGGAGCTGAGCCCGCTGCCGGGCTGTTAGAGCAGGGCCAGGCACTCGGGGCTGGCTCCAGGCCCCTCTGCCCCAGGCCCAGGGCTCCCAGCAGTTAGCGGGGAGTTTTCGCTTCCCAAAATAGGGTGAAAAAAACAAGGTGGGAGAGCCCCACTGGGGACACTGAAGCGTTTTATTCCTGCCAGAAACGTGTTAATTCACGCCTGCACACCGAGCCTGCGGTCTGCAGAGGAGAGAAACGTTCAGTGGGGGCTGGAACAGCGCTGGGAGCTGCGGGGCCTCCGTCTGCCTTCACAGGGTCACCCCACGGAGCGGTTTGGGTCGGAAGGACCCCAAAACTCCCCCAAATCCCCCCGTGCCGTGGCCAGGACGCCTCCCCCCGGGGCAGGGCGCTCAGGGCCGCGTCCAGCCCTGCCTGCAGCACCCCCACGGCTCGGGGCACCCCCAGGGCTCTGCGGGCCCGGTGCCAGCACCTCAGCACCCCCCGGGCAGAGCCTCTCCTCCCGGGCTGAGCCCCCCCTCCTGCACCCCCAGCCCCTCGCCCCCCTCCTGCCTCACCCCAGTCCCTTGCAGGCCGCTGCGAGCTCCCCGCGGCGCCGCCTCCCCTCCGCCAGCACCCCCCGGACCCCTCCAGGACCGACAGACAGCCACGGACACACACACAGCCAGACGGACACACACTGCCCGCACTCACCCCGTCCCCTCCGCCTTCCTCCCCCTCCGCCGCTTCCCGGCTGGCGGCGGAAGCCCCGGCCCGGCCCCGCCCCGGGACCGGAGGGAGGAGGCGGAGGCCGGGGGGGGAGCGGCGGGGCCTCAACGCGCAGCACCGGGACCGGGACCGGGACACGGGGCAGCACCGGGCACAGCCGGGACCCCACAGCACCGGGGGCGTCCCCGGGCATCCCCCGCCGCCCCCCCGGTTCCGCCCCGAGCCTGCCCGGTCCCTCTCTGCCCGTCACACAGCCCCCGGCGGGGCAGGGCAGCCGCTGCTGGCCTCCTCTGAGCCTGCATCAAGCCCAGGTTCACCCTCCGGGCACAGCCCGCAGCCGGTGTTTGTTGAAGTTTTGGTCACCCTCACAAAATCCAGAGCTGCTGCCAAAGGGGCACAGCCAGGCTGAGCACCGTCTGCTTTAATGGGAGCAGTGAGGCAGCTCCCAGGGGCTGGAGATTTAAAAATGAGGTGGCTGGACACTAAAAGGGATAAAAAACCCAACCCTCTCCATTTAACTATAAGAAAAAATTAATGAAATCGGAATCAGCACTACAAATGATCGTAAACTCCCATTGTGCAAAGCATCAGGTAAAATCTTTTCCAAAAGCATCACAAAGAGGACAGCAGCTCAGCCCCCCACCTGCCGCGCTCACCGCATCACAACACACACGGGGCGAACGCCGGCCTGAATTGAAAACGATCGGTCAGCTTTATTTATTCCTACTAAAACAAAACCTGTTAAACAGTACGTAACTCTGTGTCTCTACAAACTCACAGCTATCTGCCAAACAATAAAAATTCAAAACTACAAAAGATGAGTTGTATTCAGTAAATATAAATGGGAAATTTAGGCTTTGTGTAGAATGTTTATCAGACTATTTACAGTGCAACACAGATCATTTGAGTTCAGATCTCGCCAGCTTCTCTCTCTTCTGATCTCTTGGAACGAGATTTGCCATTTGTGCTCTCGTGCCGCCTCTCAGAAGAGCTCTTCTCTTTTCTCTCTCTGTCTCGGGACTTCTCTCTTGAAGATCGATCTCTAGAAGATCTGAAGTACAAAGTAAACCATTGCTATAAGCTCCACAGATGAAAGAAATTGAATAAAATATGCATAAAACATCAACATTTTTCCTAACAGGGCTATGACATAACACAAGTTTCTTACAAAAACGCGCCCAGGGACTGTAACATCAGGAGTAGTGTTGCCCAAATAGAAGCCCCGGTCCCTCTGCACACCTGAGTATTTCACATAAAGCTTGCAGTGCCCAGTGGCCAGCACAGTCCCTGTTAGCCTTCTCCTTAAGAGTAAGCCTTTCACAGCTGCTGCCACAGGGTCCCTCTGAGGTGTTCCCATTGTGCCTTGCTAGTTTACTAGGCTGTACTGAAGCACCAGCAATTTCTTCCTCACCTGTCATTCAGCACTGTTTGTGTCTTTTATAGAGGTTTTTTACGGGGTTACACTTTAAGCTAGCAGACTTCTGCTCAACTGCTTTAAATACCAGCTGTATTCTTTGGATTCAAAGGCTTGCTCAGGCCTAGGCTTCTGTCACTCTGCATCTGACAAGCAGCCATCCCAAGCACCCTGAGTTCCAAGTCAGGATGATACCAATTTTTAATTTCGAGCACACAACAGGCAAATCTTTGCACAGCCTGCTGAAATGATAGCTACAGATTTTCAACAGTGCTTCATTGTGTCAGCCCACACAGCATTAAGCAGAGGCTTTCATACTAGAAACAATCCTAAAAGGCTCTTACCCTGTATGATTCATGCCAACTGTCAGAAATCTGCTTATCAACTAGGTGCTGGCCCTTAATTCTCTCTAGCAGCCCATACGCCTGTGGAACCAGGCAGAAGCTGTCAGAGACCCTGCACAGCCAGCAGGTTGTACTCTAGGACTCAGCACACAGGTCCTACTTCGTAGTCACAAGAAGAGGACCTGGCAGGCATCTTACAGGTTCCAGCTTTCCTTCGTGTTGGTTTTAAGGTTTGGAACTCTTGCACAATTACATTAAAACCTTACAGCCCTCTGTATCTTGAGCCACTTCATTTTCGTTACTTTAAATTGTGTCACTTAACTGGAAGACAAGAAACAACATGAGTGTTTGATTAAATTAACTCTTTTCCTGTCCCCACAACAGGCCATGCTCTCCATAGTTCTCTTACCCTCAGACCTCCAGATCCCGTGACAGGCTATTTCTTTATAGAACCAAGACTTCAGACCAGCAGAACCAGAATGTAGGTTTTGTTCACTCTGAGTGAAAACAGAAGCTACACCCTTTTCAGGGAATAACGCTTTCCTGTTTGTTCATTTTGCTTTGTTTTCTTAAACTGACACTGGTCTCTCCCCAGCTCAGTAACTCTGTGGAGGTATGTCAGCTAGCCAGTCCTCCTACAATCTCAGTGGGCTGATTGAATGTGTTCAAGGTTTTCGAAGTAATCCCTTACCTGCTCTTTAGTAATAGTTATTACAGGGTCTTCCTCACTTCCTAATTGTCCAAACTTCTTTTCTTTATTTTTCATGTTCAAGACAGATTTAAAAAAGGACTTTAGTATCTCAGCCATTGGAGAATCAACAGTATTCACACACACACACACACCCCCCCCACGTATTAACAGACTTTTTTCATACCATTATTCCCCTCCCCTTCATCGGGTATTTTTAAAATATGTTCTTTTACCCCTTAGCTAAAGTGACACAAGGCACACAACAGTAGGTTTGTTTCTTGAATTGTACTTAAATGGCAGGTGCCTAATCAGGTGAGACACTCCTTAAGCACTCCCCTATTAACTAAGGGCATTAAAATAAAGGCTAGATTCTAACTTCAGCAAGCACCTGGGGGTAAACTTGCTTCCTGGGTTTGGAAGGGCTGTAAGGAAACACGTGGTTTCATTTCAATTTTCCTAATACTCCTACATACACATGCCTGCTTCAGCCTTCCTCCAGCACAGGGGGCGTGTTGCTGAGTTTCAGAAGAGGCTTAAAGCCTTTTCTCAGACTACAGGGTTTCTCCTCAGTGACAGAATGGTATAACTCCTCCTTCCAGCTGTTTTTCTCCCTCCCTCACCCAATGGAGATTTTTAAAAATCTCTCAACTAGCTTTTTTGTTACCCTAATAGAAGGCCTCCCCCAGTTCCCAAATCATACTCTTCCCTTCCCCATTCCAGCACTGAGAGCAAGAACCTGGGAAGCAGAAGGTAAACACAGAAATGTAATGTCAAAACTGCCTCTGCTACTTGGGTTTTACATGCCTGGGGAGGCTGAGTGAGCACCAGCATGACTATGAGCTGCTGCTTATGCAAGAAACCCAGCAATTTCTCAAGGCTCAGCACCACAGTTCGGGGAATGACAGTTTTATCTCTTAGACTTCACTCTCCAGCTGGGACCTTGCTGCACAGGCACTGTGCCCGTGTGAGGCCATCTACAGACTGCCACTGGGGAATACTGCTTTGGCCCAGGAGCTGGTACAGGGCACGTGCAGCTTCTAACTTGAGAAACCCGTCAGACTCCTGCTCACTCTAAGGATCAGAGGAGGCTCTCTGTGATGCCAGGGACTCCCCTTTGCAGAGAAGCACTTGTGTGAGGAATACGTACTTGTGTTTTGAACTCCTGTCTCTGGACCCCCGCCGGTGACCTCGGCTGTGGCTGCGAGAACGGCTCCGGTGGCGCCTGTGCCGGTCTCGGGACCTGGAGCGAGACTTCCGCCGTTCACGGGAAGCTGACCTCGAGCGCCTCCGCCTCCTGTCCCGAGACCGTGATCTGAAGGGGACACAGACTGCCTCAGGCTCCGGAGATGGGCCAGTACAACCCCTCTGTACACTGGCACCCATCAGACATTCCAGAGCAACACCTACCCCGAGCATCAGCCCTCACCCCTCTCAGCCAGACCCTACCGGCACAGATCGCCCCCCGGGTGAACATCCTCCTCCCTTCCTGGGCTCACGCTACCAACAAAACACCAGAGGGTAAATTCAAGTTGATGGGGAGCTTATGAAAATTACATGCACCACTAACATCAGCATATGGTGATGCCTAGAGCACAGCCTACCAACTGTAATATTTTGCCTCACTTTGACTGAAGGAGGAGAAGGGAAGGCAAAATTAACCTCACATGAAATTACCGCAACCTGTATGGCAGCCTGCCAAGAGGAGCCCCCCTTGTGAAAGTACTGCACTTTCAAAACTGATTTGTTTCAATCTGCTCTAAAATCAAAATAAAGGATGCCAATGTATGTAGGGAAACAGGAGAGAAGATGACCTCCAGGTATGTGATCACTTATGGAATGCTGTCATACCATAAAGCAAGCTCTTCACAGAGATGTTGGGGCTTTCATCTTGAATCTTTCTTTTAAAATTATTATTATTCTTATTATTACTTACATCTGAAGTATTATATATAATAGATACATTTCAGATACGAAAACTATCAAGGGGTATTAGACATTTATTGAAAAAGGTACTGAGTGTGTTCTTAGGCTGGTATTCTGGAGCACACAGCACCCTCTGTCCCACCTGGGCTAGCCAGCAGATGCTTTCTAGTCCAGCGGGTGACATTGGGTTGCACAACCCTGCAGCAGTGCCCAAGCAGTAGCTTCTATTTCTTTCAGGGAGCATAACAAAATGACTGTGGCACAGAATGAACTCCCTTTATGAGACCCATGAAAAAAACACAGTAATTAGATAAAAACACAAATAGGCATTTAGGAGAACTGCACTCACCTTCGACGATCTCTATTTCTTGATCCAGACCTAGAAAAGAGAGGAGAGTTAAGTGAGAGAAGGCATGGTATAGTCAGTGGTTTTGTTCCCCATAAAGCCCATCCACCTGGTAGCCTTCCCACAGAAGCAACAGCAATATGACAATTAATATGTCATTTAAGAAAGCTTGCCATACAAGCCAGAAAACATTTTATTAGCTTCAACTGGGGGCAGTGGGGTGTCACAGTATTGTCTAAAACTGAAGAACACTGCAGAAACACTGGTTTCTACAGGGCTCGTTTGTAGTTTCCCAACTCCATGCAGAGCTTTCTGTGAGAACATAGAAGACCTACAATCCAATCCCAGCCTCTGTTAGTTAATACACCACTACGATGCACCTTTCCAACTCCTAATTTGCTGCGTGTATCCAGCATACACTTTTTACCATCTGCAGTCTAACATCAATGAGATGAACATTTTCATGTAACAGTGCCACTCTCCAGTCAAAGACTGGCCAGACACTGAATATTCTGATTTTGGTTCCTCTGAGATAGTTGAGGTTTGAGTAAAGGAAAAGTACAGTGTTTTCTTACTCATTGTGAATATTTGAAACATTAGATGTAAAGTTGCAATTTTTTTCTGTTTTGGAAAGATGAGCTAGAAAAAAAAAAAAGAGGAAACAAACACGGGAAGAATTATTACTGAAAAGTAAAAGAGATATACTGAAAATGCTTCATCCCATATTATAAAGCATCTCCAGAAGAATCATCCAGGTCTCTTTCTGTCTCGCACGTCCATGGCTTCAGAGCTCCTTTATGGAGCTCTCAGCTTAACTGTAAGCATTAGCTTTTGACAGTCTGTAAATAACATTACAGTTCTTTCAACTCCTGCAGCACCCTTGCTCAGCACCACTTGAGGAGCCACTCCGCCTGAAGGACAATGCCTTTCCTTTTTCTCCTTGGCCACATTCGAAGCCAGCCTACCTCCGAACGTCACAGACTGAACAGCCTCTTTCTGCTTTACTTGAAAAGCAGCCAGCCTCTGTTTAGTGACTTCGCCTTGAACCCTTAACTTCTCCCACTGCATACAGACTCACAGGGGATGCTCCAGCTACACAGCCACAGAGCTTTTTGGCTGCGTACAGGAGATGCAGCTGAAAGTTACACACAAAACTAAAAAAAGAGAAAAAGAAGTATCTACTTTGTTAATACATTTTAAAACCATACATGGATAAGAAAATATTAGAAGAATCAATATGCCCTGACATCCCTTCACAATGAACAGGATAGTTCAATCGTGGTAGAAAGAAAAAACAGAAATTTAGAAAGGGCTTCAGGTAAAAGGAGTGTAAACCAGGTAGAGCTGACCTTGGGAGTCAGGTGAATAAACCTTGCATGACAAGACCAGGCCACGCATGACAAGACCAGATGAAGGCAAAGCTGATAAACCAGGAGAGCAAGGCAATAGCTACACACCCACTTCCTCACGTAACAAGAAGTGACAGAGCCGCAGGACGCCCTGTAGAGGCCTGACAGGCAGTTGTATTTTTTGATGGTTGTCATTACTCCAAGTTCTTCATGTTCTTTTCCTCCTGATCGCTTTATTCTGAATCACTGGTGCACACATCCACACAAAGCTATTCCACATCCCCTGCAAGAAGCCTGGTCACCCTTCTGTGACTACGATCTGAGCAGGAGTGCACACAAACTCCTGATAATCACTCCATAACGCTAAGCTTTGGAAATTCAGGAAGCATCCAAAAAACCTGCACTTTCCTTACCAGCCTGAATCAGCAGACATCAGGTCACAGCAGATGAATGCTGCCCAGCCAAGTCAAAAGCTGTGCTTTATTATTTTTTCTGTCCTGCATCACAGAGGCTATGTGCTAAGTTTCATAACCTATGTTTTGCCTAACTTACTAAAAAGGAAATCCATTCAGCAGCTCCACGGTCTTGTTTTCTGGTGTACTTGGCAAGCAAATACTGCTGTCTGCCCTTCCAAACATGCCAGCTCTCCAGAGAATTTCAGTCCTAAGGGATCACTGGGTAGCAGTCACCAGCAACACCAAACACAGAACAGAGAACTTCTCTGCATTCACCACTAGGGGCAACAAAACCATTCACTCATTCCTACATGGAGAACAGTTTATTTGGCAAATTAGTAACGTCTATAAGAGTTAAGAGTTTTTCAAACCCATCCACAGGCTTCCATAATGTGTCACAATGCCTAAAAGCCACCAAAGACGTCTCAAAGTCAAGTGGCATTCTTCCTCTTGCTGAATACCCCCCTGAAGATGCTGCACATGAAGACAAAATAAAAGTTATGCAGGAAACGTGTTTTCTGTAGTTCCTGAAGTATCAAGTTCTGCTTAAGACAGGTAGTCTTTTAAGTTGCTAGAAGTCACCGATCAGTTTTTGTCAGAAAAACACCCCTGTAAGTTGCACAGCACCCAGAAAAGCAGGTGCTTTGAAATCAAGAAATCTGGGCTCTAGTCCCAGTTGACATTAAGCATCCACTGGGAAAACTATTTTCCTTCTTTGTGTTAAGTTCCCATTTTAGAGAGGAAAACAATTTGACCTCCTCTATACATCATCCCTGGCTCCATCAAAACATGTTTTTTTTTTTGACATCTGAACAGAGGAGCACAGAGGTGCCTCCAGACAGAGAGAGGGAAAAGGCCGGCCACAGACTTTAACTGGTGCAAAATATGAAACCAGCAAGATATCAGACACCAGGCCAACTCACTGCAATTCTTAAAACTGTTATATTTATAGCATGAAATATTCAGAAACCCCTTATCAGATGCATCCATACGTGAGCTACCTGTGCTGTGAACACAAGAGCCTCCTTAACTCCCAGGAGCTGAGATTTTGAGAATACACATGAAATACACACGTGCCACAGAAAGGAGAATGCAGAGATTAGAGGTTGGGGAGATGCAGACCAAGTTAGAGATCCAGAGTGCTCCTCCTGAAGGAAACCGTTGACTTGAACCAATTTCATGCAGAAACAAACTCCAGGAATACAAGAGACTATGGAGAGACACTCTCCAGGTTATCAGGGTCCTACTGTGAGCCAGAACAAGCCTACCACGAAGCAGCTGCGTGGGAAAACGCTTCTTGTCTCATTGCCATCTTTGTCTCCAGAACACCAACACGCATCAGTTCCATTCATCTGACTCTTGGGTTCAGCAGCCAGTTCCACATTCCGTAGCTCTCAAGTACAACTGCACTACTGACAACCTTGCACAGAGACCAAAAAGCTGCAAGGCTCATCATAAAGTGCCACAGTCCAGCAGAAAGCTGCGGCATGAACTAGCACTTCCTATGACACCAGGCAATCCCCAGTGAGAGAACCCAAATAAAATACTCAAATCAGGGAACGCATGACAATTTGGAGCTTACATCTTCATGCACCACAATTGCCAAGCCCCAGACCACAGAAAACCAAGGTCCTTCAGTTCTGGTACTTATTTGCTAGCATTTCCAGAAACGTATATCCAGAGGGCAGCACTACCTGAGACATACTGCAGTTATGTAGCTCATATGCCTCAGAGGACGCCTGAAACACACACCTCAGTTGACACTGAGGGTCAAAAAGAACTCTCCAAATGCAGCAAGGTGTTTTTTTTCAGATTCAAATGTAAGACTGAGGAGAAACATGAGGTAACTGGCAAAAAGCTGTGACAAGAACAGTGCTCCTACTCAGCCACGTCCTCTGTGTGACCACCACCAATAAATAACCGCTCTCTTCATGCCAGGCTGTTTAACCGAGCTGTTTACACACACGGAAGAATTAGTTCTTCCAGTTCAGCTGGCAAGAGGCAGAAGAACTCGTCATGAGAATACCAATGTGGTAGCCACTCCCAGGCTCCAGGATTACACGTGTTTGAGCAGAAGGTGACACACACGGCCACAACCACCACAACCAGCCACTCCTTGGGATCCTTCTGAGCAGGACAGCCCAGAGACGTCCTGGAAAGCATCCTCCAAAGCTGTGCCAAACGTACCTCACTGCTATTGTAGAAAAGTTTCTGAGTAAGTCAGGCAGCCTGCCACCTGGCTCATGGATACTAGCTCCACTCTGCTGTCATCTCCTAGCCCAGAAGCAAGAAGGACTACCCAAAGAACTTTTGCATGACAAGAGCCATCTGAGCAGACCTGGCACTCGTTCTAAGTTTTCCCACTTGGATGCACTAGATGAGGTCATTTCATCCAGACTCCCAGCCACAGGGACTAGACCAACGTAAGCCTGAAGACTGCACATCTTCTGAGCTTCTATCTTGCAGATACACAGTGGGGGTTAAAATAATACACAGTCACTTTAACGTGGGGATTCTGTGCATTTGTTTTCATTCCAAATTGAACGCCAAGGTGTTCACACAGCATCCAGCGCATGTCCAACAGTTGATCCAGCAGCACATGCTGCTTTCCTGCAATACTCAGATACAAGAAATTATTTTAATAACTGTTTGTTTTATGAAGCTGGTTTTGACTTTCACCTACCGTCTGCCCATTCTCTCCTCTCGTTCTCTCTCTTCTCTCCGTCTCAAACGATCCTGGTTTCTCTTCTCTTGCTTTTCTGCCACTGTTTTCTAAAAAAAAAGTTTACATCTTATTTCAGCCATACGGTAACAGGATAGAGATCTGCAGGGAGTCTATGCACGTAGCAAGACAGGGACCTGTTTCATGGTATTTTATGTGCTAGTCCAGATCTCCATAAAGATTCTCATTTTCCTATGATGCACTAACATGCATCAGCCCAAGAAATGTCACTCACAAATCTGCTGTGCTTGTGCTCTAAGTGATGAGCCCACAGGCTTTGAGGCAAGGGTCTGTCTCACCACAATTATACACAACAGAACAGTGCCCTGGTCTTGTGCCATAATCAATCAAGGCATTGACCTCAATAGTCTGAGGAGTATGGCAAAGGAATCACCACTCTTACTCCAGCAGGTTAAAGGTTCCTGCTTGCAAGCAAGGCTAGTACCACCTGGCCATTACAAACCATTCCAGAAAACTGCTGATCAGCACTTCAGCTACCACAGACCTCCTTCCTTAACAGCACTACATGGAACTCCAGTTAAAGCGTTTCATTAAGAGGTCTCGAAGTGCTCTTCGATAGTCAGAAAACTCAGTGACAAATTTCAGCCAAACCAATGAGAAAGACCATGAGTACAGCCACATGTAGTTGAGGAAGAAGTTACAGCAGCGGTCTAATTTGACTAATTCTAAGGGTACAACATTAGTTACCCAGAACAGACCGCACGATGAGGCTAGGCAAACCTGCCATTTGAAGTTTTCAGGATTCAGAAATCAGAGATTTCTGGACTTATACAAGGGCTCTGAAAAGAATTCTATATGAGCTTAATGTAAATGTTGAATATCCTCAGAACTGCAAGAAGGATTAAAACAGACAAGATTACCCGCAGCTGATCCAACTTCTCACGAATCTGAATGAAACCCAAGTGTAATTTGCCTCCAAAGTGGTCAGCAAGACGCCGGTCATTGTCATGGAGACCCAGATACGCTGAACAGACTTCACACACACGCAGCTTCTGCTGTTGGAAGCTGGATGCAGGCATTGAATTTCGGTATTCTTCCTGAAGGAAGGAAAAAAAAAAAACAGGCAAATGTCAAGGAGTTCTTACACAACCTCAACCCTCTAGGGTAATCCCTGCGAAAACCTACACTGCTGCTATCAGGGATCATAAAAGCACCCTCATTATAAAGGAGGTGCCATACAAAACACTTTGCAAGCGCAGCTGCCCTGCTGGTCTATCCCTGCTAGTAACTAGTGACCAGATCTTTCAGAGGAAGAACTGCCTCCCCCTCCAAGTCATCTCTCTTCACCAGATAAAAGTTTCTAAAGAGCTTTTTTTTGTCTATCACACTACACCACCAACTACTTGCCAGCACATTGCCGGAACTGAAAGAGGAGGTGCTGGCAAAATAAGAAGAGAGGTAGGACCTGCCCAGCTGTTTATCACACAGCTCAACCAGCTGTTACAATTCCCAGAACACCACCATACCTCTGCCTCTTTCTTTTTTGCTCGGACTTTTTCCACTTCCATCAGGATCTTTTGAGACTCATCAACATTTCCTTCAGCTCCCAGCTGCTCAGCTTTAGCTAGGAGTTTTCCAATGTCTTCATTCAGTTCATGCACTTTCTCTGCCTACAGAAAATAAGAATTATTTTTTTTTATAAGACAAAAAGCTTGCCAAAGATTGCAGGACAACTTTTCCTTTTTCTTTGAAACAGAAAACCTGTTTAACATAAATAAGCCACTGCTGAAGATCATCATCAATCTCCAAAAGTCAAAGGAATCCCAACAAAAAGATGTTGGTAGGCTAAGTACAGGCAACAGTTCTAGACAGGTAGTAAAGGAAGTAACCATAGGTAGACAGGACATCATCAGTTCTGCCGCAAACAGTGGCACATTCATGGCTTATTGGACAGGAGAGAATCCACAAAACCAGCTTTGGAAACGTGTTTTGTACTGGCCCCATGAAAGAAGTTCCCAATGAGGAAATTACATGAGCATTTGCTACATGAGAAGACAACAAATCACGGGATAGATTTATTATCCTAAGCTGTTACATGAACACTGAATAGGGGACAGGAAACCTATATACCTTATAGACGTGCTAAAGCAACATCTTTTAGAGTTCATATTTTACCCTACTCTAGCTCTCGGAACCAGACACAAGAACAGCCAGAGCAGCATTTGAGGGTGATGACTGGAATCCAGCCAGTCTTTGTGGAGCACAGCTTCCCACTATCAATGGTGTCAGGGGACAGCAGAGCACCAGTGCTCTTGCACAGCCTTTCAGAACAAGGGTTTAACGAGAGGATGATACCTTTGCAGACACTTCAGCACTGATCTCTTCCTGTGTCTCAGCCAGGCGTTTCTTAGCCAGTTCTGTTCTCCTATCACACTCAGCAATGAAGGATTCCAGGTGATCCATAGCCTGCACATTCAGAAAGAGAACTGTGAACCAAGATGCTCTCCATGTGTTAGCCAATTTGACAGCCAACAGCTAGCTGGTGCAACCTCCGTACAGCGCACAAACAACTTCAAGAACAGATGCCTTCAGAAAAAAATGTAAAAAGCTTTGCAGAAAGTCAAAGAAAAAAAACACCTGCCCTAATGTCTGTCATCTGTCTGGAACCTGACACTGTTCCTTTACTCTGCCATATAACAGAATTCACAAATAACTGCTGCTTTGTACTGCACCTTCCGTTACATGAGCAACGGGTGCAGAGATAAAAAGCACTGCATGAAATCTGAAGATGACTGCTCTTCTCCTAGACTCGTACCATCAGAGAAAGCTAAATCTGGCCAGAAGTGAAATCACAGAGCAGAAGGCTTTTAACATTAATTCTTCTTCTGGGACAGGCCATTAGGTTACAGTGACCTGGTACAGAGCAGCAGGTGTGGGATGCAAGGAATGCCGTTAAGAGCCTCCCAGGTAGCTGGACTAATGGGGTTGCAAGGGCCATAATTACGTTTACAATTTGATGTCGGCATCAAGCTGACATTTGGGAAGGGGCTGCACGTTCTTGCCAGACAATACGTCAAATAATAGGGTTAGCTGAAATACCCACCAACTTCTATTGTTCAACCAAATAACTCCAAAAACCATCCTCCATACTTACATCCAGCTCAAAAAACAGGTCTCTCTCTTTACTTGCAATCTCATAGTCAGCCCTCAATGCCAAGTCATGGATCTTTGTACACTCTCCCAGGTCCATTCGCTGTTGAAAAGAAAAAGGAAAATTAATGTGAGAATCCCCCCCCATTATGGCAACAAGCAGCAGATGCTTAACTCGTGACAGGTGCACAATATCAAAGTCTCTTCAGGAAGAAGAACTTCCTCTTAAACTGTCATAACAGAACCAGCCAGAAAAACCACATGCTTGCTAGAACCACTCTTCTAGGAGTTCCTAGGACAACATTAAAGCACCCCAAATATTTTAAGTCCAGTCCTACTCCTGCTGTAGGTCACAGCAGTCTTACAAATTGCTGGGAAGGAGCTGGGAAGGCACAGCATGCTGCAGCAGGAACTTCTTCAGCAGGCACCAACTCCAAACATCTCTGGTGCTTCAGAGCTACAGAACAGCAAAAACAAAGCTTCGTACTCTGAGATCAAAGCTCACATCTGCATCAGAAAGAACATCAGTAATGTAACGAAACATACCAAGGCACAGGACACAGATGGAATGCTCTGCAAGAACAAATGCTCTAGGAGGAAGTCCTTCACTCAGAGGGCGGTGGGGCACTCAAGACCAGGTTGGACAAGGCTCTGGGCAACCTGATGTAGTGGGTGGAATCCCTTCCTATGGCAGGGGGTTGGAACTAGATGAGCTTTAAGGTCCCTTCCAACCCGAGCCATCCTGTGATTCTATGATTCTAAGAACAAAGGAACTTAAGGTAAAAAGGGGAACGGCTGCTAGAAAAACAGAACTCCATGCTCAGCTACAGCAGACTCGTAATTCTACAGCTGACCCTTCCCACATGCAGCTGCAACTTTAAACCCCACCAGCTCAACGGAGCTAATTCCTACGCATAAGGCATGGGAATTAAGGAGCATCTCCTCTCCCAGAAAGCCCTGACTTGAATTCTGTTCTTCACCTCTACTGCAGTTAATGCAATTTAAATTTATTGGGTTTCCCCGATCTGGTAGCTAACAGCCAAATAACTGAGTTTAATTATGCATACAGAACACGGAAACTGCATTTTTATGTTATCAATATGTAACAGAGAACATCCATCTTATTTTTAAAATAGAAAAAGAATAAGACACTTCTGAAAGCCAAAATAATAAAAGGCCTAAGCATAAGCCACAGCATGCTGTACAAATGGCAGGGCACAGGTGAGCTCATGAAGGAACACCCTGACCAGTCATCCCTTTCTCTCAGTCCCAAGGAGCCCAAACCTAAACACAGCAACACTGAAGTCAGAAGTGCAGAAAAAGCTAAATACGGCTGAACTGGGACCAATGCAGAATCCCAGCAAAACACCACAACCTAAAGCAGGGGGTGCCAGGGACACACATGTGGAGCAACACGTTCAGCCAGCAGCAGTGGAAGCGTTGAGAATTAAACAAGGTAACCAAAGCAAGCTCCACCAGGTAACATTTGGGGTTTCAGCAGTTACCTGTGCTAATAATCTTTTTTAAACAAAGAAAACAATTCAAAAGGACTTGCCACTATTTAGTCTTCCTCACTTGGCTCAGATTTACCAGAAACAGGAGACTACAGATAGCAGGCTACAGACACTTTATCCAGGAATAGCCTTGTTGAGCTTTCTAGCAGTGGAAACGTAATGCTTACAAAAAAAACCAAACAACTGTTCTGGTACTTTCAGAGCTTAAAAGATTTCATCTTCCGGCAAGCCTTTTCAAGGAAGGCTGAAGAGCTACTGTAATTTTGCCACAAAATCTTCCTACAACATTAGAGCATGATGTGACTTAAATCTTTTAGTTGTATGGTCATTCCACTGAAATCCCTTTCCAATACAGGGATAAAGAGCAATCCTTCTTGGGTTTGCCACAGATCACAAGTATTCTGATCTGAACCGTTCTTGCAAGCTGAGCCACAACCCCAATTCAGAGAAGGAGCTCCAACCCAAAGCCTCAGAAGAGCCAATGTGTCCTTTATTCCTCTCACTCTGTTAAAAGGCAACAAATCTCTTAAACTCACCCTCTAGGGGAGAATTAACTGGCTTCATCAGCATGTGAACTTCAGGTCTTCCTCCAGATCCTTTGAGATATCCAGGTGCATGAAGATTCTTACGTGTATTGCTCACTTCAGGTGAAATCACTTGACCTTCTGTTTCAAAGAATGCCCTTGTCCCATCAGGGAGGCTTCATCACACACTCAGCCTTTCCAGCAGCGTTTGTGACTTGTTCCAACCAATATCCATGGCTGGTTGGTGATACAGGTTCTTGAGACAGGAGAGCCTGAGTAAAGGCCTAACTCCCCATGAACACACTGACCTAACACATTCAGGTGTCACTGACCATCAGTCCTGCTCATGTTTGCTGCACAATCCATGTACATCCTGAGGCATCTCTTGCAAGCATCACTAGGAATGTTCTTCAGAAGAAACCACAGGTCTGGAGCTTTGCCCACTTGTAAAAAGGAAAGCACAGATCCCCACGAAACACCTCTGCAACCTACAGATTTCATCTTTATCTCCCACCGAGGGACATGGAACTTCCCTGAATGCAATTTCCAAGTAATGTTCTCCCTGGACAGCCTTCAGACTCATCTGTCCACTCATTACTGGAATGAGAAATTCAGGATTACCAGATGACACCATCCCCATGTGTTTCCACTGATGGATTAGGGCTCTTACGGCCAGGCACAGCCCACCTAAACAAAGCAAACACCAACGTGCCTCCTGCAGCTTTCGGAACAGTCCAGAGCCTTACTTAACAGGCCGGACTCTTTCTCCTACTCTGCACCTAAAGGTCAGTGAGAGGTCCTTCATCACATTTCACTGATCATTGCTGCTGACCAGATTCAGTCCCCTGCTCAGCTCCAACCAGCTTCCCACAACCTGGAACTATCTGTACCTGAACGATGCAGCAGGAACAATGCCTTTGGGGAAAAGATGCATCATAACCATTGCCAGAAGGCTCGGAGCATCTGTTGGAAGTTTCCAAAAACATACAAGATCCTGACGTTTGCATTAACACACATCCAGAGAGAGAGATGCCACTCTGTGCAGTTAATGCTGATCCACCCACACATCTCCTCCATGAACGGAGCACTGTAAGATGTTTGTAAACCTGACTGGGTCCATGAGGAGAGCCTGCTACTGTTCAGTTGTGTTTCATTCTGTGCTGGTAGTGCTGACAGCTAAATGTCAATCCCATTCCAGACATCACATGTTCTTTCAACAGTGACCTGTGGCACCAATTCACTTTCTTGCCCCCAAGAACCTGCTGTCAGCAGCACGGAGAGCTCCACAGCCACTTCAAGGCCACCACAAGATCATCCGAGTGATCTACAAGATCGCTTGCACAGAAGTGGTCTTCCTTCTTGTCCCTGGGTGAGGTTTCTGATTGCAAGTTCCACAGCAAGAGTAAAGAGACAACTCACTGTACACGTGTAACAGAAGCAGACAACTTTTTGGTGTGCTGCTATACCCAGGAGATTCACAATGCACCTGAGCACCCTACACTTCCTCTGTGCTTTGACACTGGCTCCAATCCCTTCATTTGACCCCTTCGACTCACCACCTACCTGCTTCCTGGAAGCACGTCAGAAGAGGCGAAAGGCAGCATCTTCAAAAAGCTGTTGAAAAAATCCACCCTAACCCACCGTGACTTGCACAAAGGATGGAAACGGGCAGGAGGTGATTTAAACAGCTCTACAATTCTGAAGCAGAGTGAGGTAATGTGGAGGCTGATGGAGCAGCCGCTGGAAAACACATCTGAGCTTCAAATTTCTGCCCTGCATCCTTTACAATGGTTCAAAAATACAAAAATTTGTATTCAGCTCTTCCAGGCTTACTTTGCAGCAACAGCCACTTAAAAGCTGAAGTTTGCATGCTAAGAGCCAGGGAAGATGTTGCTAAAGCTCTTTCTGCTGGCAGTACTGTAGTTTTGTGACCACAGTGTTACAATCCGAGGCAGAGCTAACTGCCAGCCCTGCCCTTTGTTGGTAACCCACTGTGTCAATCCCAGCTCTCAGAATGACAGAAGGAAGGGCTATAAATATTGACTGCATTTAAAAAAAATGTGTAAGTGGATGGACAACATGAAATGCCAGAGTAGTTAGTGCCAAACAGCAAGGATAAAGATGGATTTCCAATATCCACTTATCTCCATCCTGCAATCATGTAATCCAGCAACCACAGAAGACACGCACCAGTCTTCTGGAAGTCAGACTGCATCTTCCATCCGGCACCTAATTGGATACTTACTCCACACAGTCTCTCTGTTACCACATCACCTTTTGCTCACACAGAGAATATTTGAGTTAAATCTCTGAAAATTCGTCAGCTGCATCCCCAGAGGGCAACAGCTAAGGAAGCTGCCTCAAATGTTTTAAACCAGTCAGGCGGAGTGACACACCGCTCACACCAGCTCTAAAGGCGAAGCTGGCCTGAGCAGTAACCTGCCATTAGCACATCAACCCGTGATGATGAAAAAAGCTGAGGTTCCATCCAGAAAACATCACGTGGTTTAAACGAGGAGACTGAAAAGCTCAAGAATTGAGGGCTATTGCAGCTTGTGAGAAAAATGCAGCTACGCTGAAGAGGCAATGGAATGAAGAATGCATCCAAGACAATGTGCTGGCTCAACCAGGCTATGACGTGCCCTCCACAGGAGTTTCATACCCTAATTATCACAAGCAGTTAAAATAGAAGTAATCTTGCAACTTCACATGAGATTGCAAGACAAAAAGCATTTTGAGCAAATTCTGAGAACTCCTGACTTCAGTGGTTCCAAACACAGGTCACTGAAACTGAAAATAAAATTGCAACTGTTCTAGGGCAAGGGAAGTCTCATGTTTCCTGGGCTGCATCTCCTAGAAGTTACCTAGGATGGCACAGAGGAGACCAGGAGAATTGTATCAACCTCTGCCTTACCAGGATTCCTTATTACAGAGAAGGTACTTACTGTTCCTGCCAGGATATCGTGAGGACAGCAATCCAGAAGGTGGCTCTTGCAGACACGATCGTCTGTAAACTTCACCCTTTGTCTGGTTTCATCTCCTGAAATTCATTTGTGGTTTTAAATAAGGAGACATTAGAATGCTGATAAGGTAACAAAGACGTTGGTATGATCATTTCACCTCAATATGCAGATTATAACAGTTGGTGTTCCTGCTCCCCCAAATTACTTGAAAACGCTTATAGGGTAGCAGGATATTCTGGAAAACTTTTAAGTGGCAAAAAAAAAAAAAATAATACTATTTTAGCATTAATTCATCCAATACACCGTGTTAAACACAGTGTTGGCGAGCCAAGTAACGTCCAAAGCCTGTCTTCCGTATAAAGAGACAGCACAGCCAGAAGAGAAAAAAGGAGACAGACAGTCTGGCTCGCAGCCAATGCTTTCCTTTTTTCACCCCCCTCCCTTTTTATTTTTTTTATTTTTTTACTGTGATGAAGGGGCAGGAGATACTGGAACCCATGCTATCGGAGGGTCACGAATCATAGAACAGTGCTGTGCTGGACAGTTTATATAGGCAACTGCTACTTGCTAAGCTGATAATTAAGACAGCAGTCCGTTTGGTCTCAAAACCAAGTATGCAGTGTGTTTTCCAAGGCCGTGCAAAGCTGAATCTTGTAGGTCTTGGCCTGGAACGTGAAAAGTACTTCCCACCCGCCTCCCGCCCTCAGAAGACATTTTACTCGGGAGCCACTTAAACAAGACAATATCAGAAAAAGCAAAAAAGAAAAAAGAAAAAGGAAACAAAGTTAGTCAATACACACTGCGAGCTCCAACATATACTATACCCATCTGCATTCTTCAAGACCTCAGCTGCAGAATTTTATGCCCACTGTTGAAAAGTTTTAAAGGAAAAGCTTTCTTGCCCACACCTGCAGTAAGGAAGTCAGGGGAACGATACATAAAAGTAAAGGCAACGTGGTAATGGTATGTGACAGTTTTAAAGCTAAGCTGTGTATATGACACAGGTATGTGGAATACTAACGTATGAAAATAGTTTAGGATTTGCAAGCATCCAGGAATAATGTTGTGTCTACTCAGAATGTTTTTTTTTTTGTCGTTTTTTTTTTTCTTTCTATGCTACACTTTTAAAGTTACTCGTGAAAAAAAGCAAACACTTTTCTTTTGTTATAACAGCTTTAAAAATTGGTTGTGACTCACGGCTCGATGAACATGAGGCTTTTCTGCAACTCCCTTGCAGATTGATGTAGGCAGGCAAAGATACACTGAACCTTTATAAATAAAATAGAGGGGCCACAATTGTTCAGTTTGTATGAAATAAAAGGAGGGGAAGCAATTCAACAGCAACTCAACACGCAGAGAGAGAGAGAGAGCGAGCGAGCAGGGGCACTGCTTCGCTGAGGAAGCCGAGTGCCGAGTACCTCACAGCCCTGCACCGCGCCCAGCAGGCCGCAGGCGGGCCCCCGGGCTGCAGCGGGGGCTCCCTAGGGGCAGGCCCCGGAGCCAGGCGCAGGCCCCGGCCCCTCCGCTCCGCTCCGCTCCGGGCTCGGGCCCGGGCTCGGTGCCCGCAGCGGGGGGGGGGCAGCGCCGGGCCGGGCCGCGGCGTCTCCTGCAGGCCCCGCCCGCCCCCACTCACCGTCCCGGGCCGTGCCCATCAGCTGGTCCAGCAGGGCCCGCATCTGCGCCTGGGCCGACATGGCGGCGGGGCCGGGCCGGGCCGCGGCGGGCGGGCGGCTCCGGCCTGGAGGAGGTGGATGAGGGCGGCGGCGGCTCCGGGCTCCGCGCTGCGGCCTCTGAGGCGGACGAGCGGCGGCGGCGGCGGACGGGCGGCGGGCGCTGGGCGGAAGCGGCCCCTCCCGGCACCGCGCGGGCTGACGGGAGTTGTAGTTCGCGGGGCGGGGAGGGGAGGCGGGGGTGGCACCCGCGGAAGGGCCGTGCCAAGCCCTGCAGGCCAGGCCAGGCCATGCTGGGCAGTGCTGGGCTGTGCCATGCCAAAATGCTACAGGCACTGCCATACCCAGCTGTTACAGGCTGTGCCGTACCGAATGTGCCAGGTTATCCCACACCAAACTGTTCCACGCCATGCCACACCAAATGTTCCAGGCAATCCCATACCGAAATGTTCCAGGCTATCCCATACCGAACTGTGCCAGGCTATCCCGTACCAAACTGTTCCATACTGTGCCATACCAAACTGTTCCAGGTTATCCCATGCCAAACCATTCCAGGCTATCCCATACCGAACAATTCTGGGCTGTGCCATGCCAAACTGCTACAGGCAATCCCATACCGAACTGTTCCAGACTATCCCATACTGGACTGTGCCAGGTTATCCCATACTGAACTGTACAGGCTGTGCCATACCAAACTGTTAAGAGGCTATCCCATACCAAACTATTGCACACCATGCCATACTGAACTGTTCCAGGCAATCCCATACCAAACTGTGCCAGGCTATCCCATACCAACTCGTTACAGGCTGTGCCATACCGAACTGCCAGGCTATCCCGTACCACACTGTTCCACACCATGCCATACTGAACTGTTCCAGGCTGTCCCATACCGAACCATTCCACACTATCCCATACTGAACCATTCCAGGCTATCCCATACCAAACCCTTCTGGGCTGTGCCAAGCTGTGCCAGGCAGGCAGCGGTGGCAGCGGGTGACGTCAGGCAGCAGATCGAAGGGTGCCTGGGGCTTATCAGCTCCCGCTGGCCCTGTTTGCCCAGCAGTGCCTGGGCAGAATGGCTGCGGGTCCCCCCGGGGCTGCCAGTGTGAGCGTTTGTAGAGGGGACAGCAGCGCCGTGGGGCCCGGCTTGAAGCAGTGGCAGTGCCACAGCTCAGTCCCTGCTGTCAGCCCTGGGGAAGGGGCACCTGGGGCTGCAGACAGTGGGGGTCTGGTGGGTGACAGCCGTGCCCCGGGTGGCACTGTCCTCAGCGGTGCTGTGCCGGGCTGGGGGGCCCGTCTCAGTGCTGGGGGACAGGGACAGTTCTGTGGGAGCAGACTGGGAGCCACCATCAGCCCCACAAACAGAGGGCAGGGCAGTTCTGGAGCAGGGGCTGCCTGTCCCCAAGGCCAAAGTGCATCCGCAACCCCCCTGGGATCACCCCAGCAAGTGCTGCAGCAGGGTGCTGGGGGGCTGGGCTCTGTGTCAGGCTGCCAGCCATCCCGCGTGTATCCTCCAGTGTGGGTTGTCCCATGTGTCCCCACGTATCCCACGTGGGTTGTCCTGTGTCCCCTGACCATCCTGTGTCCCCACCCAGCCTGCACCCCCAGCCACCCAGGTTCCCCAGCTGTCCTTTGTCCCCTGTCCCCTGACTGTGCTCTGCGTCCCCCCAGATGGCCACACCAGGGCACGTCCCAGTGCCAGAACAGAAATGGCACAGCTGGGCCACAGCCACCTCAAGCTGCTGTGTTGTCACCAGCTGGTCCTCTACCATGCTCACAGCCTGCCCGGACCAACACAGCCACGCAGGAGGCATGGGGCATCCCAGCCCCCTGCCTGTGGTGACGGTGCTGCCATCCTGGGTGCTGTCCCTGCCCTGGGGCTGCCCCAGCTGCTTCCCACACGCACGTCCCCATCCCTGCATCCAGCACCGACTGACAGGGGCCACCCGCTTGGGGCACCCAGCCCCACCGCTCCACCCCAAAGTGCCTCTCCCACCAGCCACACCACTAGGGCCGTGTCCTGCCGCCTCAAAATACTCAAGAACCCACCCTGGGACTCATAACTGAGCCCCACAACCGCTTTGGGGTCTGCAGGGGAGCACGAGGTTGGAGACAGGGGGCCCGGAGCTGTGCGGGGGGCTCAGCAGGGACCCCTGCAAAGGCTCCAGGCAGGAGGTTTGGCCCGCCACGGCCACAGCGCCTGTTTGCACAGGCACGGCCCGATAAGCAGTGTGTTCTTCAGAAGATCCCTACTCCAGGAGTCAAAATAGCATGAAATTTAATTTTACGCCTATTTGACAAAGCTTGATTTCGCCTCCAATCAGCGGGGAGATAAGAGCCCTCGGTACAAGTGTGCAGGCAGTTTGGCAGCTGGGGCTGCCGATTTAATAGGTGAATCTACAGGAACAACACTTGAAAATCCCCTGGCTAGTGAACCATTAAGGTGAGCCCTGCCTTCCGTCCCCGCGTCCCTCCCCGCGCCGCTCTCCCGTTGCTGGGTGCTAAAGCAAACCCCAGCTCTGTTTACCGAGTCTACTATTACAATACAGCTACCAAATATTTGCCAGCCGTCAGCTCGCTGCTCCGCTATAAATACTTCAGGCCCAGGTGGAGGGACAGCGAGGGGGAGCGGCGCGGGAGCCTATGCATGGCCGGGCAGCAGCACCAAGGTGAGTGCCGAGCTGAGCCGAGGCAGCGGAGGAGCCGCGGCCCCGGGCGATGCCCTCCTGCACCGGGGCAGTTCTCCAGCCTCGGGTGGCACCGGGGAGGCCCCACAGAGGGGACTGGAAGCCCCACGGCGGGGACAGGGTGCAGAGGGATGCACAGGGGCAGCAGCGGTGCTGTCCCAGGCTTGGCCAGGAGGCAGCAGGATTTGTCCCCAGAGGCACTGCTGCCCCCAAAGCCTCTCGGAGCCGGGTGATGGCACCCCCAGGCATGTGGCTGAGAATGCCCCGCAGCGAGCCCGGGCTGGGGACCCCGGGGAACAGATCTGTGAACACAGAGGGGTCCTCGCGCAGCTCAGCAAGACCCAGCTGTGGTCAGAGACAGCCAGGGCGGTGCGGGGAGGTTTGCCCTGCCGCAGGGAATCCCGCGGGACCATCGCATGGGCAGGGGGCTCAGCACCCCGGGTGTGCACCCCATGGTGGCAGGGTGCTGTGCCCAGGGCCTCATCCAGCTCCACACACAGCCCTGGGGTGACACCCTGCTGCCTCACACCTTTTGGGGGGATGCTCTGTGGCTTGGGGGGTGTCTGTGCTTCCCCACATCCTATGGATAGCAGGGACAACCCTGCTGCCACACATCCCAGGGCTCGGGGGGATGTTTTCAGTTGCCCCCTGTCCCACAGATGGGGGGTACAGCCCCACTGCCCCACCACCACCCCACGCAGCACCCCCCTGCTGCCACCTTGGGGCCAAACACTGCTGTGGGGCACCGGGACAGGGGACACCCCGGGGTGCTGCCACCCTCACCCCACTGTCCCTGCCCCGCAGGGTGAGTCCAGGCCCCGGGCTGCCCCTGCGCCCTGACATGGCCGCGGGCGTTATCCGGCCCCTGGCCGGGCTGCGGCTGCCCTCGCCCTTCCCACACGGCCTGCTGCTGCCCGCACGCCCCGAACCCGACTTCCCCGACCTCTCCGAGGAGGAGGAGGAGGATGACGAAGAGGAGGAGGAAGAGGAGGATGAAGAGGAGGCAGCAGAGGACAGCACCAGCTGCAGGGGGCTGGAGCTGGCCGGCCCAAACGCCGCTGAGGCCACCCTGAGGCTCCTGCGGTTTTCGGAGCTCATCAGCGGTGACATCCAGCGCTACTTCGGACGGCGGGGCCAGGAGGAGCCCGCTGGTGGCCGTGGCACACCCGAGGACTGCAGCTCGCCCCGGTGCACCGCCCGCGAGCCGGGCACCGCCAGCCTGCCCCAGCCTGAGGCAGTGATGGCCCGGGGGGGCTCTGGGGCCACGCAGAGGCTGGGGCCGCTGGCCGAGCTCTTTGAGTACGGCGTGCACCGGTGTCTGCCACCCCGGGCAGCTGGGGGCAAGACGCAGCGGCTGGAGAGGAAATACGGCCACATCACCCCCATGCACAGGAGGAAGCTGCCGCCTTCCTTCTGGAAGGAGCCGGGCCCCGGCCCCGCCGGCCTCCTCCATGCCGGCACCCCCGATTTCAGCGACCTCCTGGCCAACTGGACGGTGGAGCCGGGGCCGGAGCTGCCGGGCGCTGGGCGGGAGCTGCTTCCCGAGGCAGGCCGCCTGGGGCTGGATGCTGAGCCCTTTGTGGGGCTCTGAGCCCACCAGAGGGGACCCTGGCCCCGCCACGTGCCACCCAGTTAATGATCAAACCGCGGCCCCGCTGCCAGCGCTGGGGCAGCTGGAGCTGGGACGAGTGAATAAATGACTCCCGCTAGGCACAAATGTGCACGGTGTCCTTCGCCACCCGCCGCTGTGACAGGGACAGCCCTGCTGCTGGTGACAAAGGGCTCTGCGCCCCTCCAGGAGCAGCAGGAGGAGGGAAGCGGGATGGCTGGAGGAACCAGCAGCCCGTGTTTGCTCTGCGGGCCCGACTCCGTGGATCCCGTCCCCTTATCTCAGCTGCGCCGGGGCAAAGGGCAGCGCAGGGCCTCATAAAGCGCCCGGCTGCCATCCGGGGACCCCGCTGCCTGCCCAGGGAGCAGGGACCTGCCACCACCACCCTGCTGGGTGTCAGACCCAGGGGGAGGATAGGGGAGCACCACGGCACAGCCGGCCCTTCCCTGAGGCCTCCTGGCTGCCGCCGCAGCCCAGCGCTGTTACCAGGGCCCAGCAGAGGCATCCCCGGCTTTGTGGTGGCTCTTTGTCAGGCTTGAAAGGGAAAAGCACCCAGGAAGGGGCAACCTTGAACAGCCCAGGCCTGCCAGGGACCTCCAGCTCCCAGCACTCCCCCTCAGAGGGCACCCCCCTGCCCCATGGCACGCAGAGCTGCCCCCCAGCACCAAGCCCAGGGCCTCAGCTCCCCAGGGCTCCCCCGAGCCCAGGCAGCGGGGCCAGGGAAGGAGGGAAGCAAGAGCCAGGCAGCACCACGTAAAAGTACAAACAGGGTTTATTTCAGCACAGAAGTAGCCCGCAGTAGAAAGCCCCTAGAGGCCAGGTTGGCCCTGCCCAGGTCCCCCCCAGAACACAGTGCAGAGCACTCACACCCCAGGGGTGCGGTGCATGGAGCAGGGGCAAGGCCAGCGCAGGGGGTAATGAGGGCAGGGGAAGATAAAGGAGTTGGAGCTTCGAGGGCAAGGAACCGTGAGGGCTGGAGCCACCCAGGGAGCTGCAGGCTCGGCTCTGTCCCTGTGGCTGGATGTGGTGGCTGGTTTCAGGGGGCAGCAGCCAAGGCCAGCAGGACCCAGGCTGCTGCAAAGGTCTGGACCAAGGTGCAGAAAGTGAAGGAATGAAGCTGGGGTCACTTTCAACCCAGTATCACTGCAGGGGAGATGCAGCAGCACTGAGGAGACCGAGGGGAGGGCCGGAGGCACAGGGGAACACACTAGGGTCACGTTCCAGGACCACCACCCCAGGGAAGCCCTCCCCTTCTTATCCCCTCCAAGCCACGAGGATGGGCCACACGGTGTCCTCACCCCACAGGCTTAGGGGCACAGCAGTCAAGGGAGCCAAGAAAGAGCAAGAGACAGCAGCTGCTGAACCATGGGAGCCCTTTTATTGCACAGGGGGCAGGGCAGGGATCCCCTCTGGCCAAAGTAACAGACACAGGGCTCAGCCCAAGCCAGCCAGCAGCAGCGTGGGGAGAGGGGACAGGGCGCTGGGAGCAGGGGAGAGCCCTGCAACCTCCCATCCCTGCAGAGCCAGCCCCAGCCCCACAGGAGGTGCCCAGTCCCGGGATGCCCAGGGCAGCAGCAGGGATAGAGGGCAGGGAGACAGCACCCAGCTCAGCAGGGCACTCTGGCTCCCCAGGCACGCTGCAGCCTTCACACAACCCCCGGGGAGCTTACTCAAAGAGCTAACAGAACCAACAGCATATTTTGATCCCTCAGGGAAGCAGAGGAAAGGGCGAGGAGGAGAGGAGCTGGCAGAGGTGGGAAGGCAGCGACACACGGGAGAGCCGGGGCAGGACAGCTGTGCCAGTGCTCCAGGCACCACGCTACCTCCAGGAGCCAGCCCAGTCCTCCCCCTGCCTCTACCAAACGAGGGTCCCAGTCTCAGAGGGGCCAGCGTGCGATCCCGCTGGGCGGCGCTGCCCCACGTCACGTCTGTGCCAGCGAGAGCTCCTCCAGCCCTTCCTTCCCCAGCCGGTACCGGGCAAGATCCTTGCGGGTGACCATGCCCACCACCTGCGGGGAAGGGACAGCGTCAGGCCCCGTGAGCCTGGGGACAACAGCAGCACCCCAACGAGCCCAGTCTGCCCGCACGCAGCGAGCGCCTGGTGGCCGTGGGGACTCACCTCGTTGCGATTGTCCACAACCACCAAGTGCCGCAGGCCCAGGGCCCGGAAAAGCTTGAAGACCCGTGGCAGAGACGCCTCCTGCAAGGCACGTCAGGGACGAATGGGTCACAGAGGCCCCAGCTGGCTCTGGTGCCCCAGTGTTGTCAGTTCCCTGACAGACTGGGGCGCAAAGGGGCCCCCAAATGTTACCTGAGGCACGGTGTAGGGCGAGGGGTTCATGAACTCGCTCAGGTCGATCATGCACTCGCGCTCGTCCTGGGAGACGTGGATTGACTGGATGGGGGGGAAGCGGGGGTAGGCGTCCCGGAAATCCTTCAGCTTCAGCCGCCGCTGCACCAGGCTCAGGTTGGCCCTCTCCACAAAAACCTTGGGGGGAGAGAAACCATCAGCGACCACCCCGAGACGCTGACTGGGGCACTGCAGCCCCACTGCCCACACCAGGGCACCAAGGCAGGGTCAGGAGGGAAGAGGAGAGGAGCCCAGCCCCTGTGCAGCACCACCCACCTTGTGCTTCAGCAGGACGATGAGCTGGGAGCGCAGGATCAAACCCCGCAGCCCGGCCACCTGCAACAAAGCATCGGGTGTCAAACGAGGCTGGGGACAGGAGGTGGGTGCAAGGGTCCCACACCACAGGCAGCCCTCGCACAGCCGACCCTGGACACATCCCCATCCCCCCCCCAGCAGGCACCCAGCCCACCTGGGTGCTGTTGGGGTTGCTCTCCACCACGGGGAAGCCGTTGTGGTTGGAGGAGGTGTCGCTGAGGATGTCCACAACCGTGCCCACCCGCTCAATCCTCCGCAGACAGGTGACAGGAGTGCTCATGACCTCCCTGCGGGGAAGAGTGGGGGGGAAACAATTCAGTGGCAGCACACCCCAAACTCACCCCACCACGCACACAACACCTCCCTGCTCCCCCCATAACCTCTGGGGGACGTGGAGGGGGATGTCACGCTGCTGGGGAAGGGGCTGGTGACCATCAGGCACCTGTGACCACAGCAGGTCACCGCCACCCTTCTCGACTGGGGCCAACAGCACGGTCTGAGGGCTGGTGGTGGCCCCCAGCCCACCTACCTGGCCGTGAGGGAGTGGGACGTCACCGGGGCCTCCCAGTGCAAGAAGGGCACGCTCTGCAGCTGGATGTGCATGTCATACAGCCCCTGCAAGGAGAGCCGAGCTGTCAGCAGAGGCCTGCTGAGATGCTGAGGGGGTGCAGGCAGGCAGCAGCCCCCCTCTGAGAGTCCACAGGCTCTGCAACACCCCCAGTCCTCACTTAGAGCTTCCCCAGCTCAGCAGCACCCCAAATCCTCACCCGCAGCCTCTCACCCAGTCCTGGGCTCCCAGTGAGCACAGCCAGCCCTCACCTCCACGAAGTAGTCGCCCACAATCTTCGCTGTCATCAGCACCAGCATGATGGGGAAGCCGTAGGTAACGTTGCCTGTTGCCTCCATCATGATGACCGTGAGGCTCAGCGTCATCCGCACTATCCCGCCTGTAAGAAGCGCCCAAAAGGACCAGGGACTTAGGGGGGCAGGGGAGAGCACCCAAGGCCCCTCAGTCTCTGAGCAGCACCCCAGGATTCCCACACAGGCACCCCGCGAGGCAGGCAGCGCATCCAACCTGCCCAGGGATGCTGCTCGCACTTGGCAGGGCTGTGAGGGAGCTGACCCAGGCTGGGGTTTTAGCAATACCACACAGACTTCACTTCAGCTAGGGAAAAAGCTGCACCAGGGAAGCAAAGACCATTTCCTGCCCTGCCACCTTCACTATGACACGAGCCAGAGGTGGCCACAAGTCCCGAATAGGTGCAACTCACCCAGCTGTGCAGCAGCTCCCATCAGGGCGTACTTCCCAGGGTCAGCCCAGATCTGAGAGAGAAAGGGCTCAGTCAGCGGCTGGCTCCAGCTCATCCACAGATAACAAGCAGTGCCCCGGCCCCAAAACCCCCTTCCCAAGGAGCAGGGAGTGCCCGGGGACTTGTGCACAGCCCAGATGTCTGCAGGGTTCCGTCGGGACTGAAGAAAGCACCAAACACTCACCGAGCCCTTGGTCAGGTAGGACAGGGAGATGCCGAACAGCCTCCCCCAGGCAGCGCCGATCAGCAGGGAAGGGATGAAGACCCCCGCCGACACCGTGAGGCCATACGTCCAGCAGGCCAGGAAGAAATACATCAGGGTGAACATCCCCAGCGTCATGGGGTTGTAGGAACCTGGGGTGGGGAGAAAAGAGTCAGTGCTGGTTCCACAGCCAGGGGAGAGCAGACAGCAGCAGCCCCTGACGCTCACTGCCTGCAGACAAAGCCCCTCTTTGGGTGCACCTTCCTCCAGATTTTCCCCCCAGCATCCTCCCTGACAGCACAAGCCTTTCAGTCTGGCTCTCCGGGTTGTTTCTACCTCTGTCAAGCATCCTGCTAGTGCCATCCAAAGCCCTCCCGTCCCACTGAGTCCAGCACATCCATTACCCCAATCTCATGGTCCACAATGACCCAGCCCCTTTCAGCCCTGCATTTCTCAGCTTCCTGCGAGGAAAAATGATGATGAACTCTGCAAAGTCCCAAGGGGCTGCCAGCACTGGAGGAGGAGGTCAGGAGGACGGAGGTGCTACAGTCAGTTTGGGGATCAGCTCAGCAGAGCAGCTCCTACAAACACTTCCCTGTCACGCAGCCCCTGTGGTGCAGGGCATGCCTTCATACTGCCCCCCAGCACAGCGAGACACTGTCATGCCCAGGACTCAGCCTATTACAATTTTTGGGACTGCTGAGCAGGCTCAGTCTAGTTTGAATCCATATTTTGCAACCTCTCCCCTTTACAGAGGTCAATGGACTGAAGGAAGGGCCCAGCGCTGCAGGGAGCAGCCCTGAGACATGGGACACCCGTCCCTGTGCCAAGTACCGAGCTGCACACCCCAAACCAAGGGTCTAAAACTCAGAGCAGCAGGCCCGGGGGGAAGAGAGCATGTCATTGTTATATGGGGTCCAAGGGAAATTGGAGCTGGGATCTGAAAGCCAAATTTAATTTCTCGAGCAAATCCAAGCTGCAGAAATCCACCTCCACAACCTACCCAGAAGGTAAAGTCATTCAGGGGCAAAAAGCCCTGCTAAGTAAGAAAACAGCCCGGGGTATTTCCAGGACAGACTCCAGAGAAGAAGCAAGGCTCAGACCTGCTCCCACGCTGCTGGGAGGTGCCGCCTTGCAGACACACACAGACAGAGCTGAGCCTTTGTCCGCCAGCTGCCCCAGGACTGCAGCCCTTCGGCCACGCTGCTGGCTGCCTCCTCGCTCCCTGCTGCCCCACACAGCACTTGGCCAGATCCCATTGTGCCTTTCTGGGCCGTGCTGACAGCCCCTGCCTCGTCCCACAAGCAAGGAGGGAAGGGATCAGCCACCGAGCACAAACCCTGCCCCACTCTGCTTGTACTCGAGGAAGCACTCGCTGGGCAGGCAGACCTGGAGGGTCGTGGAAGAGGTTGACAACGCTTTTCTCAGGTGTGTTGAAGAAGGCAGTGGCCATAGAGTTGTACTCTCCATCAGCACAGAAAAGCTAAGGAGGGGAAGGAAAAAAAAACAAGTTAGAAGTGGCAGATGTGGGCTGCCCTGGGGCAGCAAGGACTGCAGGGCTTTGGCTGGCTGAGCAGCCCAGGGCAGACCTGGGGACATGGGGCACCCCTGCTGAGCTGAGGGCAGGGCACCGTGTACAGGAGGAGAACAGAACAAAATCAGAACAAGGGAGATGCTTCTCCAGGATCTCTGGCCTGGCAGCTTCACACATTTCTGTGCAGCCCAAAGGAAAGTGCCCAAACCATGAGCAAAGGGCTCCCACAACCACGCTGCTTTCCGCGTGCCCACACCACCACTTCAGGCCCCACTGCCACCTGGCTGGTGACAATCTGCCAGCCAGTGCCTTCACCTCTGTCCCTGCCAAGCCAGGGCTCGGATGGAAAAGCAGCCAGCTGCTTTTATTTCCAGAGCTTTGGGTCAGGCCGGCCAGCAGAACCACCCCCTGCTTGCTGCACCAGGGCCTCCAGCTCCACCCGGAGCACAAGGCACCGACTGCAGGGGAACCAGCAAGGCCCAGCAGGATTTTGTTCCCCTGCCGAGGCTCAGGATCTGTCCCCAGCACCTCCTACCTGCAGGGGGTAGGCCACCGTGCTCCCCTGGATGGGCTGGCAGTCTCGAGAGCAGTAAATCATGACAAACCCCACAGCCGCCGTCACCGCTGCGACCAGCATGGCCTCAATCACCTGGAGGCAGGGCCGGTGGATGTACCTGCGAAGGGAGCACATCACACGGGGTTTAGCAGCTCTCCCATTGCTCTCAGGAACACCCAACAGCTGGGTGTGTGCAGCATTGGTGCCTTTCTGGGCCCTCAGGTCACCAGAGAGAAGCACAGCAGGGGCAGAGCAGAGGCAGGATGCTGGGGGTCAAAGCCTCGGCTGCGGGCAGGAGGCACCTGGCATCTTTGTGCCCAGCTTCCAGCTGTCACCTCTCACATTACACGTTGGGTATGAGGTTACAGCCCGGCTCTGGGTAGGCACACCACTCGCAGGGAGCACAGAAGGTGCCAGCCAACCCATTTCAGTCACCTTTGCCACCCACAGGCTCCTACCTGATCCGGAACATCGTTAACCAGTAATTCAGGGCATTGAACAGGGCCCCCAGGATCCCGCCTGCAAACACAGAACAGGGAGGTGTCAGCACGCAGGTCGCACCCTCCCGTGGCTGCCCAAGAGGTCAGAGAAACAGCAAAGCTCAGGGAGACATCGACATCACAGCCAGTGTGACACACGGCTGCTGCCCCTGCCTGGGGGAAACCACAGGCCCTGAAACCAGAACCACAGCACCGGCCTCGGGACAGGCCAGCAGGCACCCAGGCAGCTGCAGAGCCGGGTGAGCACGCTGGGGAGTGCCTGACTGAGCTCCATTTCCCCTTTCTGGAGGGGTAAGGGCTGAAGCACCACAGCTTGAGAGCCCCAGGCTGCCACACACCAACCCCACCGAGTAACTGCAGGGCGCAGATGGAACGGGCTCGCCTCTGCTACAGGAGTGAGCGAGGGCTGGCCCGGGATCCAGCTCTCAGCCCCATAAACCCCACGAGCAGCCTCTGCTCTAGAGTTAGATGTATTTTCCACTCCCCCAGGAAACAGGATCCTGAAGTTTTTAGGCCCAGACAGAGAGCAGAGGGAATTATTCAGACTAATCGAATTGAAAGAGCAGAACTCTTACCAACCACTCCCATGAAGATGAAGATAGGAATTTCCTGGATCGTGTATCCCATTTTCTACAAACAAGAGATGGGTTTCAGATCTGCTGACCCTTTTGCAGTGAGTCACCATTTGCTCAGGCAGCACAGCCTGAGCCAGAGCGGCTCCTGGAGTTCCCCCAGGACATCCCCTGCACACCCCACAGCACCCGGACCCAGCGGGGGCTGCAGGAACACCTCCTGCTCACATCCATGGGCCTGGGATCCTCTGGGATCCAGCCAAACCCAAGCCTGCCTCAGTCCCCAGGCAATGTGTGAAGGCATACTGGTGTCCCCAACCCCCCCACGCTGCTCATAACACCCCAGCAGAGCCCCACACAGACGAGTATCCGCGCCATACCTCGTTATCAAACCTGCCGAAATTGATGAGCCCGGGGCTGGAGAGATCCCAAGCATTGCCGTGGTAAACGCTCAGCACAGAGTTCAGAGTGAACGTCGAGATCATGGAGGCAAAGAACTAGGAAGAGATGCAGCCCAGAGTCACTGCTGGGCACAGCCAGCCTCGCTCCCTCTGCGCTACCCCAAATAACCCCGAGCTCTCGGTTGGGACTTGGTGCCCGCCGTGTGCTGGAGCCAAGCGGCCACGCTCCCCATGGGAGCGCAGGAGGGGATGGTGGAGAGGGCTCCAGACACAGCTGCAGCTGGCTCAGGCCCCTGGAGGCCTAGAGGCAGGACCCAGGAGCTGCTGCTGGGCACGGGGGGACCCCAGCGTGCCAGGGGCTGCGCACAGACCCGGAGCTGGCAGCTTCTGCTTTCCAGCACTTACGATTCTCCACGTCAGGAACTGGTTCCAGAAGGAAGCCCCTTCCTCCAAGCTGAAGAGGACGCCCCCTGCAAGCGCAAGACAAGCAAACATCTTCACAAGGAGCACGGACCCTTGCCTAGCAGCAGCAGCCCAGGCTCCTGCAGTGTCCTAGGTCCCCGCAGCCGCACCCTCACAGCCAGGAGCAGCCTCCTGGTAAGATGTGCATGCAGGCACTGCTCAGCATCAGAACCGGGACACGTACCCACAGGGGCACCGAACGCGGCCGAGACACCAGCAGCAGCTCCAGCTGAGACAAAGTCCCTCTTCTCTGTGTCTCTGCGGAAGTACTCGAAGATCTGGAATACCCAAACGAAGGCAGGTTCAGGGCTGGCCACAGGCTCAGGAGGAGACACGGGGAGCGCCACGTATGACCTCTCGCCACCAACACAGCCCCAAGGAACTGTCCCCTTTGGGCACCCGCAGGGGTGCAGGGATTCACGCAGCGCTGGCTGGAGGCCACAGCTCCCGGCCTCCCTCCAGACGCCCTCCCCAAGGCACACAGAGCTCCGGCACCCCGGAGCCAGGCTGGGGCTGGGCTCTGGCACCAGGGAGGTCTTGGCTCACCAGGGAGAGGTGCTGGTGGATCACAGAATCACAAAGGTTGGGAAAGACCTCCGAGATCATCTGGTCCAACCATCCCCGCACCACCACCACCCACTAAATCATGTCCCCAAGCACCACGTCCAACCTTTCCTTGAACACCCCCAGGGACGGGGACTCCACCACCTCCCCTGGGCAACCCGTCCCAGTGCCTGACCACTCTAAGAAGAAATTTCTCCTAATTTCCAACCTGATTTTTTCCTAATTTCCAGCCTGCGTGGATGATGCCATGCAACTAACATTAGCATCCCAGTAATTTGCATGAGATTAATTTAGGACCAGCACGTTCACAGACAATTATTCCTGTGATGGTACAATGAAAGATAGTAGTATGCATGTAGGATGTTTTCTGCATCTCATGGTAATACGTAGCAAAATTTGTATTATGCCACTTTTACATGAAAGCTGTGTAAGATTTACGTTGCTCACCTTATGCTGGCAGTGCAAGGAGAGTTTTCCTCCTGCACCCAATGGGGATGGGAACAGAGGGAACAGAGCTGTGCCCCCTCCTGCCTTTCGATGCTCACAATGGCATCTTTCAGGGGCCCAAGCCTCAGCAGAGAAGGAGGCAAAGGCCCTTTGCTGGAGCTCAAAGTGCAGACAGGGCTACACAACGCTCATCTCCTGGCTGGGGAGGTCTGATAGGGACAGCCAGGGAACACGTCCCGAGGCCCCGCAGCACAGCCCCTCAGCCCTGAGCACCAACCTTGAAGTCTCGCTTCAAAGACGTGGATCTCCCCTGGGAGATGCCAGCAGCGATCACTGCTCCGGAGTGAATCATGGGTCCTTCCTGCGGGCAGGACAGCAGGGTCAGGCAGGGGGAGGAAGAACCCGTGGAGCTGCGGGAAGCTGGGGAAGGCTGCCTGCTTCCCCTCACGTCACTGCCCCGAAGGAGCTGGACACCAGCACCCAGCAACACGCGCTGCCTGTTCCAGCTCCATCTGCACCTCTAGCCCAGGAGAATTTCCCTCTGGCAGATGCAGACCTTGCTGTTTCCCCCCAGATCCTCATTCTGAGTGGTTCCTGCTCCCACCAGCTCCCCTCCAGCAGAGGGGGCAGGCTACAAGGTCCCAAGGGGGCACCTGCACCCCCCATCCAACACTCCTGGATTCTTGGTGGCCCCACACATCCTGGGGCTGGCACTGCACGCCCTCTGCTGCTCCCCAGGCCGTGCCATGGCCACCTCGGCCAGCAGACCAGGGAGTGAGAGTGGGAAGTCACCGCGGGGCCAGCAGCGCCAGGCTGCCCCGCAGCAGGTAACAGCACTCCCGGGAGCGCCCCGTGCACATCACCTTCCCAACGGCCAGGCCGCCGACCACCGAGAGGATGACCCCGCAGACTTTGATCACCAGGGTCTGCAAAACAGAGCAGAGGGCACAGCGCATCACGAGGGTGCTCTGCTGCACCACGGGGAGCCCAGCCAGGCTCTGCCACAGCACCCACGGGGAGCGCCCCGCGGCACGAGGGCACCACCCGCTCGGTCCAGCCCAGCGCACGCAGCGGGTGCTCATCCCACGAGCTCATCCCACGAGCTCCCGCTTACCTTGAGGCGGACAACGTGCGGGATCTTCACGCCGTTGAGGTAGCATTTGATCTGGGGAATGCCGCTGCCAGCTGCCACGGGCTGCGGGGAACGGGGGAGGTGTTTGTGGCTGACATGGACAGGGCAGGGACTGGGAGCGCATCGGTCACTTATCCCTGTCCCTAAAGCGCAGGGCACGCCAGCACATCCTTGGGAAGGCTCAAAGGCAAGGCCAAAGCTTGCCGACAGGCTCTGGAGGTGGGCTTGCACCCACTGCACCTCCACAGACACGCAGCCCCTGAGGGACTCGAGGTCCCCCCCAGCACGGTGCTGTGCTGAGAGGCCCGGTGCTGCAGGAGGCTCTCACCTAGTGGCCAGGGAGAGCTTCACAGGAGCGAGGGCAAAGCAACAAGGCAGGTGCTGGTGACTCAGAGCGGCTCGCAGGGAGCCATCGCCCCCCTCCCAGCCACAGCCTGCCCCCAGAGGTCAGCAGCCAGTTTCTGGGCTGTCCTCTGGTGTCTCCGAGGCACCTGGCCAGCCTGCTCGCTGCCGACACTCACGTACACACGGAGCAAAGAGGCTGAGCCAGGCCCGAGGCTTGCACGAACTGACAGGAGAGCAAGAGCCGAGCCTGCTTCCGAGGCAGGAGCACACCCTGCTGCCACCTCCTTTGCCCCAAGCTGCTGGGGCTGCAGACGACGGGCAGCGTGCCCTGACTGTCTGACAAGAGAAACCTCACCACACCGACAGAGCCGCAGTGCCAAGAGCCAGTTCAGCAGAAACGTCTGATGTTACAGAAGCACCCCCAGGCAGGTGGCCTCCAAGCCCTCACCTCTATGAAAGCGACGATGACGGAGCCCACCATCACCACGCTGGCGTTCAGGGTGGCCCAGAGCAAGAGGGAGAACGACAGGCCCCCCTTCTCCGTGAACTTGTCGATGTCTGAGGCAGAGGATCAAGGAAAGGCCGGTGCCAGCTCAGTAACGTGCCCCCCACCACAATGAGGGGTTGCCAGGGAGCTCCTTGAGCTGCAGGTCCTGCAGGCAGCACGGCCTCCCCCATTAGCACAGCTCAGCACCACGGGTGGCAGGACCTATCCCACACAGCCCCTGGGAGGAATTGCAGCCCTCCGCCCCCCTGACGGCCCCCAGGAGCCTCACGTCTCCGTGTGAGGATACTGTCCTTCACCACTCGGTACTTCAGCCCGGCCAGGTTCTCCACCACGATGTCGATGAAGCAGGCGACGAGGCCGGTCAGGATGCCGATCATGGCACAGATGACCCAGCGCTTGATCTCCACCGTCCGGAAGGCCTGGCGGACAGACAAACGGTGTCAGCCCCCCAGAGCATCACGGGGGGCTCCCAGCCCCCCTTTCCTGATGCAGGCTGAAGCTGCAGGCTGCAGAGAGCTGCCCAGGGAGAATCGACACAGGCAGGCGCAGAACTGCAGAGCCCAGCCACAGCTGACTTGTTTCAAGCCATCCCCCAGTGCCCTCACCCCTCCAAGGGATCCCTGGACAGAAAATGTGTTTTTCCAGCTTGCCCGCCTCCATCAGGCCTCTCAGCAGACTCTCCTGTTGTTTCCTGCTGCAGCACTGACTCCCAAAGCCCCCAGGACAAGGTTTTCCCTACGCACAGGCTGCAGGCATCCCTCTGCTCTGTCTCCCTCCCAGCAATGCCACCACGGCTCCTGTTAGAGCTGGAACCCACCACGCTGGATTCCTGGGGATCTGCCCGCCCTGCTCCAAGGTCTCCACAAGCTGGTTGATGCCCGTAATAAACCCACCGTGGCCCGAGATGCCTTTTAACCCCCTGCACTGAGAAGCGGGCAGCGGGTAATGACTTCCCCGTGCCCTCTCGCAGCAGGGCTGTCAGCCTGCAGGAGCAGCGAGACTCACCGCGTGGTTAATCCTCCTCTCCTCCTCCAGGAACAGCTGGTTCTCGCTGTTGTCATAGTCCAGGCTCTAGTTCAGAAGAGGGAGATGCTGGTTAGTGTCAAAGGGGGCTTGTAACATAGATGCAGCGTGACTTTTTGCTCGGGCTGATAACGACAGGACAAAGGGCAGGTGAGGGAGGAACAGGAGCCCACATACCTCGTACTTGAGCGACAGGAGCTTCTCGTTGTGGGGGATCTCGTTGGGGTACGGCCGAGGCAGCTCCGTCTCCTGCGGGACACAACGCACAGCTCGGTGGGGCCGGGCAGGGACCTGCTCGCTCCTGGGGCTGCCTGACACCGAGTGCCCGCACCAACCCGCTGCTGTGGGGCTGCTCTCACTGCCCCACAGCTCAGGAGAAGCCCGAGAGAGGCTGCCCAGGAGGCTGGGACCTGGGGTGACTCCACCAGGCAGCGCGTGGGGCAGATTTAAACCGATTCAAAGAGCCTTTTGTGCCTGGAGCCCTGGCTGCCTCCTCGGTCCCAGGCAGGACATCTGCCCAGGGGCAGCAAGGAGCAGGCAGGCAGAGATTTGGCACAGCCAGCACCGACCTGCTGTTCTAACACAGCGTCCCCGTGCTCCCAGCAGAAGGCAACGTTTCACCTCGGCAGGAAATTCCTTTGGCCTAAAGCAAGGAGCTATTTCAAGCAGACCTTGGGTTTGGGGCAGAAATCAAGTTCTGTTTCACAAACACCTTCAATCACGCAGGCTTCTCCTGGCTCTGATTTAGGGCATTCACCACGGCTGCAGGAGGGGCCCCCCCCAGCATCACGTGCCCTTTTCCTGGCCCTGAGTTACAGCCACAGCCACAGCCGGCCCAGCCTTTTCTCCAAAGCTCTGGATGAAGACACATTTCTAAGAATTCCGTAAGAAATATTTAACATTTTATTTAATTCCTCCCACTCGCACTTGGTGAAGTTCCACAACTGAGGCAGGAGAACCTGGGGAGATTCTCCAGGTGGGTGGCTGAAGCCTGAGTTTGCACAGGGTGCCTGCTGCCAGCCCCGGCCCTGGGAAGGAGCACAGCTGAGATCCCTCCCCGGTGGCTGTCACAGCACAGGTCCCCTCCCTCCCCTGCGTGCTGACTCAAGGCTGCTCCTCCTGCCCGCTGCCCGAGCCGGGCAGGAGCTCACATGACAAGGGAGAAATCCTCCCCACCCCACTCGGTTCTGCATTTGCCCTCGTCCCGTTCCAGAGAAAGGACAAGGAAGGAGTGAGACCGAGCCAGCCTGAGCTCAGGACACAGAAACATCTTCAGCAGCACTTGGTGCCACCAGGGGAAGGCGACCAGGGCTCTGCTGTTGCTGACACTGCTGCCCCGGGAGCATCCCCGCGGGTTACTCGCAGCAGGGAGCCCAGCAGCACGCCCTGCCTGTGCCACTCACCAGCTCACGGACGTCCTCGTTGAGATCCACATTGCTCAGCTGGCCAGGGCGCAGCAGGGAAGAAGTGAACTGCAAAGAGAAGGGGAAACGGGGTCAGCTCCCAAACACACCACAACCACCAGCTCAGCGAGTCCACCCCTCTCCCACCTCACACCGACCTCTGCCTGGCACGGCCACAGCCCCCCAAGGGGCAGCACCCACAAAGTGCTGCTCGCAGGGGACACGGCAGGGAGGTGGCTGCCCCCCAGCACAGACACAGGCTGCTCACTCCTCGCCTTCCAGCCGCACTCCTTGCCCTCCCCAGAACACGATTCCCCCACGCCCGAGGAGCGGGGCTGCCTGCAGGCAGTCTGAGCAGCTGCCCTCCAGCCCAGGCTGGGTCCTGCCCTCCACAACCTCCTGCTGCCTTCACACCCGGCATCCCCACGCGTTCCCAGGCATTAATTTCCCCCCCAAACCCTCGGCGTGCCCAGGTCCCAGCGTGGTGCACGCAGGAGGAAGCAGCACGGCGCCCTGCAGCCGTGGCCCAGGACGGTGCCGGGAAGGAGCAGGCGCTGGCAGCGGCTGGGGGAAGGCAGGGGCAGGTTCTCCTTTCTCAGGCTCATCAGCAGCAGCACAATTGCATAACGCAGGAGCCCGGGGGCTGGTTTGGGCAACTCGCATCTCCTGGCCAATGCAGGCGAGGGCTGTGGCTGAGCCTGCAGCTGGGCAGCACCACGAGGAGCCCACCAGGAGCAGGTACCACCAGCACCCCCACCAACACCCCCACTGCCAGGAAATGCACGAGGGTGCGAGCAGCACGGCCACTAAGAACAGCCCAAAGCCCTCGTGCCTCCACCAGCCGTGTCCCCAACCAGCCTTGCTGACAGTCTGGGGAATAAACGAGCCACGGCAAGCAACAGGGGGCTCCCAGCACATCCAGCAAGCCAGCAGATCCCAGACCGAGCCCCTCCTGCTTTAATCCCCCCTATCCTGCCTGGAACGCGCAGGCCAGAGCAGCCAGGAGCCGTGCACGTCACCGCAGACAAAGAATATCCCTTTGTGTCGGCAGCCTGACCTATTTTCCCACTTCTCCCAGCTCCCTGTTCCTATTTACTCCCTGGCACTGTTGGGTTTTGCCCCTACTTCTCAGACTCGCCCCATGAACCAGGCACTCCCCAAGCTGTCACCTCCCAGGGGACACACGGGAGCAGTGGGAGCTCAGAGTCACGAGCCAGAAGCAGAAGCGAGCTGTTTCAGTGCCCAGCTGCTCTGGTGGCACAGAGCTGGGACCCCACTGCCCTGGGAACAGGGCAAAGACCCGGTCCCCACCCCAAAGCTCCAGCAGGGTGAAAGCAGAGACCTTCCAGGGCAGCCTCCCTCCGCCTGGCTTCAAATCGTACAGGTTTGGGGATCCCGTTAGACCCGGACAGGAACAGGGAACCGAGCTGGGAGCCACCATTTGTGTCACAGTCCCTGCTCACGCCTGGAGGATGGGAAAAAGCTCCCTCTGTCAGCACCCACCTTCCACAGAAGGGGCAGGGAGGGATTTAGATCAGCCAGTTATTTGTGCTCAGCCCAAAGCACCGCTCAGCACACAGCCAGCCCCACTCCTGAGCGCTCCCCTGAAGGCCGGCTGCTGCTCCCGGCTGCGTGTGATGCTGGCGTGACTGCAGAGCAATTATTTCCACACAACAGCGCGCACTGTTCGTGAAGCCCGGCGGCTGCAGACGGCCCAGCAGCTCCCCTGCCCTGAGCCCTCCAGGAAACCCTCTGCAAGAGCTGGGACCCAAGCCACCGGGAGGTCCCGAGGAGGGGATGAAGGCTCACGCAGCTCCGCAGCTGTGCCCAGCCCCACTTCGGGCCAGCTGGCAAGCCCCAAAACAGACAGATTCAGGCCACATCCCTGCGGCACCCCCTCTACGACCACGGGCACGTTTCGTCCAGGCAAACAGCCCCTCCTAACCTCCCACCCAGCAGTCAGAACTGAAGAGCTGCGCTTCCTTCTGTCACTAAGCTCGCTTTCATTTCCATCAAACGAACACGTGAGAAAGAGAAGAAACTGCACCGGTGCCACTTCTGCTGCACTGCCACGCTGCCAGGCGAAGCCTCCCGTGGGCTGAGCAGCTCCCACCCCGTGCCGAAGCTGCCCTGCCCTGCCCTGGCTTCCAGCCCGGTGCCACGGAGCTGCCACACGTGGCTGCGCTCCTCCTGCTGTCAGCTGGCCACAGAGAACTGCAGGGACACGGTGACACTTCCCACGTCCCGCTCCTCGAGGGGGGTTGCTGTGCTTGGAGCCGTTCAGAGCTCAGCGCCACTGCCAGGGAGCAGCGGTGTCTGTCCTGCTGTCTGTCGGTCCCACCACGTGCCTGGAGCCACAGCGAAGCACAGCAGCGGGGCCAGGTTTGGGGGCTCAGACATTTCCCCCAAAAACCCCATCCATGCTCGCCGAGCCTTATTTCGAGGAGCTCCCAGCCCGCAGAGCTCACCAGGAGATTTTTGATTTTTACAGCCGGAGGTGCTGGGCAGGCCTGGGCTCTGCTTTGTGCTCAGCCCAGCGCCCCAGCCCCTCCCAGCCCGCTGAGCCCCGGGCCTGCAGAGCACAGCAAAACCCGACAGCCCCCGCGCTTCCCCGAATTACCCTAAAACCACCCTAATGAGCCCACTGCTGCGGGCTGCCCAGCAGCAGGGCAGCGCAGGATCCCCCTGCCCGTGCTAACGGCTGCGGGGAAGCCCCGGGACCGCCACCAGCGGCTGCCCGCACCCGGGGGCTCACACCGGGGGGCTGCGGGGACCCCCCCTGGCGACCCCAGCTCCCGGTAACCGGGAGGGGGAGGGTGTAGGGGGGAACGGCCCACCCTGAGCCACAGCCCCGGCACCTCGGGGCCCGGCCCCGGCCCCGGCCCCGGCCCCGGCCCCAGCCTCAGCCCCAGCCCCAGCCCCGGGCCCCGCCCGCAGAGCCCCGGGGAGCCCCCGGGGGCGCCCCCCGGCCCCACCTGCCGCGCTCCGTGCCCGGTGCCGTTGAGCAGCGGGGTGCTCTCCCCCGCGGGGCCGTCCCCGTTCCCGTCCTCGTCGTCGTCGTCGCGGGGGTCGCGGCCGGACCACGACACCTTCTTGGCGACGTTGGCCATGGGCGGCGCGGCTCCGCCGCTCCCCGGCTCCCCCGCCGGTCATGTGACCCGCGCCGCCGCCGCCGCCGCCACGTGAGCGCGGCTGCTCTCCCGCGCCCCGCTGCATGATGGGAGTTGTAGTCCTGTGCCCCCCCCCACACACACACACACCCCCTGATGGCGGGGGGGAGCCCTCAAAGGGGTGCGGGGCTCAGCACGGAGCCGGAGTCACCCCCGGGGGGCTTTGTAGGCAGCGGGTGGCTGCAGGGTGCCCCTCACCCCACAGGCTGGGTCACAGACACAGTCACGGGTGTTTCCGTGCTGCCCCCACCGCCTGACTCAGTAGGAAAAGCTGCGGGCAGGGGGCACGCGGCCAGCACGAGCGGGTGACCGAGCCCCGAGCCCCGCTGGGTGGGACAGGGGCAGGTGCTGGGCAGGAGCCAGCCTGCGGGGAGGCCAAAGGATGTGAAACCACCCAGAAACACAGCGTGCCACGGCCTGCCCACCCCCACGCACCCTCATGTCCCCAGGCGCTGTGCCCACCAGGGCTGGAAGCGTCACCGAGCGGTACCACGCAGAGCGAGACCACCAAAACCACCAATAACTGAGGTCTCCTCTCTGCCCAGAGCGTTTTATTAGGAGTGAAAGGGCTGCACGTGCCCCTGCAGCCAGGAGCAGGCCCCCGCATGGCTGCCTCCTCCCTCAGCCCCGTGCCTCAGAGCCCCCCCGGGTGAGAGCGGTGCTGGCAGCGCTCAGCCGCGTCCCTCAGGCGCTCAGGGCAGTCACAGCGGCGTCACCAGACATCACCGTGGGGAGGAGGACCCCTAAAAATGGGATTCTGCGTTCCCTGGCTGCCCAGCTCTCGTGCCCTGCCTCAGCACGTGCCGTGCCCTGGGGCTGGTGGCGTGCCCTGCCCGGGGCAGCAGCTGTGCAGGCAGCCAGCAGGGAGGGAAGGGGAGCGGGGGTACCTCTGCCTGGTGCCCCCAGCACCCCAAACCAGCCCGCAGCTTCCCAGGGGATACAACACGAGGCTGCCCGCTGCCTGGTGTCCCAGCACCCAGAGAGCTGCCGGGCTCCTCACGGGCAGTGCTGGAGGCAGGTGCACGCCACCCTCTGCACCTCGCCCTGCAGGGAGGCATTGGCCAGCGTCAGGAGGGGCCTGCGGGGCAGCCCCCGGCCAGTTGCCATGCTGGCCACCTCCCCGGGCAGGAGAGCCCGGCTCCAGAGGGCCAAGCCGGCCAGCCGGCCCACAAAGGCTCCCGTGGGGCTGAATCCTGCTTTGACGTGGCCCTGCAGCTGGCCTAGGACCAGCGAGCCGCCAGCAGGAATTTCATAGCCCTGCTGGAAGCCAGAGCCGGCGGCCAGCAGCCTCCTGTCCACGTAGAAGCGGTACTGGCCCCGGCGGGAGGACCAGGAGAGGCAGAGGTGGTGCCATTTGCCATCCAGGAGCGGTGTCACCGGGAGCTCCCGAAACGCCGTGTCCCCGATGACGAAACGCATGGATCCAGGGTCCTTGTCCCGGCCGTGCACGGCCACCTTGCTGTCCCCATCCTCGCTGGCGTAGGACAGGACGGTGCCGAGGCTGGGGGCCGGGGTGAGCACCCAGGTGCAGAGCGACAGCGCCCACAGCCCCGCGGGGAGCCCTGGCTGTAGGATGGCCGAGCTGCTGGAGGAGGCGCTGGGGAAGAGCAGCACGGAGCCCACGCCGCAGGCTGGGGAGGGACAGCAGCGCTCAGCCAGGGCTGCAAGGACAAACGTCCCTGGTGCTCCGGCAGGGGCCATGCAACCTCTGTAACTCCCGCTGCAGGATCTGAGTGCAGGCCTGTTTTAAAATTCAGCTAAAGGGCGCAGAGCTCTGCCTCCTGCCAGCACTGGGGCTTGAACACCCCCCCACACACACACACACTCTCACCCCTCTGGGGCCAGCACCTACCTGTCCCTAGCTGCTCCTGGGGGCCCGTGGCTGTGTCAGACAGCGCTGCTGTGACAGCCTGGGCGTCACGAAGGGGCTCCGTGTCCTCCATGGGCATCCCAGTGGTCCCAGTCTCCACCAGCAGCTGGTGCCCTTCCTCCTGTGGCCGCTGCCTCACCTTCAGAGGCTGAGTGCTGGCAGTGCTGGTGGGCACGGAGCCCCGTGGCTCTTGCTGGGTGCGGACTGTGTCCCACAGGCTGTGTGGCTCAGCACCACCCTCAGGGCGAGTGAGGAGGTGGTGCTGGGGGGTCAGGGCACCCACCGCCCCCTCCAGCCGCTTCACCCTGCGGTGCAGCCGCCGGCCGGCAGCAGCCAGGCGGGCCAGCTCGGCACCCAGCACGGCCTGGGCTGCGTCGGCCGCCTCCGCCTGCTCTGCCAGCACCTGAAACCGCCTGTCGATGTTGTAGGAGATGTTGTAGTTCCTGGCGATGCTCTGGAGATGGCTCAGCGTCACCTCCTGGAAACGGCGAAACTGCAAGGGAGCGGGGTGAAGCAGCCGCCCTGCTGGATGAGCCCACGTCCATCCTGCTGGGGCATCCTCCCCCAGGGACATGCGATGCTGCAGCCCCCCCAGGCCAGCCTGGGCACCCACCTGCTCCTCCAGCACCCGCAGCCGCCGGAGCACGGGGCCAGCACGGGCTGCAGGTACCGGTGCCTGGGACTGGCCACCCTGGAGGAGCAGGAGCAGGAGCAGGCAGAGGGGCAGCACCATCCCCGCCATGCTGCTGCCGGATGCCGTCTGCCCACACAGCACGGCCAGCCCCAGACTTGGCCCCAGGGCAGCCGGTGATGAGGTTCACAGGCGGTGCTGCCGAGGCCAGCCCCGGGAGCTGCTCCCTGCCAGCTGCCCCGGCATGGCCGTCCCGCTGGGAGAACCGGAGCGGGGCAGGGCCGGCAGGGCAGGGCAGGGCAGGACAGAGCGGGGCAGTGCGGGACAGGACGGGATGGTGCAGGGTGGTGCAGGCCCATGGGATCACAGAATCATTAAGGTCGGGAAGGATCCCCAAGGTCACCGGGTCCAACCAGCCCCAACCACCACCATCACCCCGAACCCTGAGCAGGGGGCGTGGCTTAACAACAAGGGGGCGTGGCTTAGCGGCAATGGGCGTGGCCTAACGGAGGGGGGGTGGCTTATCGGGGGCGGCCCCACCCCCAGGCCCCGCCGCGTCCCCTTGACCTCTCGGGCTGGAAATGGCGGCTCCGGGCCTCGGCCGCTGCATGGCGCGGACAGGTGCGGGGCACAGCGGGGCGGGGCCTGCTCTGCTCTGCTCTGCCCGCGGGGATGGGGTGGGGGCGGCCTCGCCACAGCCCCCCGGGGGTCTCCTTCACCCCCCCCCCTGCGCGTCGCGGTGTCCCCACCCCGGGTCCCCGTGTCCCCCGGTGTCCCCTACACGCCCCGTGCCCCCCCGTGTCCCCCACGTCCCCCGTGTCCCCATACCCCCCATACCCACGCCCCCCGTGTCCCCCCATATCCCCCCATATACCCCCATATCCCCATACCCTGTGCCCCCCACCCTCCCATACCCCCCCATCCCCGTACCCCATGTCCCCATACCCCTCATTTCCCCCCCGGTGCCGCCCCACCACCCCTCTCGGTGTCCCGGTGCCCCCCCGAGCAGCAGCTCCATGGGGTGCAGCCCCCCCTCACCTCACCCCCCCGCCACCCCCAGGCGTGCTGCCCCTCAGCCAGGCATGGGGCAGAGCCCCCCGGCTGCCCCCCAGCCCCCTGCCCGCCCAGCGCCGCGCCTTCAGCAACAACAAGATCCTGGTGGAGCTGGACGAGAGCGCAGGTACGGCTCGTGGCACCGGGCAGCACCGTGGGGAGCAGGGCTGGGGACGGGGGTGTCACGGGTGGTGGGTGCTCGGTGCGGCCGGGAGCCCCACACAGCCCCGGGTGACACCGTGGGGTGCCTGCCGTGGGGTCCCGTGCCCGAGCGTTGTCCCCCCGGCGGCCTGGCCTCATCCCCATGAGCAGAGGAGGAGGGAGCAGCAGGGTGGGGACACCCTGAAGGTAGGTGGCTGGCTTGGGATGCGTGGCACGGCCACCACCGGGACGGCTGTGGGCTCACGCCGGCTGAGCTGGGCTCGCGGGCAGATCCGGGTACAGGGGCCCTGCCCTTGGCCCCAGGGCTCTGGGGGCTTTGTAGAGAAGAGGGTTGAAAAGGTACGGGGTGGGGAAAGTGGGAAAGCAGGAAGGCAGCTGAAGCACCTGTCTCAGGCAAGACAGGTGAACGTGTGGTGCGTGCCGCCATGGCAAGGGGTTTCTGATGTCTCTGTGTTTACCATGGCACAGGTGTAGCTACGATGAAGTTTAAGAGCCCTCCGGTTAACAGCCTCAGCCTGGACTTCCTCACCGAGTTTTGCATAAGCCTGGAGAAGCTGGAGAACGACCGGGCCTGCCGGGGCGTGATCCTCACATCCGTACGTGCTGCCCCGCGATTGCAGTGCGAGCTGCGGGGCAACTTGGCAGCCACGGGTGCCCTTCCCTTGCTCGTGTCTGGCCCCCTGGCTCCCCGGTCCCTGGCATCGGAGGAGCAGGAAGCAGCTTTAATCGGCTCTGGGAGCAGGGGCAAGGGATGCTTGAAAGGCCAATGGGTGTTTCCTCTCTGGCCTTTTCTCCTGCAAGAATAACAACAAAGTATTGTCGTTTGGCATTAAAGTCAAAGCTGCTAATCTGCAAACGTGACAAATCCTCTGAGATCTCTTGAGCTGCCCAGGAGGTGCTGGGGAAGCCAGAACGTATTCTCAGATGTGATGTGGGTACGAGGTCATGCCCGGGAATGGGACCGGGCAAATTTTGTGCTGCGTGGCTGTTGAACCCACACAGGGGCTTTGACGATGAAAAATCTTGGTGCAAGCAAAGAATCCCAGCCCTGCAGGACATGGTGGTGTAATGATCCAGGCCACAGGAGCATTGGGGAGATTGCTTCAGTACCCCAAAAGGCCCTGTTAGGTTTAACTAGAGCATCCCCCTTCCACAGGCTGCCAGGGTATAGAGGGTTAAATGCTAATCTTGGTCCTGTTTGTGTTTTCCTGATTTCAGGCTGTCCCCAAAATCTTCTCATCTGGCCTGGACATCACCGAGATGTGTGGGAAGAGCACGGAGCACTACGCTGAGTTCTGGAGGGCCGTGCAGGAGATGTGGCTCCGGCTGTACAGCTCCAACATGGTGACGGTGGCTGCAGTCAATGCAAGTCCTTTACACCTGCCTTCCCAGCCGCCCCGTGTGGCCTGTCGCTTGCTGGGCTTGTTTGTGGGGTGTGGGCAGGGACAGCCAAAAAATCAGGCTTGCAAATGCTGAAACACAGCATTGGGATGCCCGGGATACCGGCAGGACGTGGCGGTAGGTTTGACTCTGGGTACGCTGCGCGTGCTGCAGAGGTGTAGCAGTGCCCCGGTGGTGTTGGAGAGCTTGCACAGCACTCATGTCTGGGGGGCTCGGACCCCGATGTCCTTGGCACAGCAGTGCTTTTTGCAGCAAGAGCCATTCCTGGCCCCAGGAACCCATCTGGAAGCCCGTCCTGCATGCTGGGGAGCCAGGAGGAGGGCTGTAGGCTAGTGGTAAAGCCCAGGGGGGCATCAGGGGCTGGTGAGAACCAGAGGGGCCCAGCAGTCAGGGCAGGAGGAGTCCAAAGGACGCCTGTCACGTGCACACCATCTGCTTTCTCTCAAAAGAGGCTCGTCGGAGTTGCCCAGGGTTGTTTGTCTGGCTGTTGTGCTGCTGGAGGGGAGGAGATGGGGAGGGAGCTGTGCAGTGGTGCAGAGAATTACCCTTTGGGCAGTGGTGCTTTGGACCCTGGGTGGTGGAGTATGTCGTTAGTCCTTTTTTTCACTGGCTTTTGCTCCTCCAGCGATAGCTCTTGGCCAGCAGGGAAGTGCTCCATGGACACATTATCCACACGCTTTATTTCCATTTTTCAGTGCAGTGAAAACCACGAGTGCTTTGGCAGCTCGTGGTTCTGTCTGCCAGCAGGCTGCCTTTGAAGGTAGCTGGGTCTCTGACCAGCATCCCACAGGCATCCTATGCAGGGCTAAGCCATCCCTGAGTCACGGCTGAAATGGAAGCTTTATAGATGGATGGTGTTACAAAGACCTTGCGCAGAAACATTTCTGTGGCATTGAGGGTTACAAAATCATAAGAAAATGCCATACGACGTCTCCACTGCAGTGTTTACAAGTGGAAGTTATACTTTCTCTGCAGGAGTCTGTAAACTGAAGAGCAAAACTCAGTGGGAACAGATCAGTTAATTAGATTTCCAGGCTGTGGAATGCAAGAAACAGAGAGTACTAGGGAAAAAAGAAAAATAGATAAACTCTGGTAAGCATATCAGAAATCTTCTCTAGTGGCTGTTTTAAATCAGGTGGCTGAAATCTTGGGGAGGGGGGAACATCTGCTCTGGCCATGGCAGCTCTGTCACTGTACGTCTTCCCTGCCCTGGAGAAAAGGGGCACGCGGACATCTGTAGCTAGAGCACGGGGGCTGACCTAGACTCACTCCTTCCTTCTCCTTGCCAGGGGTCCAGTCCGGCTGGAGGCTGCCTCATTGCCTTGACGTGTGACTACAGAATCATGGCAGAGAACCCCAAATTCAGCATTGGCCTGAACGAAGCCCAGCTGGGCATTGTGGCTCCCTTCTGGTAGGCCAGTGTCTTTCGCTTCTATTGTCATGAGTGGGTCTCCAGAAAGAGTTCACAGGGTTTTTAATAAGCTTTAACTGGCCGCTGAGATGTAGTTCTGTGTGTCCTTCCCAACAGAGTGTTCAGGTAGTGGCAGCTGCAGCCCGTGCGGTACCTCAGTTCTTTGTCCTGTCCTGTAAGTATCCGAGAAGTTTTCAGGCTGTGGGACGTTCTGACACCCGGTTTGCAGCCTCCACCTGCAAGGATCTCAGTCCTGACTCCATGGTCAGCTCTAAAACCAGTGCTGGGAGATCTCTGTGGTCACGCTCGGACTGGGAGTGCGCTTCTGTACCTGCAAAAGCTTTTCCTCCCATCTCTTCTAGGTTTAAGGACACCTTTGTCAACGTTGTGGGACACCGAGTTGCTGAAAGCTCCCTCCAGCTGGGCTCCCTCCACCCTGCACCTGAGGCCCACAGGATTGGCCTCGTGGACGAGCTGGTGCCAGAGGAGAAGCTGAAGGACAGGGCCACGGCTGTCATGCAGCAGTGGCTGGCCCTTCCCGGTAAGGGAGGCACCTCCTGGGCAGTGACCGAATGCAGAAGCAGGGATTTGACCCGTGTAGGAGGGCCAGGCATTGAGGCTGGGAGCTGTGTATCTGTTGGAACTGGAGGTGTACGTGGCTGGGAGGTAGGAAAGCTCAGCAAAGCAGTCTGAGCAGCCTTGGGCTGTGAGGGATGTGCTTGGCACACAGCAGGACGCTCTGCTGGGTGCGCAGGGCGCTTGCCTCCAGCTCAGCTCGCTGTGCCAGCACTGCTGAGCCGAGCCGGAGGTGCCTGAGCTCCAGATTCAGGCTGGATCCCTGCGTTTGGCAGCGGGGGTGTTAACCCAGCGTGTGAGCTAATCCTGCTCTGCTGGAGGGAGAGGAAAATCCTGCAGAGCTGAGGGAAAAGGGTGGGGGTGCCTGGGCTGGCTGCCAGCCTGCCCGTCGGAGGAGCGGTGTGGATCTGAGCGCTCCCACAGCTGAGGTGGAGCTGGGGGTGTTAGGGCAGACTGAATGCAAACAGCACATGCACGTGTGGGCTGCTCCATGGCTCCTGGGCCAGGAGAGGGCTCTCCACGGGCCACGGTTGGGTTTGTTTTATCCCATTGTGTGCCTCCTCTGAGGTGCTGCAGTTGGGTGCAGCTGCGTGTCACCCTTGGTGCTTCATTCTATAGAAATCTGAATGGAACTGGGCAGAAAGGTGCAGGCCCCAGGACTGTCACTTAAGTGTCCTGGTTTTGGAAGAGGGTCCCTAAACATCTCTCTGGCCCTGCTGTCTTGGTGTTAGGGTGAAACCAGTTGGTCCTCAGCCCCTGAGACTGGGGAACGTGTCTCTGCTGTGCTCTCCTGTGGCTTGCGGGAGGCACCATGCAGGTCCTTCTGCAGAGCCCTAAGTCACAGCCAACAAGAGTTTGTCCGGGTGAAGATACCCACGAAGGTGCTAAAGCCATTTTGGGTTCTCAGTATGTGGGATTTCACCCTCATTTCACGGTTCCTGTTGCCACACTCCTGTTTGCAACATGTGCAATGTGTTTGCAGCTCGTGCAGTGTGACAGATTTGTGTCTGCATTGTTGCACGCAGTGCGTGAGCAGGTAGATGTGTGCTCGAGGCCTTGGCTCCAGCACCCAGCGCTGCTCCAGCAGCATCCCCATGCCCCTGCTGAATTGTGCAGGCTGCAGCAGGGATCGCAGCCCAGAGCCTGCAGCTGGTGGGGATGATGCTGCTGGCTTTTGTATGGCATGCTTGGCATGATCAGAATGTCTTGCCAGAGGTCAAAGGGGTCTGGGCTGGGAGAGCTTGGAGCCAGAGCAGTTTGAGGTAACAGGATTTTGTTCAGTTCCTGCTGTCCTGAGCCCAGCGACTGGAATTTGGGTGCAGGCTGGGCTCTAGAGGGCGCAAAGAGAAGGAGGGTGCACAGCTCGCTCTGTAATTTGTCCCAGGAGATCAGCCATTTCCCCACCAAGGGATAGAGTTCGCAATTTATTGCATGAGAATGTACCCAGTTCAGCTTCCAGGCAGGTTGTTCTTACACCTTTCCCTGCTGGTTTAAAGACCCCGCCAGCCCTTCGGTGTGCGCTGCCTCTGCTTTGGAGGTCCCAGCCCGTGGTGACAGGGGCCGAGAGGTGGTTGGTAACACTGGGGGCCGTGCGTGCCCCCCAGCCTCGCTCTCCTCTCCACAGACCATGCCCGTCAGCTCACCAAGACCATGATGAGGAAGGCAGTGCTGGACCGCCTGGTGGCTCACCGGGAAGAAGACGTTCAGAACTTCATCAGCTTCATCTCCAAAGAGTCCATCCAGAAGTCCCTCCGCATGTACATGGAGATGCTGAAGAAGAAGAAGGGCTGAGGAGCCAGCCAGCTGGGGCTCGGTCCCAGGAGCGTTCGTGACCCTCCAAAGCACTGCAGTAGCTGCAGACTTCCACACTGAAGCCGTCTGCAGTGTCAGCGCCTGGTGACGTGCTGCCTGCTCCTGTGGCTGCCCCAACCGACCCTTCCCGGTAGTCCCCATAGAGTGCCTGACACCACTGCTGCCTTCCCGAGAGCGGGGAGAGCTGCTTGCTCAGCTCACCCAAGGAACAGGCAGGGAGAGTCCTGACAGCACCGCAGCCTCAGCCTGCGGGTCCTTGGCCGTCCTCCCTCCTGTCCAACAGCTAATTGTGAAAGTGAAATTTGTCAATAAAGTCTTTGATGAGGTAGGGATGGGTGCTTCGTTCCTCAGCCTGTCTGCAGTCCTTCCTGGCTTCCTTCTTGGCCCCTGGTGGACCGGGGGGGCTGTGCTGGGAGCCCCGGGGGCTGGCTGTCAGCCTTCTGCAGACCGTGCTTGGGAGCAGCCCCCGTGCAGGGCTCGTGGATGGGGCTGCAGAGCGCCTTCCTGGGGGTGGTCCTGGGAGCTGGAGCTGGATCGTGGTCTGCAGGAGGAGCTCAAGCCATCAGCTTCACCTCAACGGGGTAGTGGTCGCTGACTGCCAGGGCCTGCAGCAGGGCGAGAGGCAAGGAGGTGAAATGCCAGGGCTGGGTGAGCCCTGATCCCTGGTGGGGCAGCTCTCACCCGTGTGAGACCCTTCTGCCTGCTGGCGGGGGACAGGATAACCCCAGCCCTTTAGTTGTGAGGTCCTGCCCCTGCCATGCCCGCTCCTGCCCATGAAAGGCCACGAAAATGCTCATCTCTTCACCACAGGGACAGGCAACAACCCCAAATTCCCCCTCTTGTTTCCACCCATGGGTCCCCCAGCACCCAGGGCTCCACGTTGGCTGGATGTGGGCGGCTGCTGTGCCCCGGGAGGGCAGTGTGAGGGGCTGCGTGTGTCTGCTGGCGTCCCCACAGCCTGGCACGGGGCAGGGACAGAGGTGCCATGGCCGTAGTCACCTTGGGCTGCTGCCGAGGCTGCTTTAAACCCATATTTGAGCTGACACTCAAATGCAGCAACTACCTTGGTGCAGCTGGGCTGCCTAATCCTGAGCAAACGCTGGCAGCCCCGCGGTGTCAGGATGGCTTTGCTGCACCCGGAGCTGCCTGGGGCAACTTGGCTTCACCACCCCGGGCAGCTCCGAGTGCAGCAAAGACACCCTGAGCCCCAGTTCGTGATCCCTGCTCACCTCCTCCTGCTCCAGCTGGAAAGCACGCTGGAAATTGTAAACTGTGGCCGAGTTGGGCACAATGCTCCTCTTCAGCTTGGCACCGCACACCACGATCCTGCGGGGGAGGAACATGCGGTGGGTGCCGCTCCTGCCCCTGCCGGTGGGGTGGGAGGAACAGGGGGGCCCGGGCCACAGGGACCACGGTGGTGGTGCTGACCTGTCGTAGGCGCAGTCCGACTTGCCCACGGTGGTGTCGGAGCTGTCGGGGATCAGCCACTTGAAGACGTCGCTGGTGCGCAGGCGGATGGAGGCCCAGTCGCTCGGCTTGACGTAGGCGCAGTCGGCGTTGAAGTCCCCCAGGAACACGATGTTCTGCGGGAAGGGGGGCACGGGGCTGATGGTGGGGCTGCCTCTGCCCCAAAAACCAGCCGTCCCAGCCCCCAAGCCGGCCACCGTGCTCATCTGGGAGCGGGGACCCGTGCCCAGGGCGCGGTGCTGCTGGGGGTACTCACATCGGTCCCCCACTTGTTGAGCACGGCCAGGTAGACGTCGTAGAGCGCGTCGATCTCGGCGGCAGCATCGTGCGGGGCCGAGTGCAGCGGCACCATCACAAACTCCCCTGCCTCTGCGGGGAGAGGGAGGTGTGAGCCTACACGGCCACAGCCCCACGGGCACCCCCCTGTGCTTCCTGACCCCAATAGGGGCTGGGGACTGTCCCCGCCTTCCCGGCACTTACTGGTGCGGGGCGCTGAGACCCTCAGGATGAAGGGCTCCCTGCTGAAGATGTCCTGCGGGTCCTCGTACTGGTAGGTGTCCACCACCGACACCACGTCCGTCCTGCGGGACCAAGGGGATGGTGACACTGGGGCTTGGCCCTGCTGTGGTGGCTTTGGTGTCCTGAGCCCCAGCAGGGTCATCCTGGCCCTGGTGTCCCCTCCGTGGCACCCGAGGTGGGACAGCAGCGTGCGCACCCCGTTACCTGTAGATGAAGAGGTACATCTCCTTGTAGTTCTCCCGTCCCAGGGGCCCGCTGATCTCGTAGTCGTACGGGGCTGAGGACACGCTGCAGAGATGCAAAGGACGGGCAGTGACATGGCTGTCACGGGGCTGGCACAGCCCTGGGGTGGCCCTGGCTCTGCTGGCCCCAGGGGCACCGCAGCCGTGCCGCGGGGGGCACCGTGAGCCACCGGCTGCCCCAGCGCCGCGTGGTGTCCTCCCCACACCCCGGCAGGACGCGGGGCTGGTCCCTGCCTCCCATTGCTCTGCGGGGATGCTCCCCGTCATCATTTGCATCCTAGTTAAATGAGGTTAATTGGCTGCCGCAGGGCCCGGCGTCACCCTCGCTGCCGTGGTGGCTTTGTGGTGATGCCCGAGGGGGGATCGGGGCCGGGTGTACCTGCACAGGGGCCTCCGCCCCGGCCCCGGCCCTCGCCCAGAACTGGGTCCCCTGCATGCCCGTGGCAGCCTGGGCTACCTGCAGCTTTGTGCCCATGGCACAGCCACCTCTCTGCCCCATGGATTTGTCAGGTTTGGCCACGCAGAGCCCCTGGAGAGCCCCGGTCCCACCGCGCACCCTTCGCCCCCACCCCTTCATCCCCAGCCTCGGCTTTGCCCTGTCCTGTTGCATTTTTCAGACCCGGTGTGACAGTTTTAGTTCCTTTCTGTCTCCTGCATTTGGGCGTGATTTCAGCTTCCACCAGGGTTTTGCACCACTTGCACCCCGTTTCCCCCTGTCTCACCCCCAGCGGCTGCTCAAAGCTCCGGCACAGTGCCCAGCGAGCTCCAGGCTGTTATTTCACAAAGCTCCAGCATTTTCCCTTATTCCCCTTTCTGCAAACAAACGCCTTGCTTTCCCTGCCTCACGCCAGCATTTTGCTGCCGGGTGGCCCCAGCCCTGCTGGTACCTGTTGAGCTGCTCCATGAGCTCGGTGACGGCGCTGAGGTCGGAGTCGCGCACCTCCTGCACCAGCACCACGTCGTAGCGGCGCAGGACCTGCGGGGACAGGAGCGATGGCAATGGCTCGGGGCGCTGGGGTGGTGAGCAGGGACCCCACGGCAGCACTGGGGTGACCCACACATCCCTCAGTGCCGAGGCAGATGTCCCCAAAGAGGCTCAGGGAGAACACAGCGTGTCCCTGACATGCCCCACATTGCCCTCCACCAAGCCAGGACATCCCTGGCACCGGGAAGACGCCCAGCCATGGCCATGTCCCTGGCACAGGAGCTGTGTTTTGGCTCCATGCACACAGCCCGTCCCCACGCAGCACCAGCAGTACTCACGTTGATGATGACGCCCGCCACGGCCTCATCAGACATCTTGCTGTCACCAAACACCTGGATGTTGAAGGCGCCGATGCGCAGCGTGGCGGTGGCTGGGCACACGAGAGCCACGGCCAGCAGGGACAGTGCCAGCACCGCGGTCCCCATCCTGCTGGGAGGGATGCTGAGCCGCAGGGAAGCAGCGATGGGAGCCAGGGTTTGCTCTGGGCTTGGGAATATGCTTCATATTTGGGGATAGAGTGAAGAAATCCATTTAGGTCCTTCCTATGTGCCACGCCACAGCCCACGGAGGACTGACACTGCTCCGCTGTGCTCGGCTGGGGCAGAAGAGCTGGATCTGGCCTGGGGCAGCCCGTGCAGCCAGCCCGGGCTGTCTGCTGGGTCACTGGTCCCAGAGGAAGGCGAAGCCCGTCCTGCTGCGGTGAATCAGCTGGGAAGCGCCTCTGCCCATCGCCTGCGAGCCCTGGGATCACCCAGCTCCCAGCTCTGCTCCCCATGGGGCTGTCCTGCTCTGACTGCACGCTCCCCAGGCTGGTTTGCATCCTCCAGTTTGCTCACAGTCCCCTCTTGACTCTGCTCTGCTGTTCTGCATCCTTAGACATGGCCACAGTCCCCCTGCATCCCCTCTGCCCTGGTGCTCCCCAAAGCTGGGAGCTTTCTGCCCTGGAATTGCACCACTCGATGCTCTTGGAAAGTGAAGCAAATCCCAATTCCAGCCATCCCAGTCCCTCCAGTTCCATGGCCAAACTATTGCCCACCCCACGGGGCTGCCCCAGCTCCCAGCCCATCGCGCCACGGCCACGAGAGGCACCAAGCCCCAGCTCCATCCTTACCTGTGCCAAGCGCGCAGCACCTCTGCCCTCCCGGCGGCAGGAGGGCTGTTTTATTCCCAGCGGAGGTGCTGGGAAAGCAGGATGAGTCGGACACCCCCGTGGGTGTTTTGGCACAGGTTTGGGCTCCTTCCCACGTTGGGAAACCAAAACCTGCACAGGGGCAGGGTGGGGCCGGCGTCAGCGCCTCTGCTCAGTGCCACGGAGGGCACCCAGGGGGAGCGGCGGCGGCGGGGCAGCGGTGGGGCTGGGGGCTCACAGGGCTCAGGGGGGCTCAGGCGGTGCCCAGCTCGCAGTGCTCCTCACCCCAGCATGGTGCCGAGTGGCGGGGCGGGCGGCTGGGGGTGATGGCTTTAATGCAGGTGATTCAGACACGTAATTAGAGGGGACGTGAGGAAATGGCGGGGTTGTTCGGGTCAAGCCAGTCGAGCCATGGGCGCCACTGCGAGCCTCCGTGCAAGGGGCCAGCTGCGAGCCCCTGCCCCATCAGCCACCCCAAGCAGCCCCAGGACGCGGCGCTGCCCACATCCCACTGGGGAAGCTGCGACATGGCTGGGACCGAGCCCCGGTGCTGGTGCTGGGCTGGCATCCCCAGGAATCCGGGCTTTGGGGCATGCTGGTGGCGGGGCAGGTGCGTGGCCGGCAGCTGGGGCTGGGGAGGTGACGGTTCCTCATGGTGGGGCTTGCTGGGATCCAGCACACAGCACTGGGCAGCATCCTCCCCACCAGTCATGGGTGAGTCCGGTGTCCTCAAACGCATCCAGGAATTCCTGTAGGATTGCTCAGCTCGGGCTTTCCACCATCCCTGCAGGCAGTGAGTGGCCCAGTTCCTTTGGGAGAAGCATTTCCTCTTCCAGCATCCTCCTCGGAGCCTGGCGCCCCACTGCAGGTGCTGCCGGGACACGCGGGGGCTCTCCAGGTGCCAACCAACCTGGTGGGACCCCCACACCTGCAGGGGGAGGCCTCGTGCCCAGCCCGGGGGGGTTCCTGCGTCCTGTTCCCCATCGGCAGCACGCACACGGTCACTGCTTCCCCCCATGGGTCAATCCCCCCCGGCCAGGTGTCCTGCTGGGATGGGGCCCGTGCTCCCAGCACATGGAGCTCCTGCGGAACGGGACAAGGTGGCTCTGTGCCAGGAGCACCAAAACCCCTGGAAAGGCACCGAAACCCCCGGGAAGGCACCGCAGCACTGCGCCGGGAGCTGACTCACATCCTCCACCTCCCACCACCGTCACCAGAGCCCATCAGGCACCCTGCGGGCTCCAGCAGGACACGGCCCCATGAGCTGGAAGAAGAGCTGGAGGCATCCCGCAACTCAGCAAGGGGGAGGAATCCCGCCTGGAGCCTCCCAGGCCCTTCCCGACACCCTGCTCTGCTGCTTGCTCAGACAGGAGCTGCTCTTCCCACAGCAGGGAAATTTCCTGGGCTCTCGACAGCAGCAGGGAGGCTCCAGGTCCCGGGGACCTTCCTGGCTGCAGCCCCCCCCTGCCGGGGTTGCCCCATTCCAGGGGGGACACCAAGCTCAGGGTGGGGGCTGGAGAGATGGGGGCGAAGCAGCTCAGCACCCCAAGCACCCACCAAGCCCATTGCCATGCTCCGGCTGGGGTTGCTTTGCCAACCATCCTCATGCCCCGGGGTGTGCCCCCGAAACTCCATGTGGAAACGTGGAAATGAGCCCTAGGGGATAGGGGCGAGGGCTCACCTGTGTGTGGGGCTGGGGGCACACGTGTGGGGCAGCCCCACAGCACCCAGGAGGGGGAGGTTTGAGTGTTTGTACGGGAGCACACATGTACATGTGTGCAGGAACTCGTGGGGACATGGGCATGGGCACTTCCAGCTGGGGGAACGCAGGCGTGCACACAGGGATGGTGCAAAGGAGACTGGGGGTGCACGGGGTGCACGTGTGTGTGGGGTTGTGTGCATTGCACACGGAGGAGCGTGCACAAGAGGGTTTGCACACGAGGGTGTGCAGCAGGCGTGTGGGAGTGCTTGTGCACGGCGGCACACACACAGGACAGCGTGGGCACGGGGCGTGTGCGCACAGAGGGCACTCGCAGCACCCAGCTGCCCTCTGAGCGAGCAGCACAGGCTGAAAAGAGCAAATATTTAATTAAAGCACCCCACAGCCACGAGACCCCAGGAGGCTGTCTCCTTGCAGGGACAGCGTGCAGCAGATGGAGCAGTCAGGAAGCTTCGTTGAACCTGGTGGCGCAGGGACCCCCACGAGGGACACGCGTCTGCGTCGCGGCATCCTGCCGACCACCACACGCGTCTCAGCGGGATTTCAGTGTCACCTCCACAGGGAAATGGTCACTGACGGCCAAAGCCTGAGTGCAGGGGGAAAGCAGAGAGGTGGCTTTGGTTTTCCACACCTGGTATTATCGTCGTGGCCAGCTGGGGCCCAAACATTCTGCTCCAATCCCCCGGCTGCCCCGGCCCCTCACTCACATCCTTGTTCTGGATGCGGAAATTCGCCTGGAAGTTGTTGACAGCGGCGGAGCTGGGTTCAACAGCCTGGCGCAGCGCGGAGCCACAGGCAACGATGCTGCCGAGGCACCGTGGGGGTCAGCACGTGCTGGTGTCCCCCCTGGTGCCCCCCATGCCCACCGCCACGGCACCCACCGGTCGTAGGCGCAGTTGGTGCTGCCGACGGTGGTGTCGGCGCTGTCAGGGATGAGCCACTCGCAGGCTTGGAGGTTGCGCAGGCGGATGGAGGGCCACTGAGACGCGGTCACGTAGGAGCAGTCGGCGTTGAAGTCACCCAGGAAGAGGACGTTCTGCGGGGCAGAATGAGGGACAGGGGTGGCCCCTCGGATGAGCCCTGCCCACCCCAGGCTGTGCCGAACGTCCCCGGGCTGTGCGCTCAGCGTGGCCGGAGCCAAATCCTTGCAGCATGGCCATTACGGGGCAGCAACGGCTGCCCAAAATCGTGCAGGGCAGCAAGACCCACCTGGCTCTCTGCACTGTGTGGGGGGAAAGCCCCCAGGAAGGGCATTGGGGCCACCCGGGAGCTGCATCCCCCCTCCCTGCCCAGACACTGCGGGGTGGCACCCGCTCAGATGGGCGCGTGAGGTCTCCCACGGGATGAATCCACCCAAGGATGGCTGCCGGGACGTGCCACGGCCCCGGAGCCGTGTCCAAGCCCACCTCGCTGCCCTGGGGGGGGAGCCAGGCTCCCCGGTGCCACTTACATCGGTTGCCCACTTGTTGATGACGTCCGTGTAGACGTCGGCGAGCGCATCGATCTCGTCCGGCGCGCTGCTGGGCTCTGCGTGCAGGGGCGCTACCACGAACTCCGCCAGCTCTGCCGGAGAGGCAGCACTCAGCACCCGCAGCCAGGACAGCCCCTGAGCTTTTCTCCTGTCCCTTTAGCAAGCTCCCTTGGTTTGGGGTAGGAGATGGGGGTGGGAGAGAGAGGGGAGCGGGGGAGTGTGTCCTGGGGAGGCAGAGGCAGCAGCACGAGGTGGGAAATGAGAGGCGATGGGAGATGGCAGGCAACGGGAGGTGACAGGAGATGGGACACAGGAGGTGGCACGTGGTGGGAAGCAGCACGCAGTGCCTGCTGTGCTGAGCAGGCACCCATGCCCCTGGGGCACCCATGGGTGGGAGAAACCCCCCAGCAGCGAATGAGCCCCGTGGAGCCCCTGTGCCAGGTGCAGGCAGCCCCAAAGGGACTGGGGGGGAGCGGTGCCGGGGCTGCCCAGCTCTGCTCACGTGTTGTAGGCGAGGAGAACTTCACGATGAAGGGCTCCCTGCTGAAGACATCGGTCCCGCAGGGCTCGCAGCCGTCATCGTAGTAGTAGCTTCCCAGCACGGAGAGGATGTCTGTCCTGGGGGGACCCAGAGGTGCTCGCCTCCCCTCGGGAGCCGCTGGAGGGGGCAGCAGCCGGCCCTGGTGGCATTCCTCCCCTCCCGCTGGCCCTCACCTGTAGATATAGACGTACTGCTCCTTGTAGCTGTTCCTCCCCAGGGGGATGCTGTCCAGAAAGCTGTAGGGGTACGGCGACGCACTGGGAGCGAGACGTGGGGAGGGTGAGGAGGTGGGGAGGGTGAGGAGGCTCCTGCTGTGCCGGCACCCACGGGGCTCTGCGTGGCCCCGGCGCAGCCAGAGGCAGTGCAGGGTCTGTCCCCGTGCCATCGGGGTCACCTGTTGAGCTGGGCCACCAGATTCCTGACAGAACTCAGGTCGGCGTCCCGCACCTCCTGCACCACGGTGAGGTCGTACTCCGACAGGATCTGGGGGCACAAGCCCGGAGCTGCTCGCCCTGCGGTGTGCACCCAGTGGGTGCTTGGGCTGGGCTGCCCCCTGTACCCCCCAGGCTGCCCCCTGTACCCCAAAACGGGCTGCTCGGAGGGGCCTGGGTGGCAGCGGGCAGTGCCTGGGGCCAGAGAGAATGGAGGCAGCCCTGGGCTGGAGACAGGAGTGGGGGAAGAGCAGGTGGGCTGGGGGTTGGAGGCATGGAAAATGGGTGCGGGTGGGTGTGCGTGGAGGGATGGAGGCACAGGGAGGTGCAGCATGGACAGGGATCTACAGAAAGCCGGTGTCTGCCAGCCCCAGGCTGCATCCCAGGGAGCGGAGCGTGGCCACGACGGCTCCTCTCCCCCCGGCACTCACAGAGACGATGAAGTCTGCGATGGTCTGGTTGGACATCTTGCTGTCCCCAAACGCCCTGATGTTGAACGCGCTGATCCTCAGCGCCGCGGCCCCGTGCAGCAGCAGAGCCGCAGCCAGCAGCGGCAGCAGCAGCTTCAAGGCCGCCATCCTGCGTGAGGGGCAGGGGTGAGCTCAGCCTGCCCGGCCGGGAGGGGAATTTGGCACAGACGAGGGCGGCTGGGCTATTCCCAGTGGCCCTACTGGTTTCGCTGGGAGGCATCCATTTTCCAGTGAACCACCGGGAGCCCTTCCAAGCACCCAGCTGCAGCCTCAAGCTGTTTCCCTCTTTGGGTCGCTGAGGTGTGCGTGCACACAGCCACCATCACACAGGGCTTCGTGGGCTTCCCCCCCTCCCCGTGACCCTGGACACCAAAGTCCCTTGGCTTGTGCCTCTCCCAGGTCTGTGCCAGGCACCCAAAAGACCCCACAGCAGCTGTGCTGGGACACAGCAAGGGCTGGACACCCCCGGCACCCCTGCAGGTGTCCTCCCACACCAGGAGCGCTCTTCCCTGGGGTGGGCAAGGGTCCCCCCGCACCCAACGCTGCTCTGCCAGCTGCTGCCCCCAAGCACCGCCGCTGCCCCAACCTCGCTCCGAGGCAGCAGAGCTGCTCCAGCCCACAGGGAAAGGCGTTTGGGAAGCATTTCCCACGGCGCTGAGCTCCCCGGGGTAATATTTTACCACATCCTGCCCGGACGATGGGATCTGAACCCTGGCCAAACCCACGCACCCCGAGCACCCAGCACCGCTGGGACCAGCGTTGCCCTCGGTGTCCGTGCCTGATAATGAGCCTGCTGATAAGAGCAGGAAATACGGCGAGCTTCAGGGTGCCCCAGGCTTGTGTTTGCAGCTGGGGCAGCCGGTCTAGTAGAAGCTCTCCCCTTCGCCCACTTCCATCCCTGCTACAACTGCAAAGGCTAAAACTTGTAATGCCCCAAATCCTGGTGATGCTACAACCTGGCAGTGCCACCGCCAGCCCAAACCCCTGCCGGTCCTCCCTGCTCCTGCGGCACCCATCCACCTCCGTAGGCTCCCAGGCAATGCCCAGGCACCCACAAATGCCCATATGGGTGCACAGGCAGACGCTCGGGTGATGCTCATGACCTGCACCGGGGATCAGACCCCGAGCAGCATCCCATAAAGATAACCTAACGATAAGCTGAGCTGCGGAAAGTGACTGCAGAGATGCGATCCCCGGGAGGGACGGGGAGCCTGACGTACCTTTGGTGCCGTCCTTGGTCTCTGGAAAGGGAAGGAGGAGCTGCACCTGCATTTATGGGGAGGAACACGCTCGCTTTGCCAAAGAGTCGCCCAGCCAATACGTGTGCAAGGCCTCAGGCTCTATATGGCATTTTTTTTCACAGAAACAAAGGTCTGTTCAGTGGAAAATTAAAAAGCAACTCTTTCAGCCAGTGCCAGCACCGGTATCTCCAGCCCCAGGTCCAGAGAAAGGCCAAGAATAGGTCTGAATCGATAAAAACACCGAGAGCCATCTGCGAGGTGTAAATAAACCCCGCACGCACAGTGCCAACTGCGAGGTGCCGGGCACGGGGCCGCTCCCACCACTCCTGCTGGGGGAGAAACACCACAGCGGGCACGGCCTTTTGGGCTTTGTCTGAAAACGCCTTTATTTCACCCACACCACCCCGTGCCCGACGGTTCGAGGAGCTGGAATGGGGCATGGCTGGGCCCATCCAGCACCCGCAGCAGGGCTCCAAGCCCCCCACAGCCATGGGACACAAGGACGGGGGGTGCCTGGGGGCCCCGAAATGAGGCGAGGGAATGAGGCGAGAGCGTGATGGTGATGGGTGATGGGTCTCTGACCCCAAACCCTCCCCGTGGCGTTGTCCCCATCCCAGTGGCGGTGTCCCCAAGGGCTGGTGCTGAGGTGACACTTTTGGGGTAGCACAGCACCGAGACCCCTGCTGGCCTGGGGGGGGGCCCAGGGTGGCTGTGGGGCTGTCACCGCCCCCTCACCCTGCCCTGCCCGTTGGCCTTGCCCCACTGCCGGCCTCCAGCCGCAGCTGCCGCCCTCCCACGGGGCCTCCCCCCCCTCCTTGGGGGCCGGCATTATTGTGCCCCCCCCCACCCCCCCCATATCAGGGCCAGCAGAGGGCGGCCGCGTTCGGGCTCTTTTTGGCCGCCGCGCGGAGCCGTAGCGCCCGCCCGCTCTGCGCTGAGGGAGGCCGGGCCGAGCCAGGCCAGGCCGCACCGGGCCGTACAGGGCCGAACCGGGCCATATAGGGCCATACAGGGCCGGGCAGGGCCGGGCAGGCCGCCATGAGCGACATCCGTCACTCTCTGCTGCGGCGGGACGCGCTGAGCGCCGCCAAGGAGGTGCTGTACCACCTCGACATCTACTTCAGCAGCCAGCTGCAGAGCGCGCCCCTGCCCCCCCTGGTCGACAAGGGCCCGGCCGAGCTGCTGGAGGAGTTCCTCTTCCAGGTCCCCAAGGAGCGGGGCGTCCCCCCCAAGGTGGGCCCCGGGTGTTTTAATCCCCCCCTGAGGGTGGCTCGGTGCAGGGCAGGCTGCCCCCTGTGTGTGTGTATATGGGGGGGGTGCTCGGGGCTGGGGGTGTGGGGATGTTTTGGGTGCCCCCATGGGGGGGCTGGGGGTGTGTGGTGGGCCCTGGGGGGTGGGTTTGTAACCCAGCTCTTGGCCCCCCTCATCCTTTTCCCCAGAGCGGCTCCCCCTCCTCCAAAAGCCCCAGGTGTATTTCACGTCTTTGCTCTCGTTTCCTTTCAGAGGCTGAACTCGCTGCAGGAACTCCAGCTCCTCGAGATCATGTGCAATTATTTCCAGGAGCAGACCAAGGACTCGGTTCGGCAGCTCATTTTCTCGTCTCTCTTCAGCCCCCAAGGGAACAAAGCGGATGACAACAGGATGGCTTTGCTGGGGAAACTGGTGTCCATGGCGGTGGCTGTGTGCAGGGTTCCCGTCCTGGAGTGTGCCGCCTTCTGGCTGCAGGTGCGGTTCCTGTGCAGACAAGGCAGGAGGGAGCGTGCCACACGGGCAGCGGGCGTGCTTCGTGCCACCTAACGGCTGGTGGCAGCTGGCTGCAGTCGGTGGCACATCCGTGGCAGTGTTAGCTGAAGCAACAGCTGCGTGCTGTGGCCACATTCACACCACGTCTGTGCTCCTGTCCGTTCCTTTGCTCCAGCACGGGGTAGAGTTTTTGCCGATCTGTTTATGTGCTGCACTGGCTGAAGAAATTTTTCTTTTACTGTTAGTGAAAGTGTTGATTTTTTGTGGCACTTATCCCCCTCCTCTCCAGCAAGTCGGAAGGGGCAGTGGAGGGTTTGAGCAGTGCTGGGAAGAGGACAAGGGCAGATCACAGTCACATTGCATGAAGGAGCAGACTGGAGTTTGGGAGATAAGCTGCACCCAACGTGCAAGTTCTGGCATGGCAAAAGAGGCAAATCTGCCTCTTGAGATTCGTGTCAGAAGTGTCTGTCTTCTGTGGGTGAGGTACCTCAGGGATCTCTTACGCCCCTGTGAAGGATGTCCCCTCCTTCCCTGCTGATATTCCCCCCTGCAGACCATCAGAAGTGCCTCTGTGTTCCTGCTGCCTCCGTGGGAGGTGCAGAAGTCACCTGTTTGTAGAGGGGAAAGAGCAGAAAGGCTGCGCTGAGAGAGAAGGGTGCTGGAGGGGAGGCTGTTACTGCTCCTGTGGTGTCTTTGTTCTTCCCGTCTGTTGGGCCCTGGGGAAGGAGGAGGGGATGTGCCCTGGGCAGCAGGGACAGGCACAGGGGTTGGTTGGTTTGTTTTGAAGAATGCAGCTCTTAAGTTGCACGGAATTGTCCATGTGAGGAATGTCAGGTGTAACTGGTAGGTTTCTGAACCAGCTGCTCTGCTGCTGAAGTAGTTGAACTACAGCACATTGTTGCTGAGCTGGTGAAAAATTCTTCTAAGTGAGAATGTTGATATAAGAGGTTTTATTTTTTAAATTATGAGTATTGTAAACACGGAATATCACCGTCTATGTTAATATCCTGACACAGTAATTTTATTCCTGTCTGTGAGTGGTTCTTTTATACACAGAGATTGAGCGAGAGCACGAGAGCGCTTTCATTTTGGGGAAAGTGGAAACACGAACGTGGCAACAGCAAAGTGGCTGGATGATGTGGGCGGGCACAGTGTTTGGGCAAGGTGGACTCTAAATCAGCTCTGTGGAACCTCCCGTGCTCTGCTCTGGGCTGCTCTCATGGTTTGCTCTCATCCCCGCAGCGAACCCCCGCCGTGTACTGCGTGAGGCTGGCCCGAGCCTTGGTGGACGACTACTGCAACTTGGTGCCGGGCTCCATCCAAACGCTGAAACAGATCTTCAGTGCCAGCCCTCGCTTCTGCTGCCAGTTCATTACGGCGGTCACAGCTCTCTACGACCTCTCTTCAGGTAAATATTTCTAGGCTGTCTTACAAGGAGGTGTGGTGTAACACAACGCAGATTAACTGTTGCAAGCAAATTAACGACTTAAATTCTAAAGACGCTCGTTAGGAGAAAATTGCTGCCAGCAGCAGCTCAGGGGTGTGATGGGGGTGTGACATCTGTCACTGGGGTGAGGACAAAGCAACCCCTCAGTGGCTGAAGGGAGAGTAATAAGGAAGCAGCCAAGCAATGCCTGACACAAAGGGCAGCGTCACCACACAGGGCAAAGGACAGGGGGCCCTCGCTGACTGAGCAGTGCTAGGAGCGCAGCCTGACCCACCTGGGCAGCTTTTCCTCCTCGTTGTGCTATCCAGCAGGTAGGCTCAGGCCTGGCTCTTAATCGAGTTCCTCCCAAAAAGGGGGAAGACACAGACTGTGGATGCTTCCAGGCTGGAGCAGGGTTTCTGTTGAGCAGTGGTAAGAAACAGAATTGACAGCCTGCTTCCAGAGCTCTCTTCAAGTGTGTGAGTGCGCTTGACCTGTTGATATGCCCCATCTCATGTTGATGCTGCTCAGAGACTGGAAACATTCATATGACTAAAATAAGATTGAGTTAGCTTAGTCAGTGAGAGAGAACTTGTGGGAGGCCAAGGATAACCACACACTAAATGCCAACATCACGTATCATCCAAAAACAGCAAATGCATTTGTTACGGATAAAGGAGGTATTTTTCAGTCTTCTCCAGATAAACAGCTTGGCATTACTGAAAAAGAGGTGCAGGCTTAGGCTTTTTTTTTTTTTTTTTGAGTATTTGGTAGAGCTTGCAGTATGTTATTCCTCAGTATTTTATTTTATGCAGCCACGTGAAGTCTCATCCAGCTTTAAAAGACCTATCAGAAAGAAAACAGTTACAGGAAGTATGGTTTTTTTTTTGTTTGTTTTTTTACCTTTACCTTTGTTTATTTGAGGTGATAAAAGGAAGCTTATTTTTCAAAGAGTAGTCTCCACCATGTTGTGAGGACAGGGTTTGATTGCACAACCAGCAGCCTGTATGACACCCAGAAGTCTCAGAAGCTAGGAAGTACCAACTCGGGATCTGGGGCTTATTAGTAATGAGGTAGTTCAAATGATTTGTCCTATAAGTCATTTTCAGCCGAGACCTGATGAGATAATTCAGTGTTGAGTCAGCTTGCACCGAGAGCACATCACTCAGTCCCGCATCCTGCCACTGTCACAGGGTGACACGCAATCACCGTGAATGCCCCTGTTGTCTGTAATCCAGCTTCAACTCGTGGCCACCTTTCGCTTCTTAGTTGAAGCTATGTAACCTTTAAATCCTTCACCTATTGTGTGGTACTGTTGTTTTAAGTTTTTCCACAAGCCAAGCTTGTTTAGGTAAGTCAGAAAGGGAATTAGCTGAACCGTTGGGGTGAGGAGAAGGAAATGCCAAGGAGTTTTTCTTGTCTTCTCTCCCATTGTGCTTCCTGTGGCAAGGGATGAATGGAGACTAAGTTTAGGAAGAGAGTAAGCAGATGACAGGTGGGAGAAAAAGGAAGAAAAAAAAAAAAAAAAAGAGGAGCTTTGCTGTGAAAGGGGTTAAACATTGGCATTTGGAGGTGTTTTCAAAATAGGTGAAGAAGCTGAAGTTGACAGGAGTGTGGTTGTGTCTCCCAGGGACAAAAGAGCATCTTTTTTTAAACAAACACACAAAAAAAAAAAGCAGACGTGGGGAGGTTCTGAAACTGTAATTGTGACACTGCAGGAAATGTGTGTGGGAGAGATTAGTAAGAGTGCTGTCCCGTGCTTCAGTGCAAGGCTGTGCTTACTGAGCAATATCTTTCCTGTCTGCAGATGATCTCATCCCTCCCTCAGAACTGCTCGAGCTGATTGTTTCCTGGATCTTCGAAGACCCCCGCCTGATCCTGATCACCTTCCTAAACACTCCTATTGCAGCCAACCTGCCCATAGGGTTTTTAGAGCTCACCCCGCTGACTGGGCTGATCCGTTGGTGCGTGAAGGCCCCCTTGGCTTACAAAAGGAAGCAGAAAGCCTCTCTCTCAAATGGACACCCCAACACCAAGATGGCCACGGACTCGGCTGAAGGGGACGATGGAGATTGCCATCAGCTGTATTCAAAACTGCATCTAACCGTCCTGCAGGTTCTTATGATGCTTCAGGGGCACTTAACAGAGAAGAACCTCTACGGGCGCCTGGGGCTGGTACCCTTTGACCACGTGGTTCCGCTTGTTGAGGAAATTAACAGGCTGTCTGATGAACTCAACCCTCTCAATGCATCCAAAGAGATTGAACTGGCCCTGGACAGGCTGGCTCAGGCTTTGCAAGTGGCCATGGCATCGGGAGCGCTCCTGTGCACTCGAGGTAAGTTGTTGAGGGGGCTGCCAAAGACCCTGATGTTGGATTCTTTTCTTTCAACATGTGGGTGTCATGGTAGGGAGTTTTGGGGTGGAGGGAACCAAGATCAACACATTTTTAGCAGCAGTAGCAGCCAGCTGCTCGTAGGAAACGATGTTAGAGTGTGGTGCAGGAAATATTTTGAGAAGAATAACAAGATGGGGAGTAAGGAAAAAAAGTAATCGATGTAATTAACCTGTCTGTTGTCTTGCAGAGCTGGAGAATTGATCTTCTACCTAGCATGCAGAATGCTGGATATATCTGGGTGTCTGGCTTGGGGCCAAACTGAGCATATTCAGAGCTCCCACACAAGTGTGAGCTGTGTGGTTGGTACCAGAACACAGAGAGAAAGGTCGCCTTGCCTGCGCTGACCCTCAGTAGGTCAGACATAACAGCAGTTACCTGGCTGGGAACGGCAGTGGCTCCCAGCTGGCCTGAGCCGTGGGGCCTGCTGTGGCTGTTTGCGAGGGTCCTGCATCCTCTCCTCAACTCTCCCGGCCTTGGGAAACAATTCCAGGAGCAGCCACTGGGGAGCAGAGAGCAGATGCGTCACATGGGACCACGGCACCTGTCCCAGTGTGCACACTACAAGCCTGATTTCTTTTTTTGTCAGCTTTTCAAACTTGCTTTGAAACGTGAAAGGTGATGCCCAGGAGCCAGAGGAGTCTGCTCCGAGTTGCCTTGCACGGTGCAGGCCTCCAGCAGCGCTGTGCTGGGCTCCCTGGGGCAGAGTTCTGGCCCAAAACCAGAGGCAGCAGAGAACTGTTAGGATACGTAAGCCCAGGCATGCTGTTAGGTGCACTCAGTCTGCGTTTCTGCGTGTTAAAACCGTCTGGGCTAGCTCATAACCGGCTCCAGGAGTCGAGTCACGTGTATATCATCGTATGTACAGCAGGAAGAAAGTACTGAAAGCATTTCTTGTGCTGGAAGCCTGTGACTGACTGCAATGTCTAGTTCAGATACAGGCGTGTAGCAGAGCAGTGTGAGCCTGAGCAGTGTGAAATCCTCCACTGATGCCCAGTCATGCGGTGCTGCGTGAGCTTCTGTCAAATGTCACTGCTGCAGCAGGGCGATGAGGCAGTGTTGGCTCTGCATTTGGGACTGCTGCTTGCTCTGGCTGAGAGCACGAGCAGAGCTTGCTCCTGGCTGCCTCAAGTTACTTTCCAGGACAGCTCTGTTCCTCCTAAGCAGTCTGGGGCCAGGAATTGCTTGTAGCTATCTAAAAAGCACCGTTACATTGCTTTTCACTTTGTCTTCTCCAAGTTTGCCTGCTGGACAAGAGACCATGAAACAGATAGACCATGAGGTACATGCAATAGACAAGAAATTAGAAAAGAAAAACTGTTTATGTGGAGCTTCTGGGCCTTCAGTTCTCCTGTAATAAGGCTGTATTATGGTCTGTCTTGAACTTACTAAAGAAGCCTAACGTGGCTTTCATCTGTCCTTCCTGTTTCCAGAAACAGTTCTTTCTGAAAGACCTGTGGAGACAAAAAAAAAAAAAAAAAAAAAAAAAAAAAAAAAAAAAAAAAAAAAGGAAGTGCCTCAGTACAACACAGAGCCCCCCAGACGTACTGTTTTCTTGAAGCGGCGCTGAAAACAGGCGGTGGCTTCTTGGTGCAGTGAGAGGGCCTGGAGTTCCCTGAGAGCCCAGATGTTTAGCACAGGCTCCCAGCCATGGAGAGCAGCCCCGCCAAAGCAGGTGCCTGAGGCTTTGGCCCTGGCTGAAGCGGTGCTGTCGTGTCACATCTCAGTGTTCTTCTTCCTAACCTTCTGGAGAGCAATGTTGGGTGTAGTAAGAGAAGGCAGAAAAGTGGAGTCTTTGGAGTAAATGGCTGTTCTCAGCTCTGCTGCTCCCTAGCGAGTCACTCAGCACTTCCTGAGTGCTTGTTTTATTGCATTTTTAAGTGGAAGGTGAGGTAGTTCAGTATAAGCTGCAGCTGAAACACCCGTTAGTTCAGGGTTTTAGGGGTACGTTTTGATGTGTTTTGCCTTTGCCCCGATCCATTTGCCATCATGAAAGCCACATTCACCGAGCAGCGTCACACCTCGCGTTAACTTAGTTACTTATTGATGGAGCTGTGTTCCCGTGGCTAGATCGCTTGGATATTGTGCTGATGGTCAGCTCTTCTGTTGTGCTGGGAGGCCTGCAGCATCTCAGGTGTCTCGGGGCAGAGGAAGCGGTGGCTGTAAGTGCGGGGAGGTGGGACCTGTCCTCTCCCTTGGCAGCAGCTTTGTGTTGGGAACGGCAGCGGCCGCAGTCAGGATGTGTGGAGCCGGGCAGGGCTGCGCTTTGCCAGCTGCACATCCTGTACTGATGCTTGGTCTGCCCTGAAACGAGGTTGTGTTTGCCACATGGTCGCGTGGGTTAAATGCAGAACCTACAGGGGATGGTGAAGTGTGAAAAGCTGAGCTAATCTCAGCAAAAAAATGGGGTAAGACTGGTGAGGTAGAGAAACGTCTCTTCTAGGAAGGTTACTGGCCTGAGAAGGGGATTCTGGATCTGTGGATCACTGGAGTCTTTTCACTAATCTTCCTTTAGAAAGGAGAGTGGAGGGGAAAATTGCTCGAATTGCTGCTTTACCCTCATTGTTACATCTTGTGCTCTCTTTCAGATGACTTGAGAACTGTGTGCTCCAGGCTACCACATAACAAGTAAGAGCTCTTTCTCTAGCTGTGTTTGTTGTGACACATATTCCAAGATGCATATTTGAGGGCTCTTGAGACAAAATCTCCTCTAAAAATGTGTGTTTACTTCCTGGAAGTTGGCCTTGATTCAGACACTTTATTCAGACTTTATTCAGTGAGGATAAAGGTCATGATTTATTTTCCCCTTGCAAGCTGGACTCTGGTCTCGAGGAGACTTCAGTGATTCTAACCATACAGGTGATCTTGCCCAGCCTCTGTCAGAACAAATGGACAGGAAAAATGAAATTACAGTGTGGAACCTGTCTCATCCCCAGCTCCACACTGATTTTACCTGAGCCTAAGCTTAACTGCGCGTTGTTTCTCACCTCTTAGCCCTTAGCTGGTTTCAGATCTTTTCTCAGCAGTAGCTGAAAACGCTCACACATAGAATCTTCTCTCATGAAAGCCAGATGATGCCTGTGTTGTGAGAAGCTGCTCCCCACCTGATGTTTCATGTTCTGTTAACACCTGAGGGTTAAAGAAAAAGGAAGGTTACTCAAAAGCAGCATTGCTGCCTTTAGAGAAACTGACAGATCTCATTTCTGCTAGAAGCAGGTGTTTTTTGTTTTTTTTTTTTTTAATAAAACACCTTTAGCAGAAAGTGAGGCCCACTTGAATGAAGAATAGTCACAGAGTAAAAATGAGCCAAAAAGGATTGTATAGTGGCTTATAAAGGGACTTTAAAGGGGAAAAATACTCAGCAGACACCTACCTGAGAACAGAGACTTATCTTCATCACTCTGTGGCTCTGCTTTTGTTTCTATGTTTTTAAACACCCGTGTAGATCAAGTTCCTAATGCAGAAGTAAATAACGTTGATATGGCCACAAATGAGTAGTGGTTGAAACCACCGGGTCTCTCAAAACCTGAATTTCTGTGTGATCAGAAACACGGTGTGCAGTGAGCTCTCACCCCTTCCAGCCCCTCCAGTGGGAGCAAGCAGGGCCACTGCTGAGGCATGAGGTACACGGAGACCTGGGCTTTCCACACGGGATCCTGACCAGCAGCAAAAACTGCCCTGGCCTTGGGAAGGAAGGTGGAAGTTGAAGTCGGGGGGTTGGAAGGTTTGTTGTGTGCCCAGGCAGGTAGCTCAGAGCATCTGTGCTTAGGGTCGGTGGCCCCAGAGCTTGGTGTTGCTCCTGCCAGGGAGTCCTCCTAGCTGGCAGTCACCGAGCAGTGCCTCTTCGCAAAGTGCATCCAGATTTAAAAAGGGAAGAAAAAAAAGAGAAAAGCATCTGCTGGAAGCTGTAAAGAGCATAATCAGTGTCCTCTTGCCTGCGAGCAGTGCTGCATGGTGATGAATTGTCTGCAGAGCCCTTGTGGGCAGGGGAGAGCCCCTCCACCAGCCTGCCGATAACTCCCCTGTCTGCATTTCCTTCCGCAGCCTGCTCCAGCTGGTGATTTCAGGTCCCGTACAGCAACCAACCCACGGAGCTCTGCCGCCGGGATTTTACCCTCACATCCACACTCCTCCTCTGGGCTACCCCGCACTGCCTGCGCACCCGGCGCTCCCGGCTCACCCCGTGCAAACCTTCCTCCCGGGGATGACGTTCCCGTACCGGCCCATCCGCTAGGAGCTATGGCAGCGGGAGGTAGCCAGATTCCCTCCGTTGGGGGGAAGCCTCACAGAGGAAGCCAAACGTCTCGGGACCCACATTTCCCTCTTTGACCGAAAGCTGGGCCATGCCTGCGTGCGGGCTCGGCCCTGGGGGCGTAGAGCAGACTGTAGCCGGGTAGATTGCAGGCTGCAGCCGCTTCCACCGCGGGATGCGGACGGCCTGGACGAGAAGAGCAGGGGGAGAAGACAAGGGACTGGAGAAGGTGGAAATCTTCTGGCTCCGCGGTGTTTCGGTCATCGCCCTCGCTGCGTTTCCTCACGGTGCGGCCCGGGGGAGGAGAGCCATGGGATCCCCCAGCGGGGTGCCCCAGCCCGGCCGTTCCTCCATCGATATTTGTACCGGGGGCCGTGTGGGGCCGGTGTTGGCCCCGGCAGCACGGGGCAGGGCCCGGCGCTGCCGCATTAAAGGAAGCGGGCGAGGAACCGAGGGGCCGCGGGCGGTGTCGGTGTCGCTTTCTTCACAGCGGGGCTCGGAGGGTCCTGGGGGGGGGGGAACGGGGGAAGGGGACGCGTCCTGGGTGGCTGTAGCGGCACGGGGAGCCCCCGGGCGCTGCGTGGGGCTGAGCGGGGCGCGGCCGGCACCCGGGGGGGACCCTGAGGGGGCGCTGAGGGGGTCCCGGTACCGGGGGGGGGGGGGGGGCTGGGGGGGGTGCGGGGCCCGCCCGCTGCGTGCCGCGCCTGCGCCTGACGGGGCGGCGGCAGCCAATGGGGCCGCGCGTTGTTGCGCGGTGCCCGCGGAAGAGCAGCGGCCGCCGGTGGGTGCCCGCCGCGGGCCCGGCCTCAGCCGCCGCCTCCTCCTCCTCCTCCTCCTCCTCCTGCTCTCGCCATGCGCTGAGCGCCCGGTGCCGCCCCCCCTCCGCCTGCAGCGCGCCCCGCGCCCCCCCGAGGTGAGCGGGACCCCGGTTTGTGGGGGGGGGGGTGCGGGAGGGAGCGGCGGGCCCAGCCGCGGGGCCTCGCCTCAGGCGGGCCGGGCGCGAGGTGCTCGGGGCCCGGCTCCCCGCTGGTGGCTGCACGGGGCTGTCAGAGGGCCCGGCCGCTGCCCGCATCCCTGTGCTGCGATGCGAGGTGCGCGGGGCGCTGGGCACACACCGGGTGTGGGTTTTCCATCGCTCTCATCAGCACAAACGGGGAGCCTTTGCCTTTCTCCAGCTCCCGTTCCTGGTACCTGCCACCCTCCGGGCTGCTCTGCTGTTGTATCCGTCCTGTGGCACCGGGGGCTGCCCGCAGCTATGGGCAGCTTCGGGTTGGGTTGTCCCGAGAGCCCGTGCCCTGCCCCAAAGTACCACCAGAGGCTGATGCACGGCTGTTCATCTGCTCTCCCATCTCGGTTTTATGAACGTTTTATAGCTGGGAGTGCCTTTTCGTTAAGAATTCATGCTGGATTTATTTCCTTTCTCAGTGTGCTCTCCCTTTCACCCCCGTGACTTCTTTTCTTTAAAAGCTTTTAAAGAGAATACTTCTGGTAACGCTCTGGGCGTGCCAGCACACGGGTTTTGTTTCTTTTTTTTGTTGTTGTTTTGTTTGTTTTCTTTTTTTAAATAAGCCACTTGAGTGTATGAATAAGCTGTAAGAGATTTCTAAGAAGTGATGATATTTTAAATGCAAATAAGAATAATATAATAATAAATAAGACTCGCAGTGTGCAGTGACTGGAGTACGGCCTGCCTTCACTTGCAAGAGGACACTGGGGCGGCCTCATGCTCCTCGCTGCAATGCTGGGGAGTGCCCAGCACCAGGATACTACAGGAGGTGGTTTTAATGCGTAGGGCAGAAAAGCAGCTCTGCTACGTCTCGGAAATTGGTGCTTTAATTACTCATTACGTGCCTGGCAGCAGTAAAGGAACGTGCCCTGTCCTGCCACACCGTGTTGTTCTCTGAACCCGCTGTCATCTCAGCTGGTTGCTTGGTGTGTGCACGGCCAGGTGCCTTCACGCGTCTGAGTAATGGGCAAGGAGCAGAGAAACTGCTGTTCTAGGGACGCTCTCTTAAAACAGAGGGGTTTCCTAGCCCAGAGGGGTGTCACCGCGTCTCCTGGTGCCAAGGCTGGCCTCAGATGGTGTGAAACCCTGGGGGAGCTGCGGGTGGAAATCAGGAAACCGGTCCTTTGTAGCTGGAAGCTTAGCGAGCCTTTAGCTCACCACGTGTATTTATTTGCTTGAGTACTTCCCTGCCTGGTGCTGTTTCTTCCCCAGGAAGGATGATCTTTACGTGCATAGGGGCAGCTTTTAGTGGTGTTGGGCACCGTGGTCCGACAGGGCTCTGCTGGGTGCCTGTGTGGGAGCCCAGGAGCCTTCCTCCTCCTCCTCTTTTCCTCTTCTCTGCCCCGGCTGCTCCCAGCACCGTGAAGCGGGCAGGAGCTGGAGAAACCCCTGCAGGGGGCAGCTGGCCCTCCCAACAGCGTGGGTGCGGGTACCTGGCGGGGTGTGGGGCGGGGGAACTCCCCTGGCAGCGCCTCACGGAGCCGATCCTGAAACCATCACAGCTCTGCTCTCCTTGTGCTCGCTGCTGGCACAAAGAGTTTCGTGTCTCGCACCGCCTGCTCCCACCCACGCTCTCCTCCCAGCAGAGAGGTAGAGCTGGAGCCGGTCAGCTTTCCAGCCTTAGCTGAAAATGCTGGAAGTTCTTTTTTCTCACACTGGAAAACGCTGAGGAAGGAGAGGAAAAGAAGCTTTTAAGTACAAGATCACGGAGAAGAACAAATTTAGGGAGTTTGTCTGCCAGCTAGGGAAGGAATATCTATTTCAACCCCTACGAAGTTCGTTGCTAGTGTCTCCTGTGCTGGTGTAGGCAGTGACTGGGTTTTGCTGACAGCATGGTAATGAGGACAGCGGCTGGGAAATGGAGGCAGGCTCGAAATTCCCTCTCCCCGTGTTTGCACTCCGCTAGGCTGATTTTCTGGCTTTTTTAGTCACTACGTACATCTTGTGTGGAGCTGTTTATGCTAAGCCTGAAATGGCAGCGGGCCCGCGTGTGTGAGGAGCTGCCTGGGGTTCCTCGTGTTCCGGAGGAGCAGCTGCCTGCTGGAACCGTGCCGTGCTCCGCGTGTGCGAGGCGTGGGGTCTCCTCTCCCGAGCTTCTTGCTGCAAACGAGCTTCTGTTGTGACCCTTGGGCTGTAGCTCCCTGCAGTGCTGCTGCCACAAAGCAGATTTGCTCTGCTGCGTCTTACCAGGGAGAGATTTACCAGCAGAACCCTCTTAGCGGTTCTTGCTCGCCGTTCCCCAGAGGAATGGCTCTATCTGGGGCAGCAGGAAGCTGTGCCTTTTGCAGTGTGCTTCAGGGATGCGCTACGTGGGTACCGGCTCGCGTGAAATCTCCAGCTTCAGTGCCACAGCCTGAGCTGCAGGGTCAGGGAGCAGCCCAGAAGGCGAGCGGGAGGCTCGTGTTTGTTCTGCGGGAAGGCTGACGGAGCAGACCTCGGGAGCCCAGAGGACCGGGGATACGGATATAAAAGGATTTCCCTAACAGTGAGTGCTCTCATTTCAGGTAACTGCTGCTTGCTGCGCAGCGAGCACGACGTTTTGCCTTCTCCTCTCTTAACAGACTCTTTCGCAGTCTGTGTCAAATTTGGGTCCTGCTCGGCAGGAGGCTCAGGCAGACAGAAATCTTTCGTTTTTGCGGGGAGCCTGAGGGCTCGCTGGCACAGCTGGCTTCTCTAAAACCAAGGCTGCCCTCCGTTCTCCGTGGTGCTGAGATAACCGCAGCTTTCTGTCCAAGACATTCTTGCTGGCTTGTTGTTTCCTGAGGCAGGTGGGGTCTGTGTGCTGGGTGCTGGGCTGACGGCCTGAATTGGAGATGTGACAGCCCAGGGGGTTTGCGGGGAAAGCTAACCGGGATCAGCTCTGTGCACAGGAGGAGGTTGCTGCTAAAGGAGCTGAAATGAGAAGCACCAAGTCTTAAGCTGGTGCGTGCAGCTGAGTCACAAGGTGTCTGCGAAGAGCTTTTGGGCTCGCTGCTTTTGGTTCTGGCAGAAACCAAAGAAAAATGTAACACCAAGATCCAAAGGAGTCACGGACTCCCGTGGCATGACGTTATCACAGCATCAGAGCCTGTTCCAGCCAGATGATGATATTACTTTCAGACCGAGGCATAGAATCCATGGTTTTGTCCTACTTTTCCCATTAAAACAGCCTTGTTTGCTTCTGCTAATTTTGGCAAGTAAGTGCTGGCAGTTCTGGGGAACAACCCCATAGGATGTGAAGGACACGAGAGAGGAGGTGACATTTCCACCGTGCTACCTGCCTGTGAACGCTGAGCTCCAATGCTTTGCCTAACGTGCTGGGAGCGAGGAGAGCCACATCTCCTGCAGCTCCCTCATCGCTCGTCCTCAGCGAGCCCCAACGTGGTTCCTGGAAGGAGCAGGAGCACGAGGTGAGAGCTCCAAGTGGCGACTGCCCAGGGGCCGTGCCCACGCTGGGATCCCGGCAGGAGCAGCGGTGGCAGTGCAGGCAGCGTGTTTAATTCCCAGGGTTTTCAGTCTGAAGGCATGGGTGTGCTCAGGGGGCACACAGCTGAGGGCTTTTTATTTTCCTGCCAGACGCAGGAATATCTGCAGCGAGCTCTTACTGCCTGAGTTTGATCTCTTCCCAAAGCAGGAACAGAAGAGATCCACGTGGTGGGCACACTGCAGTGTTTTCCTCACCTTGCCTAGTTGGTAATCAGAGACGTAGCACTGGTAAGCGTTAATAGGTCCCAGAGAGCCAATTTCAAGGCTGAAAATCGTTTTTATTCACACACTCCTGTATTTCTCAAACGCTTCTCTGTGGCTGGAAGGCAGAGCCCCTGAAAAATCTGCAGGGGCTCCTCCTGTAGCACTTCAGCCTTGTCAGCGTGTCCTGTGGGTGCTAGGGGAGCAGGGCTGTCCTCGGGTGCCCTCTGCACGTGGCGAGAGGAGCCGTCCCGTGGTGCTGGGCGACCTGACCCAGGCTGGGTCGAGCCTGGTGCCCTCCAGAGGGGCCTTCCAACCTTTTTTTTAATTATTATTCTTTGAGCAGATGAAGCAGGAGCTAGGTATCAAACCAAATACTTTATTTTTTTTCAAATGTTGGTTCCTCTTGCTTTGTTAAAGTTGACTTAAGTCCTAGAAGCACCTCTTTGACATTCCTGGTAATGAATTCATCATCTCTTCCAATCCGACCACGGTTCCGTTGTATTAAATAAAAGGAGCTGAGTTACAGGGGTATCTGGGTGGAACGCTCCCTGCGAGACCAGTAACCTAAAAACGCAGCCAGCTTAAAATGAAATGCAGAAGGGAAATCTTTACTTCTTTGCTGGAATTAGACCTTTGGCTGCTTCAGACTGAATGGTTTAATGGAAACCAAATCCCCTGTGCCAGATGGTGCGGGGCAGAGAGACAGAGCCCCCGAGCTCCCGAGTCCGGGTCTGGTTTGGGCGTTGCGGTGCTCGGCCGCAGCTCGCATGCTCCTGCCCTGCATTTTGAGCAGCTCTTGCGATTTCACCCAGGCTTTGCCACCTCCTGTTTGTTTGCAAGCGAGGGAGGATGCCAGATGTCCCTAAACACTTTGTGTTCTGTTTCCCTGGAAGGCTCATTGCTGGGCCCTGGGGGCTGTCCACGCAGTCCCAAATGAGGGTTTGCTGCCCTTACTGGGGCGGCACCTCCAGGGCAAGGAGATCCAGCCCTTGCCTTTCCAAGCAGGGAAACCCAGCTCTGGTCTGCTGCTGCACACGTGTCTGCAGTGTAAATTTTTTATTTGGGATTTTCACGAGCTTATCTGGATAGAAGTGGAAGTCCAAGTAAAAATCACAAAAATGGCATCTTAAGGTTTTTTGTTGTTCAAATCCAAGCCATGTGTGCGGGATGCATGAGGCAGAATCAGTGTTAAAGTTTGTCCCATAGTGCTGAACAGGAGAAATCTTAATGTGTTGGATCGCCTGGCCAGGCTTTGAAGGCGTGGAGCTGCTTGAGGGATTTTCAAAAGCATTTAAGCAGCTTTTTGCCAAATTCGAGTAAGCATCGAGCTTTATCTTGCGTTTGAGCTCCCTGTTGAATTTGGAGCGCTGATTCTAAGCTAAACTCAAAATGAGACCTGCTCCTGCATGGTGGGAGCTGGAGGTGCTGGTGGTGCAAATAGGTCGGTGCCCACACGCCCCTCGGAGCACTGGGTGGGTGCTGGTAGCTCGGGGGTCCTGCCCATCCCCTGGGCTGCTGCTGGAAGCTGAAGGCTCCGCTGCTTTTTGGACAGAGGTGTGAAATGCTGACCTTCAGTTCATTAAAGCTAGGACTTACCGATGCTGAATGTGCATGACGTTGTTTTTAAGTAGTAGCTTTGGATCTTACACTCTGTTTTAATTTTAAATTGCACATTAAGTCAGATTGTTTATTTAATGTCCTTACTATTTCTGTTCATCCTATTCCCATTGCTGCCAAATGTTACTGAGAATACGATGGGTTCCTCTGCATCTGTCCAACGCACATAAGGCCAAAATTGCTCTCTTAGATCTGGGGTTTAGAGGTAATGTTTTGCAGTTTGACTCAATGAAGTAAGGCAGAAGACTGCTAGAGATGCTCAAAACCTCTGTACTTTAAATGTTGTTTTCTTGAATTTTTTTGTATTTTAACAATATCTGCAGGTTTTAGGTAGCAAAGGGAATTGGATGCTCCGTTATGAATCCTGCTTGCTGCTAACTTCCCTGTTTTGGGAAGGGATGCCTCAGAGCTGCCTCCAGTGTTTAACAGCAGGATCCATTCACAGCCCCAAAACCTTGGCTCATCAGGTGGGGGTGTCCCAGTGAGGCAGAGCATCAGGTCAGCTGCAGCAGTCCCAGGCTGTGGCCGTCACCTGAACACAGCCTGACACCTGAGAAAAAGTTATTAAAAGAAAGGAGGTAATGTCACTGCGGATTTCCAAAATGGATCGGATCTCCTCCGATGAGCTGTGTGGGGCTGAAGCGTGCGCTTTGCCTTGCAGCAGCCACTGCATGGCCTCAGGGGTCAGCACTCGGTGTCTTGGTATTGCAGTAGATAAACAGCTGATACCCAGAGGTGTCTTTAACACTGATACTGGCTTTTTCCTTCATAATTCCAACACGCCTTTGCCCTGTAAAACCAAGCTGGCTCCAGAAGTGGTGCTTACAGGTGGAGTTTCTCTTGGCACAGTCATATCCTGCCAGCTCTTAGGGCAGGATGTTGCCAGCAAATGTGGGTGAGGTTTTATTTTCACTCAAGTGTTTCGCTGCTCTAATTGTGCTGCTGTTGTGATCTCAAGTTCTCCCTAATGGGAGAAAGGAAAGGAGGGACTTAGAAATAAATTGTGGTAGCAGCTCTAATGGTTGTGCTGGGGATGTACAACGACGTGCCACGAGTGAATTTCTGCCTCACCTTACTGTCAGGTGCTTCGTTGTAACCTCACTTTTCTGCGTGGCAAGAAAACCTGAGACTTCTCTGTGGACTGAAAGATTTTGTGTGCTGGCAGATTGCTCAGATCCGTGGTCTCACCTGCTCCGTGCCCAGCTGTGGCACCCTTCCCAGCAGAGTTGGGGGCGGTTCCATCCTCAAGTCTGCAGCACGAGGAAGGATGCTCACTGGCGCTGGTATCTTCACAGCACAAAGACCACGGATGCATCTCCCACCTCCTGCTTTCCCTGCCCATCTTTGTCTTCTGGGGCAGCTCCAGAGCTCTTTAGAAGCCACAAGCTCCCTGAGGGGGCAGAGAACTGGCATGCCCAAACCCAGGGGGTCCCCGCGGCTGGCAGCAAGTGGTTAGCTTGGCAAGAAGCTGCTACTGAAAACGTTTGAACTACCCAGCAGCGTCTAAAGGGCATCAGAGGGGCTGATGCTTTGGTGCCTGGTGTGGCACAGCGTTCACATCCTGCATGCCTATGCTGGAGGCCCTGCCCTGCACATACAGAAATGCTTCGAGTCTGGCGTGGGCAGGCTCTGGGTTTTGGCACAGGTTGTTTCTTCCTCAGAAACCATTTTCTGGGCATGTCCTTCCCGGTAACTGTCTCTTCGTGTGACTTGGTCTAAGTGTTTTTTCCCGTGTGGGCAGTAGTTCCTGAATATCTAAGTTCTTAATGGTTAAAGCAGGTGTTCTTCTTCCCTGCAGGTGCCCACTACAAATTTTTCCAGTTTCTTGAGAGCTGTGTGCAAACCAAATCTATCTTCGAGTGCTCCCAAGACACAAAGGCACCCAGCCGGCATCCTGCCTGCAGTCCACAGAGACTGCCGGCTGCAGCAGGAGCAGTGATCGTGTGGCCTGCCTGTGATTACAGACAGTAGGTGCTTCAGCCAAGGCCAAAAAATAATAATGATTATGAAACGCTGTCAGAGCTGATAATCAGCTTATGCGTGAGGATTTGGAGTTCCTCTGTCATTAGTCTAAGTGGTGTCACTCCCATGTCACGGCCACTTGTGCATCATTAATCTCACAACTTTCTCTGTGTTTTCTTCTGCAACTTGCTGCAAATCTGGGGAGTGCAGAACCATTTCTGATTGTTTGCTGTCTCTACTTCCAGCTGCTCTCCTTTCTCCCAGCACTGAGAGCGAGCGACCTTTCTCTCTACTGCTCTTAGCGTATTCTCAGGGTGGTGCCGAACACGTGTGGGGCTGACAAACGGTTTGTATCAGTTCTGCTTCTGGACTCCGCGCTGCTCCGGGCTCTGCTAACCCTAGTGTGCCACAGGGCTGTGTGGAGGGACAGGGCTTGGGTCTCGAGTGTTCACCTGGGTATCTGTGAAACACGCGGTGCCAGGCAGGGGCCTTGTATTTTCTTGCATTTAAATTTTCTTCAAATGTGTAAAGCACCCAGGTTTGGGCGTGCGATGCAAAGAGGACGGAGCGAGTCCGTGCTCGCACGCCTGGTGCTGGGAGGGGAGTTACCCTGCTCAGCACAGTGCTCGTGGCTTTGTCTGGCTTTTTTAAAGGCTGGCTTTAGCTCCAGGATAATGCACGATGCCTGCCTAGCTCTTGGAGAATACAGCATTAGATAAACACGAACTGATCCTTGCAGGAACGTGTCCTGTGCCGGCCCTGCCTCTCCTGCAGCAGCTGCTCCGTGCTGCGAGGTGCCCGCCCTCCCTTGCTCAGTATCGACAATCCGCTGCTCTCACGGGTGTTCGTTTAGCTCCAGTTTGTCAGTGCTGAGACTATTTTTAAACGGTTGGCTGAGAAAGGGCGTTGACTTATAGGAGCATCGAAACCTCTCAGGAATTAGAAGATTTACGAGCAAGAGGAGCGCTGCTGGGGCAAACCCGCGTGCCTGCATGCGGAGCGACAGCGGGGGCCTGGAGCCTCGCCATGGCCGGAGCTGCTCTGCTCCTCTGCGCTCCTTTTTCCCAGCCCAGAGCCTGTCCTGCAGTATTGTGGAGCTGATGGGATTTTTACAGCCACATGCTTTTACATCCACTTATAGCCTGCTTCTTCCCATCTGATGGCTTTTTAAAGAGGTCTGAGGACACTGGAAGTGTCCTGTGCATGGTTAGCAGGGCTGTGGCCATACTGTGGTGAAGGAGAGGGGGCTTTGGGGATATCTATGTTTGAACGTGCTTTGCTGGGCTGCAGAGCCAGCACCTGGGGAGCTGTAGTGCATAGCAATGAGGGGAAACTGTCCCATTTCTCCAGCAGAAGTTATAAAAAAAAAAATAATGCAAAAAAGAATCTAAAAGCCCTACTTACATGTGAAGTGGAGATCAGAGGGTTGTGTAAGGGGACTTTGTAGATGTTCTTCTAGTAGTGCTTCCTTTTTAAGCTCTTTGTTTAATTTTGTTTTGACAAAATGTTGATCCCGTACAGAGATTGGAAGAGCTCCACGCGTTGGAAGGCACGCTTGGCATGCTCCTGGCTGCATTCAATGCAGCGTCCCTCTCTGCTCTTCTGGTCTGGGTCGTGCCACGTGCTCCTTCTCACCAGCATCAGCAGCCTGCCCCGTGCTTGTCACCTGTGTGGCCATCGTGGTGCTGGCGGGCTGTGCCAGGACACAAAGTGAGCAGTGAGCTGTGCCCGGCCTCTTGGCACCAGGGGTCCTGGTTGCTGCTTGAGCTGGTGATGCCACAGTTCACTTCAGCTCTTTTGAGCTTCTGCTCGGAAGAGAATTCTCTTGGTACTGGGAGCTGCCTGTGCATGGATGCCTGCCTGAAGCTGAGGGTCGGAGCTGTCTGGTCAAACCTAACGTGCTTTCTTCTCTTGCAGGCGTGAATGACAGAGGAGGTGCCTCCGACTGCACTTTCCGACGTAAACCTGCGTCTTCTCTGCCACGATGACATAGACACGGTGAAACAGCTCTGTGGTGACTGGTTCCCAATCGAGTACGTTCCTGGTCGTGGGTACAAGGTGGCAGGGAGCTAGAAACACGGGGTGTGGAGCTGTGCTGCTCTGGCTTAGAGCTGAGACTGAAGGCTCTGTAGCCATGGGCTCTGAAGTGGGCTCTTGTTGAGCCCAAACCTCTGGACAGAGGAAACTTGTGCAAAACTAAGCGGCAAAGGCCTCACCGATTTTTCATCAAATATATTCTGTCAGCATAAATAATCTTACAGTTGGCATTTCTGTAGATCTAAAGGAGAGCTGTCCTCTGCTTTGTCCCGCTCTGTTGTCTCCTGCTTGGCTGGACGCAGCCCACTTGCGTTTTCATTTTTATTGTTTGGGCTGTCCCACAGCAGACCTGAAGCAGTGGTGATGCTGAGGTGAACGTAAGCCCTTGTGAGACACAGGCTGCACAAGCACCTTCCTGATGAGAAGCTGCTGGCAGTGCCATTGAAGGAGGCAGCACTGCTGCAATGATGGAAGCGAAGGCTCTGGGCAATGAACATAAAATGAAAGTTTGTCTTAGCAAGGCAGCAGACCGTGACAGGAGCAACCTCCGTGGCTTCTTAAGTGCAACTGGGGGAAAAAAGCATGCTGCCAAATGGGGTACAACAGCAGTTTGTTTCATGGTACCATACAGCAGTTAAGTCAGGAAAGGTAGATAACGTACTGGCCCAGAATGTATGGAGTAAGTTAAGCTTATAGCATAGAAAGAGCTCAGCCATGTGTCAGTCCAAAGCTACTTGACTACATCTCCCTGCAGAACACAGACCTTTCAGCTTCCCTCCCTCAGTCTTGTCTAAAATTGGCTTGCGGTTCCAGTGACTGGCACTTAAAGATGCTGCTGCTTGTTTGAAGTGAAGTGCAATGTTGGCTGCTCCTGTGGGATCTGTTCTCCAAATGTTCCTGTTCCTTTTTCCTTCCCAGGTACCCTGACTCATGGTACCGAGATATCACTTCCAACAAGAAGTTCTTTTCCCTCGCAGCCACATACAGAGGCTCCATCGTGGGAATGATAGTAGCAGAGATCAAGAGCAGAACAAAGGTGCATAAAGAGGTAGGAGGACTCTGCTTTGGTACAAATATCTCACTTCTTGATGTGCTTAATTGGATGGGGTCTGTTTGGGGTATTTTTCCTCCCTCTGCTCAGGAGCTGTCATGAGTTAATTGTGAAAAAGCAAGAACGTGATTTCCAGCTAATGAAGCAGGGGTGATGGGATGTGTTTGAACATGGGCTGCTGAGCAGCCCGTTACCAGAAATCCTGTTCCTGCTGCCTGATGTGCTGCATGGAGGGATCAGGTAATGCAGTCGTAGACTAAAAGCCACTTTAATAATTCTTTTCCCAGCCTGTTTTCAGTGTGCCTGGTCATTGCTAGTGGCTGAGGTCTGTGTACCTGCTCCTCTCTTATGCAAGGCATGAACTTCCTTAGCTGTACTGAGTCACTCCTGAGAGCTGTGACTTCCTGCAGCAGCGAGTGTCCTTTGTTCACTGTCTTGAACACAAAACAGAGGTGGCCAGTCTGCAGGAATTTCAGGCCACAGGGGTGACAGTTTGGAGGTCAGGAGAGACAGCATGGTATGGTCAGAGTGCTGAAGAAGAGGTGGTCGCTGAAGGCAGTGAGATAAAAAACCCCCCAGGTTATGGCAGGGAGAACAACATAGGAGAGTGGCTTAAAAAAAATCCAAAACATAGCATTCTACCAGCTACTAGGAAGAAAATTAACTATGTCCTAACTGAAACCAGGACACACTGGTAGGAACCAGGAGCGCCGAGTGGCACTGGTCTCTTCACTCTAGCTATCTGGCTTTACCTCAGAGCTACCCAAAGTCAAACTGTCTTCAGCAACTCTAACAAAAGGCTCTTGTTCTAGCCAAACTGAAAGCCAGGGGCGTGTTCAGGTACTGTTCTAAGCAGCTGGGACTGTGGAGCATGTTTCTTGTCCTCCACGGCACTACAGCTCAGACTGAGAATGCAGGCAATAAAGACTGTCCCTGATAAACTACAGGGAATTGATCTAGACACTGATGCATAACTCCAAAAATGGCAATTTGAATCCTTCTTAGTGAAGAGTGCAGGTATTTGTGGGCTTGGAGACATAACGTATATAGTAAAGAAACATCATGATGTGTGCTCTGCAATCGGAAGGATGATAGGGAAGCAGGAATACCATCTAGAGGACCGTGCTCATTTCATTTTTCTCCCCACCACCTTTCCCAGAAGCTTCAACTAGGATTCCTCACTGAAGGGAAAATTCCTGCTAAAGCCTTGTTTTCAGGTGTTCCAGTGCAGGATTCTTGCTTTCTCCTCTGCCTCCCCACATATCTTACTAAATAACTTGTCATATCTCTACTCAGGATGGAGACATCCTAGCTTCCAGTTTTCCTGTGGACACTCAAGTTGCTTACATCCTAAGTCTTGGAGTGGTGAAGGAGTTCAGGAAACATGGAATAGGTAAGACGCTGCTACGTGACAGTTCTGTTGCTGTCCTACTTGCTACACCTGACTACTGGACTAAAGAGCTGCACCGTGCAACTCCAGTTCCCTTCTGAGACAAACTTCTGTGTGACTTGTCCCGGCAGTCGAGAAGGTGATGCTCTCACATCCCCCTTGTGCTGGTAGTGCAGGTACACTGAGAAGTTTTTGTTGGTGTAACAGCACAATGTACAAATGGTTCTGCAGAGTGCAGTCCATCTCGTTCCCAGGGGATAGCTGAGCACACCAAAAAGTTGCACTCCTGCTGCTGTCTGCACCAAGAGTCTGAGAAAAGCTGCCAGGGCTGAGAAGTCCTCGTACTTTGTCATTCATCCTGGAGCAGGACTTGAAGCCTGTCTGGTAGGGACAAAAGGGGAGCGTGTACTCCCTGCCTTCTGCTTTTCTTCCACGGGTGTCAGAAGCCTGGTACCTGAGGCAGAAAAGTAGCTGCTCTTAAACTTGCAACTTAAATAGAACAGATGTTTAGGGAAAGATGGACTGGGAAAAGAGCGTAACTCAGACCTGGTTTAGTCTGTCAAATGCACATAAAGGTCAGCTCTGAATGCCTGCTGCAACACACAGCGATTCTGCAGCCATTTGGAAACCTGCAGTCAGAAGGGGCCCAGCTCCGTTTAGAGCAGGATGTGTTTTGTCATCAAATAAGTGCCCTGCTGCTGCAATTTCAAGCATAATCTGCATCTTTGATCTGCAAAAGGGAGTAGCCCAGGTTTGGCAGGATGACCCAGTTGCACACCTGGAGTCTTTTCAGTGGGTACAGGTATCAGCTTCTGTTCCTCGAGTCCTCCCTTCTTCCCCACTCATGTTTAGAAAGGTACAAACTGATGTGATGCGTTAAAAAGTGACTAGAAGAGACATCAGTGGGACTGCTGCATTTAAAACTTAAATTTAAATGCTGCTTTGTCTAAATTTTCTGTACACAGAAGAAAATGATTGCACGGAATAATGTTCAAAAGTTAGTAAGGGGGTCTTCTGTTCTGTAAAACTGTGGCTGTTTTGAGTCCCCTTTCAGTTTCCAAATCCTATTTTTTTTAGCTCCATGTTGCTGGAGTTTTCTCCTTTCAGTGTCAGCATTTCCTATATCCATTAAATCTAGGTAGCATGTTGCTATGCTTTCTGAAGATCTTTGGGCTTGCATCTGTAGCAAAACAACCTAAAAAAGCTTCCTGCTGCTGCTTTTTCTGAGCCCTTTCCCTTTTCAAGTGTTTCTCTACTTGTGTTTGAAGCTTCAGTCTTTCACTCAGGAGGCTTTTCAGCCCAGGCACACTTTTAAGCACTAAATCTCTGAATTTTCTCCGGCAGACGTTGTTAGACTTTGGTTCTCTGCTATTCTTAAACCAGAGGGCAGTTGGGTTACTGTGAGTCATGAGTGGCATATCTCATAACAAAATCAAACCGTCCTCCTGGTGAGGTCTCCAAGTGTCTTTTTGTACTTGGCTGATAGAAACTCCTGCTAAGTCTCACGTAACCATAGGGTCACTGCTGTTGACTTCTGCTCCAAAACCCTGTGGGCCCTGCCGAAAATCATCTGTGCCCTGGGGATTGTGAAACAGCAGCGTAAATCTCATCCGTGTGCTTGTATTAGCTAAAGGATTTCTGCTGCACCTGACAGAGGAAGTTAGCCCTGCAGGTTCTGCGGGTCCTTTGGGCCGTTTCCTGACTCCAGGGCCAGTCTTCCGTGGCTGGGATTTCCTCTGTGCCCTGCTCTGCTCTTCACCTGCTGGCTAGTGGCTGTGGCAAAGTCAGGCTGAATGAGACTGTGCCTCACCTCTTCTCCTAAGAAGGGGACTTAAAATCCTGCCAATTCTTTAATTTAAATTTGAATTCAGTAGACACAATGCCGTAACCTGCTTGTAAAGTCCTGCTTTGACTCTGCTGTTTTAAATGGCTCTAAAATAAACACGATGGGACTGATAGCACTCAAAATGACTCACTGGCTTTACCCAAAGCCAAGAGCTGCGCCTGGGGATGAGTATCATTGGCAGGTTTCTGTGTCTGACCTATCTTTGTGGTTATTGAATCAGAAACGTTTCTGCCTTTATAAACCTGTTCTGCGAAACCGTGCTCATAGCTGAGGTGAGGTTCATATTAAAGCCACGGAGCGCTGTCCTGTTCAGTGCCCGTGTGAAGCTCTGGGGAATGAGTGGGATCAGGGGTCCTCGAGTGTGGGCAGCAATTGCTGCTGAGCTGCTGGGTGCCCGAGATCTCAGCTGGGAGCTTTGAAGCCCCGTGGTGTCCCTTAGCAAGCAGCTGCGCTGTGTAATTCTGCTGTTCCTTCCTTCAACAGGTTCTCTCTTGCTTGAAAGCTTAAAAGACCATATATCAACAACTGCCCAAGATCACTGCAAAGCCATCTACCTGCACGTCCTCACCACTAACAACACAGCAATAAACTTCTACGAAAACAGAGACTTTAAGCAGCACCACTATCTGCCCTATTACTATTCCATAAGAGGGGTCCTCAAAGATGGCTTCACCTACGTCCTGTACATCAACGGTGGGCATCCGCCCTGGACAATCTTATATCCTTTACCTGCAGCCTAGTTGCCAGTGAAGCATGCGAAGCAGACACCAAACCATGTTTTAGGGTTAAAATGGCAATCACAGAATCACAGAATCAATCTAGCAAAGCGTGAGCTGGCTATACGTGGGGACTGGTGCCTGCTCTGTTGTGGGCTTAACCAAGCTGATTTCCCTGAAGCCAGAAGGAAGGCAATGTTAGACAGATTTGACAGTGACCCACTTGTGCCTAGACTTCCCCAGATCCTCTGGGAACGGTTCAAGGAGGCAGTGTAGCGTGGTAAATTGAAGTTGGAGCAAGTTTGCCTGTGATGGAGAAATGCTCGTGTTAAGCCAACGTGCAAGGCAAGCTTTGGATGTGCGCTGCAGCGTTTGGCCAGCAGTGTGGCAGAAAAGCCCTTGGTCTTGCTTCCTGTTGCTTAGGATCCCCTGTGTCTCTGGCCTGGCCTCTGGGTCTCAGCAGGCTGCTCTCAGACTGAATTTGGGAGTTTGTTTCAGGCTGCTGGATCATGGAAAAGAAACTTGACCTTTCCTAGGTGTAGCTAAAAAGTCCAGATCTCTCAGTGCAGGTGCGTGGATTGCAGCCCCCACAGTAACTTGCTGTGGAGTGCAAAGGAACTATGGCAGCTGCTCCAATGAAGTATTTCCACACAAGTTGGGGCCAGTGCTCCCAAATTGCCTTATTTTATGGTGTGAGGTAGGCCTGCTTTTGGTATGAAGGAGCAGTAGAGCAATGTGAGGAGCAGATCTGTTTAAATAGCTGAGCAGAGCAGCCTTCGCTGTGTCGTAGGGTCTCTTGAGCAAGTGCTAGTCCACAGAGTGCTTTAAGTTATTTTGAAGTTAGGTTATAAATGTCCTTAACTGCTGTCCACTGACTACCTACAGCACATTGGATCAACACTAGCCAGTCTGAGCCCGTGCTCAATTCCCCAGAGGATATATCGACAAGCCCAGAGCCTTCTCTGCAGCCTTCTGCCGTGGTCTGGCATTTCTGCCAAGAGCGGCATTGAATACAGCCGGACGATGTGACTTGCTCAGCAGCTGTACGAAAACCAAAGGTAGGTACTGGGGGGAAGCTCCCTGCTCTGCCAGCAGCAGCGATGTGCCTGGCTGCTGGTGGGGGCAGCTGAGAGCCCTGCAGGCAGCTGCTGTGCGAGCTGCTGGGTGAGGCGTCCTGGGCATCGCTGTGCTCTGGCCTCCAGCTGGTAGCTGAGCTGGTGCTGGTTGCATTTGAAGGGAATTTGAACTCTGATCGTGTTTACTTGAGCCCAGACTCTTACAGCAGATCCAGCTTCCAGGTCCCTGCTGTCTCTGGCCTTTTTCTCAGCTCTGTTAGACCAGCTTGAAAGACCCGGAACAACCGAGTCCTCGATATTTCCCAACACGGTGTCTGAGCACAATAACTGATAGCCGATTTGCACGTTTCTTACAAAACGTCTGCAGTACAGTGGCTCTGTGGTACCCTGTGAGACCTGTACCGACTGGTTTCCCTAAGCCAGTTGCCCTCTCTGTCTTCCTGTAGGATTGTTCTTCCTTCCACAACCCGAACCATCCGGCTCCGCACTGATTCCAGAGATGATGGCTCTTGGTCAGTGACCCAGCCCCCCGGAAAGGACTCCTTATTCCACAGATTGACCAAGATTTTGCAGACTTCGCACTCGACCGGCTGCAGCCCCGACCTGCCCCTGTGGGCTGGGGGCTGCTGGCGGGGCCCAGGCCCTTCTGCATCACCGCTGTGTGCGTGCTGCACTGCCCCTGCCACGTCCCTTCCTCTGGACGGTTTGTTTGTACTCGTACACGTGACGTGGAGGGCTTCAGTTGCTGCTTCCGTGCCGCAGCCACAGCAGGCCGTGCGAAGGAGGGTGATGAATCTGCACTGGGCGACCTCCTCCGTGAGCTGTAAGCACCCCGGCAGGCTCCCGATGCCAGCAGCCGCAGCCTGCCCTGGTGGAGGGGGAAGTGGGGAGCTGGGCGGCTGCTTCTGGGCCCTGCTTCCTGCCCCTGGCAGGGGCGGCGGGGAGGGCACGTGCCTGAGAAACGAGCCCAGCCCTCGGGCGTGACGTAAAAAAGAAGCACCTAATTCAGGATGCACCAAGTAGAAGGCAGGGAATGAAATTGCTATTTCATAGTGAAATATATTATACTGTATAGATCCTTCTGCCTCTGTCTGAGTTGGAACTTTGCAGAGGAGGGGCCTGGGGATGGAGAGCCGCTGCTGCAGCCAGAGCCCTTCTCTTCCCCTGCCTGCATCCTCCCTTGGCCTTGGGGCTGTGCCCTTGGCCGCCCTCCCTGCGGCTCTGCGGGGGCCTCAGGGCCAGGCCAGGCTGGCTCTGGGCTCACCAGCACGTAACTTCCAGCCTGTGGGGAGAGCCCCGAGGGTCCCCGTGTGCTGTGGCCAGGTCAGGCCCCTTCCTGCACCTCAGAGCACAGGCAGTGAGCACTTGGCTTTTTAGGGGGGAGTTGCTGCAGTTGAGCCAGTGCCCATGCCCCAGGTCAGGGGGTCCTGCTCCCCTTCCCCACCTGAGGCTCGCTCCCTGCTCAGCACCGCGCTCCTCCCTCCCCTCTTGCATGCCGGTTTTGAAACTGGGGCTTAAGCAAAGGCAGCGTGAGCTGCAGCAGGCAGAGTGTGCGGGCAGGGAGAGGGGCTGAGCTGTGATCTGGGGCAGTGTGAGACCTAGGAGGAAAGTGGTAAGATCTGGCAGTCTGCGTGATGGTACAGAGTCAGTTCGGTGTTCATAAGCCCCTGAAATGGGAGTTAAAGAGGAGCAGGGTGCAGGAGGAGAGCTTGCTGCAGGTGGTTTCTGGAGGAGGTTCCTGCAGGAGGCCAGGAGCAGCTTGGTGCTGAGCACTGCTCAGGGGGCTCTGCCTCAGCCCGATGCCCCTGCACAGAACGCCCCGCAGGGCACAGCTCACCCGCTGGCCTTCCTGGCTGCAGGAAGCGTTTGGCAGCCCACATGGCCTGCAAGGATGGCATTTTGGGGAAGTGAAAGGCTGTGCTGTGGGGAGGAGCTGCTTGCTCTGCCAGGGCTAGACTAGGTTTGGCTCAATGAGAGGTTGATAGCAGAAAAATACTGGTGTGAGGACAGTGCAGCGTGGAGAACCTCTGTCTGTGGGGCCCTTCCAGCAGTGGGAACCTGCTCTGAGCTTGTCAGGGGCCTCGCTCTGAGGCCGTAGACTCGGTGCACTCCTGAGGCCCCTTTCAGCCCGTGCTCCTCTTTCTGTGTCAGTTCAGTGATGCAGGCAGTGTGGTGAGGTCAGGCTGCGCTGGGCGAAACGCAGCAGGGCTGGAGGGGCTCGATTTTGTGGCAGATGTAGGGAAAAAAATGTAAAAAACGCTCTGCGGCAGGGAGCTGCAGGATGAGCCGGGCTGCTGCTGGTGGCTTCAGCCGTGGTGCATCCCCGAGGCGTCTGCTGGGGCAGGGAGGTGAGCGGGGCTGGGGCACAGCGGGACCGAGACCTGGGCACAGGTTCTGTGCGTGCCGCAGCAGCGCAGGACCCGAGCCCAGCACAGCCTGCAGCAAGGTGGCTGCTTCACGAGACGGGGCCCTGCTGTACCGCCACCAGCTCCCCCGAGCTCCTCCTGCACCGCAGTGGGCAGGGGGCTCCCGCTGTGCCCCCTGACCCCAGTTTCCAGGGCTGTGTGGCAGGAGCTGGCGCTGCCACAGCTTTGCCAAGGCCTGGCTGGGGGGGCTTGGCTGCCCCAGTCCCCTCCGCAGCCACTGCCCCTTGCTGTGCCCACCTCCCGTTGGGATTTGGGGGATGGCTCCCCACAGTCCCTCCTCACTGCAGGGGAGGCCTGAGGCACCCTGGAACCCTCCTTTGGGTCACCACCTTTATTTTTTTTTCTTATTTACCTAAACATTTCTATTGGTTTGTAGGGGTTTTAGCAACTGAAGCTCCTGGCTCTTTGGCACTTGCTTTCTCTGTCCCAGAATGAAGCTCTGCATTGCTCCTGGGGGCCTGGGCCTGGCGCTCCCCCACCCCACTGTATCCTGCCCCCCCACACCCCCTCACTCCTCTGCTGCCCTCGAGCACGTCCCTGGGGACCAGTGACTGGTCTGTGTGTCTTGTTCCCGTCACCCTGTCCTGAGGTGTCAGTCACGGCCCTGCCTCACAGCCCGTTATTTATTGAAGAGCATCGTGCTGCCACTGTCAGCCTCTCTCTAAATGTCTTCAATTAAACCAACCCTCTTTTGTGAGTTGTCTGTCACTTCATGCAGGTTCCTGCCTCACCTCAGCTGCTCAGGCCCCGTCCCCTGACCCCATGCTCAGCAGAGGCGAGGTGACCACGCGGCCCCTTCCCGGGCTGCCTCTTGCCGGGCACCCCCAGGCCAGGGGCTGGCGAGCACCCGAACGGGGCCTTACTGGGTGCTGCTGGGACCGTCCCCAGGGCTGGCTGAGCACAGCTCGGGCCCAGGGCGAGCCGGGTGCTCCCACCACAGCCCTGGGCGGACGCCACAGCCCCTCTGCCTGCTCTGCCTGGCGGGCGAGCAGCTGCTGGTGGAGGCAGCGCTGCCTCCCTCCTGCCTGGGGCTGCCCGGCTCTCACCCAGGGCTGAGCTGACTCAGCAGCGGTTGCAGCGCAGATCCTGCTCCACAGGTCGGGACCACGCAGCGCCGCGGCCCTGCTCGCCTGCGGTGTTGCAACGGGGCTGCGGGGTGGGTGGAGGGCGGTAGCACGGCTGGGCCCCAAGGGCTGCCCCTGCCTCAGCCAGCGGGGCCTGCAGCAGCTGCAGCCCAACAGCATCGGTGCCCCTGGGGTTGCTGCTGCTGCCCAAGGGCCGGCTGCAGCCCAGACCAACACCCACCACGCTCCGGACGTGCACAGCCGGGGCCCTGGAGGTGCTTCGGCACCCCAAGTGGAGCTGCTGGCTTTAGCCAGGTGCATGAACCATTTTGGAGTAACCTAACAGCGAAAGCTTTACAGAGCTGCAGCCCCCTGCGCTGCCCCAAGTCCTGCAGCCCCTTTGCCCCCCACGCTGAGGCCCCCCCGGGCACCCAATTTGGGCGCTTTGCCGGCTGCTCGCCAGGCACGAGGATGCCTGCAGGGGCGGCAGCGCAGCGGCCGCAAGGAACCCCCTGGTGCTTTGCGCTGGCAGCCAAGAACGGTCCCGACTGCGAAGCGTTCAGCAAAGCCATTTATTCCACTTTCCTGCTCCCACAGATCTCCAGATAGAAACCCACGCGAGGACGTCCCCATGCCCCAGAGGGAATTCACTGCAAGTCGCTGCATACACTGGCACTCCGAGCGGGAGCCCGGCGTCGCTGCCGCTGGCCGAGTGGAGCCACGGGCAGAGGTGCTCGGCCAGCAGCCTTGTTCCTCAGCTGTGTCCACTGCAAAACACAGCTCTGTCCAAGTCAACAAAGGGCAATTCAAAACAATTAAGTTTTGTTCCTTAAAAATGAAACTGGGACCTGAATGCAGCAGTGTGTCCCTGAAATCAAAGCATAACTCTAAGGCTTCAGCACCTTCACGTAAGCACATGAACTCTCTGCAGGGGGCTGCGCAGATTGATCTGGGAAGCTCGCTAGAGTTTAATGGCCATAAAAATACATAGCTTTCCCCTGCTTCAGACAAATCCAAACCCTCCTGGCTGGACAGTGGAATCACGTGGGCAGCGTTTGCAGCCAGCGACTGGTTGGAAAGTTAGACGAAAGTCTCTAGTCTCCTCACCCACTTTTAATCAATCACAAACAGGGCAGCATCACTCCATCGCCTCAGCCACCGCCTGCGCAGCGTCTGCCGCAGCGTCTGCCCTGGGCTGCACCGGCTGCTCTGCCGCCACGGCCTCGGCCACGGGCGCAGCCGCCAGCTGCTCCAACGCAGCCTGGCTCTCCGGCACGGCCACCGGCTGCTCCGCTAGCTCAGCCGCGGCCTGCGCAGCCGCCTGGTTCTCGGCACTATCTTGAAATTCGTTGCCTGCTCTAGCAGGCCCCACCAGCTCATTCGCTGCCTTAGCCGCTGCCTGCGTGGTCGATCGCCGGCTTCTTCGGCTTCTGCGTGGCTGCCACCGCCTCGGCCAGCTTCTCCTCCGGCACCATGTTCAAGATCTTCAGGGCAAAGAGCAGCTGGAATTTGGCAGTTCCAACAAAGGAGTTGCCCAGGAAGTTTGGCAGCCCACCCATGCGGTCCTTCTGGGTGTAGAGGGGGACACGAACCATGCCCATCACCTGCAACAGCACGGAGCGCGTTTCAGCAGGGGCCGCGGTGCCCTCTGCTCGCTGCGGGAGCGAGCGGGACCCCCCCACGGCCCCACACCCTCACCCCAGGCCCCACCAGCCCACAGCCCCGGTGGCAGATCCCCCCCCACCGCCACCACCACCTGCCCTCACCTGCGCCCAGCCCTGCTGAGGCCCCTGCGCTGCCTTTCCCCGTGCCCCCAGCCCCCTGCTCTCCCAGCCCAGCCCATGGCACCCAGCCCTGGCCCTGCTCCCCCTTTTGCCCCGCAGGAGGGATCCCGCTGCCCAGGCTGCCCCAGGAGCCCCTTCTTTCCCTGCACGCCCTGCTCTGCCCTGCCTGAGGATGCTGCCGCTCACCCACGCATCTTCCTCAACCGTGCCACGACCCGGGGCCAATCTGCCTCCGCTCCCACAGCCCCCAACACGGGGTGGGCACAGGGGGAGCCCCTCGCTCTGTGCTCTGCCCCGGGGTGACCGCAGTGCCCAGGAGGAAGCCGCCTTCCTGCACTGCCCTCGTGCCACGCGGGGAGGGCTCGGGGTGGAGCAATGAGCACGGCACCGGCACCGCACCGGGGGCCGCGGCTCGGGCCTCGCCCGGGTCCTGGCGCCGCGGGGCTGCGGCCACGGGGGGCGGCGGGAGCCGGAGCCCTCCCGGCGCCACGCGGCTGCCGCAGGGGGCGGCCCGGCGGGGGGGGAGCTTTGTCCGGCCCGGCCCGGCCCTAGCGCCCCGAGCTCCGCACGCCCCTCCCGGCGCGCCCCACCTCCAGCCCGTGGTCTCGGGAGTGCACGGCGCTGATCTCGATGGTGTGCAGCTCCTCCAGGGTCAGCTGCCGGGCGTAGAAATGTGCCACCACGCGGTGTGGCCCCTCTGTCAGGTGCGAGCACAGATAGTCAGCCTCCGTCAGGCGCACGCAGCCCAAACCCAAGCCCAGCACCCGGTTCAGACCGTCCTCCAGGGACCAGTAGCGCCGATCCACGAACCCCCCGGGGAAGCCCAGCAGGCCGTCAAAGCGCATCTGCATCTGCAACAGAGCCGCGCGGTCAGGGGGGGGCCCCGCGGCCCGGGGCGGAGCGGCCCCGGCACCCCCGCGATCCCCGGAACCCCGCGTCCCCATCCCGGTGCCCCCGGTCCCGTCCCGGTGTCCCCGTGTCCCGGATCCCCGTCCCGCCCCCCGCTCACCAGCACGGCGTAGCGCAGCGGGATGCGGCCGAACAGCATGCCCGGGTTGGGCGCGTACAGCATGGCGTGGCACGAGTGGCTCCAGCCGGGCCCGAGCCGCATGGCCTCGTAGCGCGTCAGCGGCTTCAGCTCGGGCACGCCCGGCACCCCCAGCGTCGGCAGCGGCGGCAGCGCCCCCGCGCCCGCCGGCAGCGCCCCCAGGGCCGCCATCGCGCCCATGGCCGCCATCGCCTCGCCGCCCGCCCCGCCGCCCCGCAGCGCGCACGCGCGGAGGCCGCGGCCGCCGAGGAGGCGGGGCCGGGCGCCGGGCGGACCAATGGGCAACGGGCGCCGCCGCGAGCCCGCCAATCGCCGCGCTCCCCTCTCGCGGCCCGCCGGGGGGCGGCCAATGGGATGGGGCGGCGCGGCCCGCGGCGGGCGCCATATTAGGGAACGGCCGCACGGGGGCCAATGAGAGCGCGGCGTGGGGGGGGAGGGCGCGAGGAGCACGGCGGGAGAAAAGGAGGCGGGGCCTCCACGCGAGCAGAGCCCCACCCCTCAACTACGTCACCCGGAACCACGCCCCCTCCCTGAGCCCCGCCCCTCCATTAAACCCCGCCCCCTACCCGAAGCCACGCCCCCAGCTCTCGAGGCCACACCCACCGCCGCCCCGCCCACCAATGCCCCGCTCCCTCCCGTGACCACGCCCCACAGGCCCCGCCCCCCCCCCCCCCGGCCCCGCCCCCTGCACAGTCTCAGCTCCGCTCCCGCCTTTATTTGGCTGCCGCGGCCGCTCCCGGCCCCGCGCCCCCCCCCGCCCTCCGCCCCCCCTCCCGCAGCCCCGGCTGGGTCCCGGGTCCGGGTGGGGCCGGGGCCGCTCAGAGCCGCTCGGGGCCGTGCTCGTCCTCCAGGTGCAGCCGCGTGGGCTCCAGCAGCAGGGGCTGCGCGGGGCCGCGGCCGGGCAGCGCCTGGGCGAAGTCGGAGGAGCCTGGGGGGGGGGAGAAGCGGGAGGTCAGCGGGGGCAGCCCCGCAGCACGGGCCCGGGGCGGGTTCGCGACCCCCCCCTCATCCCCGAGGGCCCGGCCCGGTGCCCGGGGGGTGCCGCCAGGAGGAGGAGGGGACGTACCGGTTACTCCTCTATACCGATAGAGCAGGAGTCGGGCCCCAGGGCTGCCCAGGCAGGAGGAAGGCAGACAGAGGGAAGCAGGCGTTAGAGCTGCCCGAACGCACCGCGCTGCTGTGTGCACACAGCCTGCACACACCGGGGGGGGGGTGAGGCTCAGCTCCCCCCGGCCCTCCCCACCTGCAGGGAGCCCCGTGGCACCGGGAGGGACCCGTGGCTGCCTGGGTGGGTGCGGAGCAGCCCTGCTGGGGGCCACAGCCAGACCAGGCCCCTGGGGGCACTGCTCGCAGCCCGGAGAGGAGAAAAGGGGGAAGGACAGAGACAAAAGGGGGAGGGAGGAAGAGAGAGAAGGGGACGAGGTGCCCCTGTGTTAGCCCCCGAGCTCTGGGCACTGCTCGGAGCAGGACCCCACACGCTGACCCTGTGCCCTGGCTGTGAGCCTGCAGCGCGCTGGCACAGCTGGGAAGGTGCCAGGGGTTGGGTACGGAGCCCACAGCCCCCCCACGGGCAGCTCGGAGCCAGGAGCTGCAGGCACAGCACCCCCCAGGTCTGCGGCACCCCCACATCCCCAGTAGCACGGCCGTTACCTGGCAGGTAGACGTCTACCGGAGGGTCGGTCTCAGACTGTGTCAGGCTCCTGTGCTCTCCGCAGCCGCCGTCCTGCAGCACATCTTCGACAGAGGGAGGGCAGCTTCCTGCAACCAGCCAACAGCGCTGCCCATCAGTGTAGGCTCCATTACAGGCTACCCTCCGTGTGAGGAAGGGGGCCTGGCACTGCTGTGGTCACACCGGCCCAGCTCATGGTGATTCACAGGCAGGCTGATATCCCAAAAGGCAGCCAGGATCTCACCAGGACCACAGCGGTGCCCATGGGATGAGCAGTCATAGCCAGCACTGTGCTGGGAGAAGCTGGGTCCACAGCCAGGCACTGCTCCCCTGCCGTGCAGCGTGACACGTGGCGCTGAGGGTGGGCAGCAGCTGTGTGGGCAGCAGCTGCAGGCTGAAGCCCTACCAGGCTCCAGGATCTGCTGTCCTGCGTGTCAGCCCCCCAGAGGCTGTCCCACCCCATCCCTGGGCAAGGTCTGAGCATGGGAGCAGGGCCCCTGAGGAGCGGAGGAGCCCAGCTCTGCTGAACTGAACCCAGCTACTTGTGCAGAACTTAGAGCAAGAAGAGCTGCTTGGCAAATAAACTGGGGGGAGCTGCTGACTTTTCTCCCCCACTTCCCAGGAGAAGCCCTGGTAGCTGGCTGGTGAAACAGCAGCTCAGAGCGATGGATTTCAGCAGCAAGATGGTTTTGAAGCTGTATGTCCAGCACCTGGCTGTCCCCTTCACAGCACGGCAAAAAACAAGGCCTGATGGCCGAGTGTACACTCACCCTGCTGCAGGGACAAGGCCTCCTCAATCTCCTCCCCTGCCACGCTCTGTAAGAAGGAACAGCACAAGTTACTTTGGCCTTCGCTGCGCTTGTCTCCCCCTCCAGCTTTCTCCAGAGAGCTGTACTCGAGGCCAGGGACTTGTGTCAGGGAGGAGCAAGGGGCACAGCAGCACCATGGGCAGCTTTACAGTGGCAGCAGAAGAGCCCCGTGGATGCTGGAAGAACAAAGCCCAGCTTCCAGCCCTGCCCTAAACACTGCTGGGCTCCTCGAGGATGGTGCTGGGCCAGTGTCAGCCCCACCACGCGCTGTCTGCAGCCCAGTGGGGCTCTCCCACCTCCCAGTTCCCAGGACACCTTAGGACAGGCCGTGTCCTTAGCCCTGTAGGTAAATGGAAGCGGCTCAGGCTGTTGGCTCGGGGCTACTCATGCTCATGCCCCTGTCTTTACGCTGTGACTGAGGAAGTGACGCCCCTTCAGGAGCCACCTCGTGTCCCTGTAGCCCCACAGCACAGCCCTGGCTCAGAGCAGCTCCCAGAAGAGCTCAGACTTACTTCTGGGGAGCTGGTCTCCCTCAGGACCAGCTCGCTGCCGCCCAGCGCTGGCTGTGAGTCCGAGTCCTCGGAGAGCTTCTCTTCATCCTCCTCATGGATCGGGGACGAGGGAGACCGTAGCGTGCTGCAGCAAGAGGAAGGCCGTTTGCAAGGAGCCAGCACCGTGCTCCTGGCATGTTCGGGGGTGACGGCTGAGGCTGCCCCCACCCCTGCCCCATCCCCTGCCCAGCATGCCCCCCACCAGCAGTAAGGCAACGCAGGAGCAGGAGCTCAAACCATGGAGCTCAGCTCACCACGGCTCTCAAAATCAGCTCTGAACAGCAGGGAACAGCAGCACTCTTGGGGCAGAGCTCTGCTGGGGTAACAGCACAGCTAGCACAGAACTCCACCACGGGGCTCCCTGCCTAGGGGAAGGTTTGGAATGGAAAATCACTGGGCAGACACGGAGCTCACTTCAAAACCGTGCCCAGCAGCCTCCCTGTGCACCACAGGACGTACAACAGTACTTCCAGCTCTGACTGCAGGTCCTGCCAAAGTGACACGGAGGCAGTCATGGTTCCTTTCTCCCCATGACAATCTGTGAAGATCACGTCCTTACATCCCTGTCACCCTTACTTAGGATGAGGCTGCAAACTTCAGTCCCCTGGGGTCCTGCCAGGCCCTGGGGTGGGCTTCGAGCTGCTGGTGATGAGGAGGTGGCAAAAAGCAAGGAGCAGCTGGAGCACAGCGAGGAGCACCATCCCCACCTGACTCAGCTTTCTGTCCCTGCGAGGGACACTGCACGGGATCCACACCTACATCCCCCAGCACAAAGCCACCAGAGGAGGCCTCAGACAACACCGAAGGATCCCAACTCAGCATTTTGTCCTCTGAAATTCAGGGCACTTCTCTTCCCATTCTTTTGGTCCTGGGGAACTCCATGGCAAGCTGAAATCCAGCCAGGTTTCGATGTCAAACACGAGTTGAGGGAACAACTGCACTAGAAAGGGAGCCATCTCCAAGCCAACCCTTAGGGGACACGAGCTGGTGACTGTAGGCTGAGCACAGAGGTGGTACCCCAATTCTCGCACTGGCCTGAGCACCCGCTGGCTTCCTGACATTGCAGGATACCAGTGCCACCAGCAACAGGACCAGTGCCAGAGCCCTGCAAGCTCCCAGTACGTGTGGCCACAAGCTGTCGGGGCTGGCAAGAAGAGCTGACCCCTCTGTCCCCGTGCTGACCTATCTGGAGACTTGCTCCGCTTGCCCTTTTGGTGGCTGCTCTCCACGGCTCTGTCCATCCCGACCAGCGGCCGGCTCGCGGGGGGCATCCCATCCACCACGCCGGAGTAGCTGATTTCGTCGTAGAGAGGAGCTGAGGGGATGGAGGGGGAAACGGAGCGAAGGCCGTTCAGAGCTTCCAGCAGGGAAATGGGCTCGTAGCCCGGAGGGATGTTGTCAGAGCTCTGCGGGTGAGAAAGAGAGGGGCATGTTAAGAAACCCTCACCACGCTGGAGACCCCCCCGGGGGGAGGCCCAGCTGCAGCCCAGCACTGCACCTCCTGCACTGCCCAGCAGTGATCTCCCCAGATCCTTCAGGCCCTGCAGCCTCAGGTAAATGAGTTCACGCTGCCACCCAGCCGGCCACAGGCAGCCTAGCCCCCTGCAAACCAAGAGGCAAGACTGCAGCAGTCCAGGCTTAGATTAATTTAATCTGTTCTGCCCCCACATCCTCAGGGACGTGGTTCTGGGCTGTACCACAGTTGGTGTGATGCTGCTGAGCTCTGAACTGCCTGGCCACAAACTCCTGTAGCTTCTGCGCTGGATCTCCTGAGTGCAGGGCTGCAGATGACTCCCCCTCAGCAACCTGTTCCAACACAGCCACTAGTCTGAGCTGGTGGCTCAGCTGACTCACCTGTGGTCACAGAAGGAGCAAGATCTGACGGGGAAGGAGAGTGAGTGGCAGCTGGGGCCATGCATCAACCTACACCCCCTAACAAATAACCCTGGGATATTTCTGAGCTTGTGCCCAAGACCACAGCTGGGGATTGTGAGAAACCAAATCAGCTGAACAAGGAATAAGTTCACAGTTGCTGCCACCTGCAGGACACAGCTTCAAGAGCCATCCCCACAGAGGCATTTCATTTCCAGACAGCAGCTCACAGGTGCTGTTTTGTACACAGGAAGGTCAGGGAGGCAAAACCCACGGGCTCAAGTTTGGGATGCTTCCTTCTGCCTGTGAAGACCAAGGTCTGAGGGTTC